CAATCAAGTGTGTAGAAGATTACTTTAGTTGATAAGAGGGAATTAGAATTCATGACTTAAGGGAATTGGGTGTTCTTAAGAACATTTCTAAGTATGGGTTAAGGTCGCATCAATTAAAGAAAACATCATCCGGTGCAGCCACGTCGCAAGATTAGGTAGTCCAAATCTTCCATAAATCATAGGATTTTAGGATGATTCCTTTTAACAACTTAAAATTAGGTGAGGGCTGCTGGCTTGAAAGGAGAGTATAACTTAGTTACAACGAAGCGTATATATTTCTCTCATCACGTGATCACATGCGAGTTTCATTACAATAAACATGTGAAGCAAAGATTTCCCCACAATCGAAAAGTACAACTAAATATAGGGATTAAAAAGGTATAAATGAAAACCCAAAGAACGAAAAGGGAAAAAATCACTATCGGAAACTTTTAACTTGTTGTAAGCTTGTTGATTGTGTAAGAATATGGAATATCCTGCAGTGCTGCTGTGCATGATGCCATTCTAATCAAGAACACAGTTACCCAATGACACTCGGAGCACCTGATCATCCTGACACTCGTACTCAATGTCTTGTGCCATCGTCAGCTTCACATCAATCAAGTAAAAACAATGCACATTATCTTCAACAAATATTCCAAAAGAATTTATTTTAAAGACTTTTCAAATTACATATAAACCATGTACGTCCATATGACTTTTTTTATTTTTTATACCATTTGTGTCAAACCGAAAGTAGCAAGGACGTATCGCAATTGATTGATATTTATAGTTGGAGGAGCTCTTCTGAAATAGATTACATGTTCGTTTCAAGTCCATGTTCAAAGGTGGTGAGAGATCCAAACTACAGTGTTGAGTGTTGTGATTACTTTTAGTCGGTAAACAACCAGACGTGCTCCTCATTCTGCAGCAGGGTTCAAATCGCACTCTTTGTAGTGTAAATTAAATTAAAGTAAATTATCGCTTTTATAAAGAAGAGATTATAATAATAATTCTATGACCTGCTTCGAAATATCTTCATTCTTTTTCTCACTACTTTGAGTGAGAATTTAGCTGGGGTTTGTATCCCATGATAACTTAAAAGGATCTCTTACGATCTATACAAATCTTTGGAAAATACATGACAAAAATAAATACTAAAAAAGCATGTTAAATGTGCATGAATGTTGCCGATGAAGCAATCATTCTGCAATTTTATTTTATTTTTTAAAAATGTTGCACTAAAGAAATGTGTTAAAAAAATATATATTTAAAAAAAAAGAAAAAAGTAAGGGTCGGTTCGTGGACCAACATAGGATAATTCACTGAATCTAAGACCGTTGAAGGGGTGCCAAAGCTTCTTACCGACCTAACGTCTTTTTTTTATATGGGTAGAGATTACTTAAAATAGTGCAAACCTTATCTGCATATGTTTGATGGTCCTTTGATTTTCTTAGGCTTAAAATTAAACATAATAAGACTTAAAATATCGGTACTTTGAAAAAGAGTTGGGATAGAAGACTATAATAATCACATGAACCGAATTAGCTCCCTAAAAAAAATAATAATGGGCCCATTTTCACATATATATTTTTTATGAACATTTTCATTAATACTTGAGAAAAAAAAACAACATATAACAAGTAGGTCGCAAATATTAATAAATAGAACAAACAAGTATATGTGTCCCAAATGATCATTTTTGTTTCAATTTGATAAACGAGTGATGTTTTTATTGATAATATAAATAAAAATAAGTACAAAATAACTAAGGGGACGGATATGGATACAACTTCTCTAGTGATAAAAAATATCAACTTTGTACAAAAGCACTCTCCTGAAAAGTTGGTTTCCTGAACATAAACTATTATTTTCAAAACTGAAATGGTTACTATATGATTGTATATTATTTAGAGGAATTTGATTACCAATTGAAAAACAATAAAAGGTAAATATATCTTTGAACTTTAAAATACAATGGAAATGGATGACTATGGCAAAAATATAAAGAAAAAGCATAAAGTTTCATTAACACACAAAAATAGACAAAAACAAAAACAAAAACAAAAATTCTTTGTCACACAAAACATCCTATCATGTTCAGCCAGCTCAACCACACATTTCCGTTCACATTCCGTGTTCAAAAAAGTGTTTAAAATATTATTAAATTATTTACCAGGTCAATTTACATATATTTAATTATTTGTTGTAGAAAAACTACACCTAAAAACTTTGTATTACCTTGGTAAGAAAAAGTCAACGGAATCTAGTTCAATTGAAAAGAATCTTAACTTACAGAAAAGGAATCTCAAGTTCGAAGTCTTACGATATCATAATCATATGTTTGTAAAAAAAAATTTAAACTATCACTTGTACTCACAAAACTTGGTAATAAAAAAAAGAACGGAAGAGTCAAATTGAAGTCTTCTACTTGGAAACATCGAAGGCAAAATAAAAAGCGTTAGGGTTGTCATATTCTTGATTTTGATTAAGGAAATTGACATGCAATAAATAAAACGGAAAGTGACAAACAAAGATTTTCTTCCTAAATCTTCTAAAAAAAGATTTTCTTTCTAAACGTAACAGTCCAACGGCCTTAAACTGCCGCCAGAACACGTGGCCGTTGGCTGAGCGACACGTGGCCGTCCTTGCCAACAGCATGAAAGCAAAAGATACGCCCCACCATTCACCTCTTGACGCGTGTGGATCCGCGTGTTGACCCCTAAGCCGACTTTTGGGCCGACCTTCCATTATCACTAATTGCTTTCTTTGCTAATCACTTGGTTTCTTCTTCTTTTTTCTTTCGAATTTTTGATGTGAGTTTTTATTGATGGCTTATGCTCGTACCTACCACCTACCTTGGGTCCTTGACTATGTCCATTGTCATTCATTTTTTGTGGGATATTTTTGTGGTGCAACTTTCGCTATGGAAATTTCCAAGAGGCATTTGCGTTGAAGAAGAAGTTGGTGAAGCTAGCTCTCTCTCTCTCTCTCTCTCTCTCTCTCTCTTGATAAACTTGTTATGTTGAAGTGTCATAATTGGTTTACAAGTCATTTTCCCTTGGGTCTATTTTTGGAATTGTTGTATTCTTGTTGTGCCATAGCATATGACGAAAATGGAGACCCCAGTTATAACCCAAAAGGATATTAAGGTATTTTTAGGGTTGTCAATGCTTTATGAGTAAATGAAATTTCATTCACAACCGAAAGCCAAGACACAAAAGAGAATATGACCAATTTTATAAGGTTTTTGACAAGAGGAAAATACTCGTATTGGATAAGTGTCAGCTTTATTTTTATACTTTTTTGAAACTTTTAATCATGTGCTTTAAACGGTCACACGTCTCTAACAACTCATCTTTTATGCAAATAAGGTTAGTGTGAAATGTGTGATATCTAATGATTTGACTAAGAGATCTAAGTTTTATTATTATTATTTATTTTTATTTTAGAAAGGAGAGATAAGGTATGGCTGATATATATGGATATGGGGTAAATATATATAGAAGTAAATATATATAGAGCTTCCATTGAGGGATTCATCAAATACTTATTTGAGGGATACCCTTGCAAAGCCCACTTCGTATTGTATTTTACTAATCCAAACCGTATATTTTGTAAATACTTATTCAAAGATCATCTCTACAAAAAATCATCCAATATCATTTAACTACTCAATTGAATTATTGAAATTTTAGTATTTTCTTGAAGCAGTTCATTGATTTTGTAAGACACAATTGGATATTGAAATAGTTTCCGATTTGTCAATTTTTTTGCAAGAATGATCTATGAATGTAGACTTAAAAAATAGATGGTTTTGATTGTTGAAAATGAATTCGTAAGGGACCCTAAAAGGTATCCCTCAAATAAAATTATATTTCCTTCAAAATGTGTAAAATTTAGTTGATCTCTTGTTCTCTCATTGTCACAGATAGATGAATATAAGACAAGGTGAATCCAAATCAATCATGATCCGTTAAGAATGGAGAAATGGCGCCAATCAGCCCAAGGTTTACGTCTTAGGCCCATTATATGACATAGCATTCTAGTCCCAAAATTGGTACCTGAGGCCCATTAGATTTCATCTTGGCTTTACTGCTACTCCAGCTTTACCTTGCACAATATTTTGAAGGCCTCAGTCGGAGAGCAAAGAATTCTGCCATGATGCCATCCATAAGTTTTCCATTTCTCTCGCTTGAACTTGATCAAGGATTATGGGACGAGTAATGAAAGATCCTAACTTTATATTTTTTGTCTTATGATTTGATTTGTGAGAGATCTTAGAGGGCTATGCGGTTAGATTACTACGATTAGATTAGACATCTTATTTTCACGCCCCAAAATATCAAGTTTGTCACAGCAGCACATATCTTGAGTATCTCGAAAATACAATACCCGAGTTTAAACCCCCCATAAACTAGAGTAATTTAGTTGTGAAAAAAAAAATCTAGTCCATGAAAAACAGAAAGAAAAATACAAAAAGCTCAACAAAGTGTAGCAAATTAAGGTCATTCAGAAATTTGTTGCAGTCACTTGAGAAATTTCCATGAACCTGTTACTTGAAAATGTAGAATTTGTCAAACAGAAAACAAGTTGCCGGGAAAAACAAACGAAAACCATAATTTTCTTTTCTATGTTCTTCATCTATCCAACCGAGAAAGAAAGAACGAAAAAAAAAAGGATGAGACAAAATTGGCAAAGACCAAGACCTTTTGTTATCCAGTTGCTCCATGCATGCATGTACTTAATTATTGTGGCCATTATTACATTTCTTAAACCAAGTGAGGAGGGTGGGTTGCATTGGCAAGACCATTCTCCCCTCCCTAATTCCCTCTTTCCTCCCCAGTTTCCCCTCTCTTTCCTTCCCAGTTCCCCCCCTCTTTCCTTCCCAGTTTCCCCCCTCTCACGGAATGTGGCTATTTATATGAGCTTTCAGGCTTGATAATTCCAATCAACCCAAAAAGCCTAACTAGCTACTCTTGACCCCGAAAAAAAAAGAAAAAAAAAAGCTAGGTAGCTAAATGGCTGAACTTGCTGTTCCACTAGCAATGGTCCTAGTTGAGAACCTCATCATAAAACTCAACCTTCCAAGTCCAATCAACGCAAAGGAAGACGTTGAAAGAGCCCAGAAAATGTTGAGTTGGATGAAAGCCTATCTTGCAGAACACTCATCAGACGAGATTGATGAAGGCCCCCAAGTGATTCGAATTCGTGCAAAAGAGATCCAAGATACAGTTTACGATATTGAGGAAGCTCTTGGAAAGTTTGTGGCTAAGATTCCACATCACTTGCACAGAAATAGATTCTCTCGGATGACGCACGACGTACATTTCCCCTCTGTATTGAAAGCAAGCATAAAGTTATCAAACAAGCTCAAAAAGATTGAAAGAGGAAGCACTTTTGATTCACTACCAGCACTAGATTCACTTCTTGACCCACCAATTCCCAACACAAGACCTGAAGAAACTAATAATAATTTGGTTTATCACCAAGTTTTTGAAGAAGAAGACACTGTGGACTTTGAGGAGCGTAAAGAAATACTCAGCCAACAGTTGGTGAAAGGAGATGATCCAAGTCCTTTGAAGATTTCCATCGTGGGTCCTGGAGGCTCTGGCAAAACCACTCTTGTAAACATTGTTTATGGGAGCAGAAGGGTGCAAGGATTCTTTGATTGTCATGCTTTTGTTGATGTTTCGCGCACCTCTGATTGCCGAAAGCTATTGCTAAGCATGTTGAGCAAATTTGAGGACCGAATGCAAGAACCAGTTGTACATCATCATCATCATCATCATCATCATCATTATGAAGAAATAGATCCGCGGGACAAATTGAGAAAACTTCTGGACCAAAAGATGTATGTGGTCGTTTTAGATAATGTTTGGAGCGACCATGATTTGGGATGCATTGTAACTGCTCTGCCAAAAGGTTCGCCTGGGAGTAAAATAATCATAACTACTCGAGACTCTAATTTAGCTTCTCTGCATGCAAATTCTGCCGAGTATATTCATGATTTGAGTAGAGTGTTATCATGGAAAGATGTCACCAAGCTTTTCTGCAAGAAGGCATTTCAAGGAAATAAAGGCGAATGTCCAGAGGAGCTTCAAGTTTGCGGAGAAAAAAATCCTCAAGAGGTGTGAACACTTGCCCCTTGCAGTTTCAGCTGTGGCTACTTTGCTATCCAAGAAGCCACAAACTCCGTTTGAGAGGGAGAAGTTCCATAATAGCTTTGTTTCCAATCTTCCGATTATTGACCAAGTTTGGGATCCAAGTTACAGGGACCTTCCAATCGATGTAAAGTTGTTTCTTGTACTTCAGCATGTTTCCTGAAGACTACTCCATCAAGCATGAGAGGCTTATTCGCTTGAGGGTAGCTGAAGGATTTGCGACCCCAAAAGGAAGGAAAACAAAGGAGGAGGAGGAGGTTGAAGATGGTTGTCTGAATGAACTGATTGGAAGAAATTTGGTTGACGTGAATTCAACGGAGATTGATGGGCAAGTAAGGACTTGACGAGTTACGAGCCTTGTTCGGAAAAGCAGAGAATTTCGTTACTGTCGTGGAATCAAACAACACTAGTACTAGTCATTGAGGTCAGAAAATTCGACGCCTTTATGCTCATTATGCTCCTATCAACAATTCGTCAAGAGGGTGTAGAGACTTGAATCGAACACGTACCTTACTAGTGTTTGACTCTAGCCAAACGACAGTGCTTTCCTCTCAACATGACGAGCTTGGAGATGTACTTAAACCCCTTAAATATTTAAGGGTTTTAGATTTTAAAGGTGTTCCTTTGAAGGACTTTCCCAAATTTGTTCTTGGCCTCTCTCTCTTAAAGCACATAAGTATGAGGAAAACCAAAATTAAATCAGTTCCAAGTTCTATAAAGAAGCTTTGGAAACGTTAGATCTTAAGCGAACCCAGGTGACCAAATTACCAAAAGAGATCTATGAGCTGCGCAATATGCGCCATCTTTTGGTCAGTCGCAGTTGTGATCAAGATGATGATGGACCTACCCAAGGAGTGGGAGTGGTTTCCTCAGGCAACATCGGAGCTTTACCCGAATTACAGAAGCTGTCACTAATTAAGGTGGGAAACAACAGAACAATCCTAAAAAATTAGCAGAGTTAACTGGTCTTAGAAAGTTGGGGCTGACAGATCTCAGAGCAGAACATGCAACAGAGTTGTGCTGCGCGGTTGAGAAAATGGTGCTCCTTTCGACGCTTAAAGTGAGATCAACAAACGAGGATGAGTATCTTGGTTTGGATCATATTAGATCCCCTCCTCGCTCTCTGCAACGACTCTGTTTGGCAGGGCGCCTCATAAGTTTACCGCAGTGGTTTCCTTAACTTGAAAGTGTTGTGAAGATTAGCTTGAAGCGATCAAAACTGGATCCTGATGCCAACCCACTTGAGGCCCTTCAAGCTTTGCCTAATCTAATAGAGCTCAATTTGGTTGACTATTATACCGGGGAGAAGTTAGAAGTTCAAGTGGAAACGTTCCAGAAGCTAAAGATATTACGCATCCAACAACTTGATCAACTAAATTTGATGATAGTCGAGAATGGGGCAATGCCTGTGCTTAAGAAGCTAACCATGTCCAAATGTGAGAATTTGAGGTTACTTCCAGTTGGCATAGAGGGTCTTACGAAACTCGAGGAGCTCTGTGTCCATGACATGCATGCTGAATTCATGGCTCAGCTCCGAAGGGAAACTGAAGCATTTCAAGAATTTTCATTCTGAGGGTCAACGTGTAAAAGATTAAAAAAAATTCTATGAAAAATAGACCCGTTGAAATGAAATGATAATACTCCAATTCATAGTTAATAGATAAAACCATACAAAATACTCATGTTCATTATCAAAGAGAACTATATCAACTTCAAAAAATAAATACACATTGCAATACACCAGAAATATCTCTAAGAATGTGATAATAAACCAAAAAATTAGTGCAATCCTTATCGTCTCCCAAGGCATCTTGTCTTATTCGACATAAGAACTGGTATATCTTAGCGCAATCCTGCTCATTTTAGGGCATTTACGTCATTTTTTAGGTCCGTCGTAGTTTTGATTTGGGGCTTTATCTACATTTCTTAAGGGTTCTAGCTCTCAAACTTTGGACCTTTATGAGTACTGTCTTAGGAGAGAGCTTATTCAAGCAAATATTTCTTCAATACGTAAGAGTTAGGTTATTCTTGTAAAACTCTTTGTGAATTGAACATCTAAAGCTTTTTACCTAGATTGACATTAGGTTCCTTCATGCATTCATATCATACATGAAAAACTGTTTTAAGTAAAAATATTGGCTAAGTATGAAAAATGGTTTTTCAAAATAATCATTTTCTCAAGATAATTTTTGGTGGCTTTTATTCCTTATACATCAAATAAGAAAATTTGATTTTATGAGATTTAGTATGAAGTATATATTGACTTAATGAGCCATCATTTTGAGCCTAAATCGTATTTTGCACTAAAACCGAATTTTCATATTTTGATTTGGTTGGAATTTGATTTTCTAGTATTTTTATTTGAATCCAAATGGGAGGTACTTCCTTATTTACATTGTAAATTTAAGTAAATAGAGTAATATAAAAATAAATGAAAGTAAAAGGACAAAGACATTTACTTTGGTTCATAAGCATATTCCAGTCATCCGGGAGACACAATGATTCTTTTCTTGGAAAGAATTTTATTTTCATGAGTTGGAAAGAACCATTGGAAACGGTGTGGAAAGTCTTGGTCTTTGTCATTATTCACAACGGGAGACACATACATATTTTCGTATACAACAGGCCATTCATTTTGACCGTTCAATTTTTATTTTCTTTTTTCTTTTGAAAAGTCATTTTTTGTTTTATTTGAGATAAGGTACTTATTGACACACTAAAAAAATATCATAATGCACTCCCTTGTTTTTATAAATGTATTAAGGGACAAATTGTAGTTTGAGATGTGCTTGATGAATTTTTATTTATTTATTAGGTTGGAAGTCTATATGATATTTATATACTAAGATTGGATTATGGACTTTTTTTTTTCCTTCTTTATTTGGCTAATTTGCTTCAACATGGCTTATACGTAGGAAATATTTTTGCTCACCACTTTAATTCAAGTGTACCATCACTACTATGTTCAACACTTAACACGTGTCCATAAGCATAATTATGATTTCCATAAATACAAAGCAAAGAGTTAACTGTTATTATGCCAATAAACATGTGTTAGGTATTAAGAATGATAATGAAGGTACACCTTGGATTAAAGTGGTGAGCAAAAATGTTTATCATATGCGTATACATACGTGAAGTCTTCCTAACAAGCAAGTCAATAACCTTAAAATATCGTAGGGACAATATAAAAGGAGCTGTAGTTTTATTTCTTGTTCTTTTCCGACTTCATTTTCAAGAAAATTGAAATTTCTTGTCACTGTGGCGGACACAGTACACCAGCTATTCCATGCCATAAGATAAAGACAAAATTTATTCTACGCGGATTCACTTTGAATTAAAGTGGTGAGCAAAAATATATATATAGTGATAAATTATTGAAAAATGGTTGGTTGGTAGCCCTAGAGCTTTTGTTTTATTTCTTGTTCTTTTCCAAATTCATTTTTAAGAAAATTGAAATTTCTTGCCACCGCCTCGTACACAGTACACCAGCTATTCTATGTCATAAGATAAAGACAGAATTTATTCTACGCGGATTCAGTTTGGAAGAATATTGTTCACTTGATCAACGTAGGCCAAGCTTCTTCTCAAGTGGGAGTGGCTATGGTTTTGGCTTTCTTTGTCAGACTATTATATCAATGGCGATTGCCAATTGGGGAACTAATATTACGAACACCAACTATATTCAACACTAATAATGATATGCAATTTCAATTTGGCATCACCCATTAATCTGAGGGGAGGTGATCACGGTTTGGTGCCCGTAGTATTACTTTTATAAAAATTAAGTTACAATCCAAGTCAAAATAAGAAATGTAAAACATTAATTGAAAATAAAGAACGGAGTGACTTTTTATTTTTATTTGTTATATATGTTTATAAGAGAACAACTTCATTCAACTTTAAAAACAAACATTGAAGCAACTGTAAAAGCCGAAGAGCATATAAACGTGACCTCGTTAAAACCTTGCCTTAAAAAACCTCAAAATGAGGAAAATCCGGTCAAGGAAAAAGATAAAAAAAAAAACCCTAAAAGACCAAAAGGGGAAAAACCGGGGAGGGAAAGAAAAAACCTCCCTATCCCTCTTTTCCAGAAGTAAACCCAGCTAAGGAGGCATCCACCCAAAAGAACAAAGACGATACAACTATCAAATACATATAGCTCAGTTGAATTACCCCACACATCTTATCCTACATAAACATGCCACTACATACCAGAATTAGAGTCTCGAGTAGTTATAATTATTTTACTCCCAGGCAAACCTTCTGGCAGAGCATTTACAATGCATCCAAAATTATGTCCTCTCCAAACATTATCTAAAACGACCACATACTTCTTTTGCCTCAGAAGTTGTTTCAATTTTTGCCCCGGCTCTATTTCTTCATAATGTTGCTGCCGCTGATGATGAAGTACAACTGGTTCTTGCATTCGGTCCTCAAATTTGCTCAACATGCTTACCAAGAGCTTTCGGCAATCAAAGGTGCGCGGAACATCAACGAAAGCATGGCAATCAAAGAATTGTTGCACCTTTTTGCTCTCATAAACAATCTTTACAAGGGTGGTTTTGCCTGAGCCGCTAGGACCCACAATCCAAATCTGCAAAGGCCTTGAAGTATCCCCTTCCATCGTATCTCCTTCCATCAACTGTTTGATGAGTTTTTCTTTAGGTTCCTCAAAGCCTACAATGTCTTCTTCCTTAACAACTTGGTTATAAACCAAATTATTATAAGTTTCTTCAACTCTTCGGTTGGAATTTGGTGGGTCGAGTTCTAGTAGTGAACCAAAAGTGCTTTCGATTTCTTCGAGGGTTCTTAACAAATTTCTGCTTGCTTTCCGTTTAGAGAAAGAATGTTTAACTTCGTGCCCCGTCTGAGAGAGTATATTGGAATGGACGTGATCTGGAATCTTAGCTCTAAACTTTGCAAGAGCATCTTCAGTATCGTAAACTATATCCTTGATCTCTTTTGCACGATTTTGAATCACTTGGGAGCCAATCTGGTCTGATGAGAGGTCCGCAAGATAGGCTCTCATCCTCGTCAACATGTTTTGGGCTTTTGCAAAACCAACATTGGCCTTGCTTGGGGGGACACTTCCCTTCTCTATCATCAGGAAAAGCCTTCTTGTAGAATAGACTCTGAGCATTTTCCTTTGATAACAAATTGCTCAAATCATGGATGTGCGCAGGAGGTTTTTCTATCCCGGAAGCTACATCAGATTTACGTGAAGTTATGATTACTTTACTCCCAGGCAAACCATTTGGAATAGCATTTACAATGCCTTCCAAACCTTGTTTGCTCCAAACATTATCTAAAACGAGCACAAACCTCTTTTGTTCAAGAAGTAGTCACAATTGCACTTCTGGATCTACATGATGATCTGGTCCCTCCCTTTTGCCTTTCGGGTCAAATTTGCTTAACATGTTAAGCAAGAGCTCACGGAGTTTGCGGCGGTCACACAAGTCGCGCGGCACATCAATCCAAGCATGGCAATCGAAAAACCCTTGGACCCTTTTGTTTTCAAAAACATTCTTCAACAGAGTGGTTTTGCCAGAGCCGCCAGGACCTACAAGCGAAATAATGGTAAAAGTGTAGGAAATCAGTTTGTATAATATCAATTAATATCAATACTGTTGTAATTAGGATTTACTTTCCTAGTAAGTTCCCTAGAATAGAGGACACGTTTCCTAGTATACTTAGAACTCTCTTGTATAAAACCAATTGTACCTATCAATGAAAATTATTCTCTTCCAATATCATATTTACATGGTATCAGAGCAGGACATCAAACCCTAGCTCTTCATATTTCTTTTCCTACGGCACCTTACCTTCTCGTGCCGCATAACTTCAACTGCCGGAAACCATGAGTGATTCCTCTGGCACATTCAAGGTTGAACCTTCAAGTCCTTACTACATCAATAATTCAGATCATCCAGGTTTGGTAATTGTACCAAAGCCTTTGAATGGAGATAATTATGCAACGTGGCGCAGATTCATGACTATTTCATTGAACGCAAAGAATAAATTGGGTTCGTTGATGGAACTCTCAAAAAGCCGTCATCGGAATCCACTCCTGATGAACACGCGGTATGGATGCGCTGCAACGACATGGTTTTCTCCTGGATTGTCAACACTCTTGATCCCGAAATCAGCGACAGTGTCATATATTGCACCACGGCCCGCGAGATTTGGGAGGATCTCCGTGAACGATTCTCTCAAAGCAACGCTCCTCGTATCTTCCAACTTCAACGGGAGACTTCATATTTGACACAAGATCAATTGTCAGTTGCTGCCTATTACACCAAGTTGAAAGGTCTTTGGGATGAACTTGCTTCCTACACTGATTCTTCTACATGTACCTGTGCAACCCATGGTGATCTCAACAAACTCATGCAATTCCTTATGGGATTGAACGAGTCTTATAGTGCTGTTCGTGGTCAAATTCTCTTGATGAATCCCTTGCCGTCTGTTAGGCAAGCATATGCCTCCATCAGCCAAGAAGAAAAGCAACGCACGCTTGGAGCCTCACGAGCTGTTGCTGGAACTTCCGATACTGCTGCCATGGCTGTTCGAACTGGACGTCCTAATCAGAATCGATCCACCAATCGTGAGGATCGTCGCATTGACAGGACAGACCAAAATCGTTCCCAGACCTCCACCCGTGATGACCGCCGCGCTGGATCTTCAAGAAACCGACCCCATTGCACCCATTGTGATGACGATGGCCATCGTATTGATACCTGCTGGAAGCTTCATGGGTATCCAGAAGGTCATCCACGCCACAAACCTAAGAAAAAGCATGATGGTCCATCTTCCAATCATGTTTCGGAAGGCCCAACCAAGGATACGATGCAGTCTGTTATGTCCGGCCTTTCGGACCTTCAAATTCAGCAGATGTTGGCTATCATGCATGACAAATCAGTTTCTGACAAGAAATCCCAGGTCCATGCAGCTGCCACCAACACAGGTTTGTCAAAATTAAAATTTCAGCGCTGGATTATCGACAGTGGCGCGACTGACCACATTGTTTCTTCTCCAAAATTGTTGGTTCATCGTAATATTGATCATTCTGTGCAACCGGTTCGTATGCCTAGTGGGGAGAAGGCTTCAATTACTACAACAGGATCATTCCCTCTCAATTCTACTTATACTTTGCGTGATGTGCTATGTGTACCTACTTTCACAGTAGATTTGATGTCTGTGAGTAAGCTTACAAAAAATTTGAATTGTTCAGTGACATTTTTCCCATATTATTGCGTTTTGCAGGACCTTGCTACGAGGAAGACGATTGGTTTGGGTAAGCAACATGACGGGCTTTATTACTTGGTGGCACTATTGGCGGAGACACCCCCCAACACAACCCACCAAAATCCCGCTCACCGTCCATCCTGCAATCACACTGTCACCACTACCGACCTTTGGCATCGTCGTCTTGGCCATGTTTCTTCCTCAAGATTACATTTATGTCTAAACATCTACTAGATTTCCCTTTTGTCTCTAATAACGCTTGTCATGTTTGTCCCTTGGCAAAGCAGAGTCGTCTCCCTTTCGGAACAAGTTCAATCTCCTCTGTCAAACCATTTGATTTAATTCATTGTGATATTTGGGGCCCTTATAAGCATTCGTCAATTTCTGGTGCCCATTATTTTCTTACAATAGTTGATGATTTTCTCGCTTTACTTGGGTATTTTTAATGCGCCATAAACATGAGACTCAACATCTTTTAAAAACCTTTTTTTCTTTTGTTGGCACTCAATTTGATTCCCAAATTAAACAGCTTCGTGCCGACAATGGGGGGGAATTTCTTTCTCTTCAGACTTTCTTTCATGAACAAGGCGTCATTTTTCAACACTCTTGCGTTTATACGCCTCAACAAAATGGGGTCGTAGAACGTAAGCATCGCCACATCCTTGAAACGGCTCGTGCTTTAAAACTTCAGGCTAATCTTCCTTCCAAATTTTGGGGGGAATGTGTTTTAACTGCAGTTCATCTCATCAACCGTTTTCCTACTCCTCTTCTTTCTTTTCACACTCCTTTTGAACGTCTTTATTCCAAAACACCATCTTTCTCTCATCTCCGTGTTTTTGGTTGCCTTGCATATGCCACTAATGTTCATGTCACACATAAATTCGCTCCTCGGGCAATTCCATCTGTTTTCCTTGGTTATCCCCTCGGCCAAAAAGCTTTCAAACTTTATGATCTTGAGTCTCACAAAATTTTCACAAGTCGTGATGTTAAGTTCCATGAAAATATTTTTCCCTACCACACTTTTCCTTCCACATCACTTTCGGTTCCCTCTGCCTTTCCAGCACCTCCTTTCCCTTCTGACGTCGACCCTTTTTTTTCTTCTTCTCCAGCCGCAACGCCCCTTTCGGTTCCCTCTGCCTTTCCGGCACCTCCTTTCCCTTCAGACATAGACCCCATTTTTTCTTCTTCTCCAGCAGCTCCTTTACCTGAGTCGACCCCCACCAGTCCACATCCCCTGCCTTCGTCCCGACCTGACACCACCACCGCGCCTGCTGAGCCCAGTCCACCTTTGCTCTCATCCACACCAGCTGGGCACGTCCCCGGTTCACCGTCACCAGTCCACATGCACCCGCACCTGACTCACCACCTCTCCGCCGATCTGAACGCATCCATGTGCCTTCCGTTCGCTTACGTGACTACATCTGCAATCAAGTCATGTTGCCCATCCCTGATCACTCGTCTTCTTTACTGCCGGGTCCTACTAAAGGTACACGTTTTCCGCTCTGCAATTTTCTCTCATATCATCGTTATTCCCCCGCTCACTTTGCTTTCATTGCGAAAGTCAGTACTATTGTTGAACCCAGTTCTTATGAGGACGCTGCTCCCCACTCTCATTGGCAAGAGGCCATGCAGTCTGAATTGCAGGCTTTGTCTGATAACCACACTTGGAGTCTTACTCCGTTACCTGCTGGAAAGAAGCCCATTGGTTGTCGGTGGGTGTATAAAGTCAAGCTTAAGTCTGATGGCTCGGTTGAGCGCTACAAAGCCCGGTTGGTTGCTAAAGGTTTACTCAGCTAGAAGGTGTTGATTATCATGATACCTTTTCTCCCACTGCCAAAATGCCCACTATCCGCTGCCTTCTCGCTCTTGCTGCCGCCCGTAATTGGTCCCTTCATCAGCTTGATGTCAACAATGCTTTTCTTCATGGTGATCTCCATGAGGAAATTTACATGCTCCCTCCACCTGGTCTTCGGCGACAGGGGGAGAACTTGGTATGTCGCCTTCACAAATCTCTTTATGGTTTAAAGCAAGCTTCTCGTCAATGGTTTGCTAAGTTTTCTCAGGCCATTTGTTCTACTGGTTACATTCAATCTAAAGCTGACTATTCCTTATTTACACGCCATAAGGGGCACTCTTTCACAGCATTATTGATTTATGTTGATGACATTGTTATCACGGGGAATGACCCTATAGCTATCTCGGCACTCAAGGCTTTTTTGCACCGTCATTTTCATATTAAAGATCTTGGAGATTTGAAATACTTTTTGGGGATTGAGGTATCAAGATCAAAACAGGGCATTTTCTTATCTCAACGCAAGTATGCATTGGAAATTTTGAAGGATGCAAAACTCCTAGGTGCTGCACCTGTTGATTTTCCTATGGAAAAAGGTCTTAAGCTCTCAGATAAGGGTGAATTACTTAAAGATCCAGCTCAGTATAGAAGACTCGTTGGTCGCTTGATTTATTTGACCATCACAAGGCCAGATATTACTTACTCTGTTCATGTCTTAAGTAGGTTTATGCATGCCCCACGTAAACCTCACATGGAGGCTGCACTTCGTATTCTTCGTTATTTAAAAAAATCGCCAGGTCAAGGCATATTATTGTCTTCTCAGAATGACTTGACTTTGCGTGCCTTCTGTGATTCTGATTGGGCAGGTTGTCCTAATACTAGAAGGTCCACTACAGGCTATTGTGTGTTTCTGGGATCTTCTTTAATTTCATGGAAATCGAAGCGGCAGAGAACTGTATCTTTATCATCAGCAGAAGCTGAATATAGATCTATGGCAGCAGCATGTTGTGAGTTATCTTGGCTTCGATCCCTCCTCAAGGATTTGCGCATTCTTCATCGCCAACCTGCTTTGTTGTATTGTGACAACAAGGCAGCTTTACATATTGCTGCCAATCCAGTATTTCATGAGAGAACAAGACATATTGAGATGGATTGCCATTTATTCGAGATAAGATTCAGGAAGGTTTGATTGCCACACAACATGTGAGTTCGTCCTCTCAGTTAGCCGATATTCTTACTAAGGCATTGGGACGAGAAGAATTCAACAATCTTGTTCGCAAGTTGAGAGTTCTTGATATCCACTCTTCAACTTGAGGGGGAGTGTAGGAAATCAGTTTGTATAATATCAATTAATATCAATACTGTTGTAATTAGGATTTACTTTCCTAGTAAGTTCCCTAGAATAGAGGACACGTTTCCTAGTATACTTAGAACTCTCTTGTATAAAACCAATTGTACCTATCAATGAAAATTATTCTCTTCCAATATCATATTTACAAAAAGGCCTTGAGTTATCTACTTCCACCAACTGTTCGATGAGTTTCTGTTTAGGCTTCTCAAACCCCACTATTTCTTCTTCTTCAAGAAAGCGATGAGGTAAATGGTTATCTCCCCTTCTGGCGGTGCTGGAACTTGGTCGGCCTTCTTGGTCAAGTCTCAGAACATGGTGAATTGAATCAAGAGCTGAAAGAAATCTAAGCTTGTTGTCGATGATGTTTTTGATTGCGGAGGAGAACTCACGGCCTGCTTTCTATACTGAGGGGTCATGATCATGAACTAAGTCGTGAAACTTCTCAGATAATCTATTGCTATGGAATTGATGAGGAACCTTAAGCATGAACGTGTCAAGAACATCCTCAATTTCATAAGCTATGTTTTGGATCTCTTTTACACGAGTTTGAAGCACTTCAAGGTCTGATGATGATGATGATGATGTTGAGTAATCCCTTAGATATGCTCGCATCCACTCTAAACATTTCTTGGCGTTTTCAACATCATCATGGACATTGTGAGTTCTTGAAGACTTGAGTTTGTGGTAGAGGAAGATTATCGCCTTCTCCGCTACCACCAACGCTACGTGAACAGCATTTTCTGCCATTAATTTTGGAGAAAGACAAATTTCCAAGTTCTTAAAGACTACCCTGCTTCGAAAAATGCAGAATGTAGAAAACTGGTGCAGAAGAAATTAACAACTGAAAGAGACAACAATTACTTCATTGCTCATGATAAAAGGAAGCTTAGAATGGTATGATGCATGAACAAGACACACACTTTGTAAACTAAAAGAATGATTTGGACGTTGAGAGGTTAATGGAAGAAATTTGGTGGATGAACATTATAGGAAGAAAGGTTCTGAAATAGTATTATTTTGATGGGGATGATGAAAGTGTGGTGGTGTGAGCACAGATTTATAGAGACTGAGAAGCTGTAGATATTTTGTACGTAGAATAGATACAATTATAATAAAAGATATTTAGTATGTATGTAATCAGAAAAATATAAATAAATAAATAAATAAAATTGCGTGTACCATTTTTACAGAATGTGAGGACCACATGCATTCTTAGCTTGAGGTTGCATGGGGATGACCTTTTTTGTCTGAATTATACGTTGATTTTTCTTTTCCCAAAACCATGACATAAGAATCTTCTGCGCAAGTTGCACTGACTTGCAAAGCAACTCACTCGCAAGGGAGTCAATCTCCTGAAAATACCATTAAACAATTTCCTAGTTGCCATCAAGCTACAAGTTACGACTGTCCTCCTCACTGTAAATTTTGTCATGTTATATACAATCGATTACACTTAAAATTGTATGTTTGTTGACGAAAAATATGAAACATCTTCAACTTAATGGGCATGACCTAGAACAGTGAAGAATAATGTGAATGGAAAGGGGTTTCAATGAAGGGATATTAATTATGTTATTCTTATCCAACAAACAGATGACCCTAAAACCTCCCAATAACCATTGAATTAATAATCTAGTTGCAAGGTTGATAAGGGCATGGATCAATCTCGATATGTATGGAAAAGTCTCGAGAGAAAATATCATGATTTAGCAGATGTGGACAAATTCTACATCTGCAAGTACGAGGACCACTTGAGAAACTTTGGCGTATATGTGTTGAACAAGTCAGCCATATTCTTTTAAAGTCATCCAAGTGAAGTAGTTCATTTTTTATGTGGCCTGAAACAGTGTGAGCTGTGGATGGCAAGAAATTTCTGGTGTCATTGATTTCATTGTTCTCTCCTATTTTGCTAGACTTTGTCTTTTATTTTCTATTTTATTATGATGTCATTTCATACAGAAGCTTTTCCCACTCCTTCTCCACCACATATTATCACATCAATAATCTAAATTTTTTGTAATTAATAAGAGGGCGAACATTAGAAAAAGAAATATCACTAGACGGATAAAAAAAAGATAATAAGAATTAGCTAGTATGCTCAAATCTATAAGAATGTCACCAAGGATTTTGCATTCGTGCCTGCAAATGATTCTTTGGACCATAACTTGCCTATTAAGTTTTCTCAACTTATTCTTTTTTGGGCCAACTGATCAAGATCTAAAGCTGTGATGATATGGGGTGGCAAGAAAATCCTACTTCTGAGACTATTTAGTCAGCTTTTTTTTACAGTCTTTTAATAAGAACAATATTTTATCATTACCTTGAACAAAGATTCCTTTCTAAAAGTTGCATTTGCAGATCAACTGGGTAGACCATTAGAAATAATCTAACCAAAAAAGAAAAAGTAGACATTTGCAGATGAACTGGATCGACCAATAGAAATAATCCAACAAAAAAAAGCAGACATCCCAAGAAACAAACAAAGCATCTGACAAGACAAAATGCAAGTTGCATTTGAGCCAGTACATTCATAAATATCAATTCAAATTAAAGCAATGCATTCATCTTAGTTTCTTTTGGTTCTTGGCCTTCCACTCTTTGATATCAGCTTCAATCTGTTTTTGCACACTTGCATGGAAACCTGGATAAGGTTCATAGCCTAAGGCTGATTGAAGAAGCTCAAGCAGCACAAAGTAAGGCCCCATTAGAAGTGCTTGAACAAAGTTGTCTGAAAGAGCTGGTGCTCTTTTCTCAAATATCCCATGGCCTATGAACTGTCCAGTCCAGCAGAACAACTGAGCAGCCAGAACAAGCTTCCATGACCTGGAAAACCCAAGTCCACCAGCAAGAAAACTGGCTCCAACCCAACAGAGAAAGCAGAGCAAAGCTGCCAAGGGCCCTGCTTTCTTATCCAAGCAAACATAAAAAACAGCATACATCAAAGTAAGAACAAACCCAAAATTCAATTCAAGACCATGTTCACTAATCCCAGATGGGAAACTGTAGAGAGAAGGTGTGAAATGGAGAAGAACAGCAGCAGTGAAGAATAATGGCCACACAAAGAAAGTGTGTATCAAAATGTTAACTGGGTTGCTGTGATATGCTCCATAAAAGGCAAAGTGCCTTTCAAGATCAAACAATCCAGTCCTCCCCATGAAACTTTTCTTGCCAAATTGAATTGTATTTGTTGGAAGAAAAGGACAGGGTTTACTGGAAATTTAGACTTGACTGGCAAATGAAACAAATTGGGTACAGATAAAAGCACAGCTGGTGAAGTTTCCTGCTAGCTACTTTGAAATTTCTTTCTTAATTGTATAACAATGTGTCAATGGTCATTTTTTATAATATCGTTAAACTAATTTTATGGGAAAGGATTGGATTGGGCTAAATATTAAAACATATTTCTACCCACCATTGTCTTGTATCTATCGCAACCAGAGTTCTTATGGATCACCATGGGACACATGCCTCACAATTGATTGGATCTGGCCACCTATTCATGTGAAGTCTTCAAGTTGAAGCAACCAATGACACTTTTATTAAACTCAATTTTAATGATCATATGTTCTACCTCCTAATTTCTGGTTTGGCTGATTTGGTGTCAGTAAACCTCGGATTTGATGATATTTAGTTGTACTACAAGGCCAATAAATTACACGGAAACACATCGTACCTAGGAATTTTCATGTCGAAAATAATCAAGGCATTGAAATTATACAAACTTTTGCATCAAAATATGTTATAGGCTATCATGTCCTCTGCAATTAGTACAGGAAAACTGCACCTCTGTTTCCGGTCGTTTAATAAGAATAATGCATTGTCAGTACCTTGAACAAGTAACACAAGATTCCTTTGTGCAAGTTGCATTAATTTGCAAAGCAAGCTGACGAGATCATTAGAGATAATCTAGAAAAGAAAGCAAACATCCCAAGAAAGAAGAAACTAAAGCAACTGGCAAGACCATTAAAAATGCAAAGTTGCATTTGATCTAGTTGTCAACAAACCGAAAGGTTAAAAGAAGAAGCTGATGGTAGAAAGCCAGTACATTCATAAAGTTCATAAAGGAAGGAAACTACAGTAATTTTACAAAATTTTCACACAAAATACCGAAGTTCATAAACTACATAGAGATTTGACAAAATTTTAATACTAAACAACCATTACATTCATCTCAATCCATCTCAGATAATTAAGAGAGTTTCTTTTGGTTCTTGGCCACCTTCCACTCTGCGATATCAGCATCAATCTTTGCATTCACACTTTTGTAAAACCCTGGATAAGGTTCATAGCCAAAGGCGAAGTGAAGAAGCTCAAGCAGCACAAAGTAAGGCCCCATCAGAAGCCCTTCAGCAAAGTTTTCTGAAGGAGCTCTTTTCTCAAAAACCCCATGGCCTATGATCTGTCCAGCCCAGGAGAGCAACTGACCAATCAGAACAACCTTCCATGATTTTGAAAACCCAAGCTCACCACCAAGAACACTGGCTCCAACCCAATTGACAAAACAGAGCAAAGCTGCCAAGGACCCTGCTTTCTTATCCAAGCCAACATAGTACAGAGCATACATCACAGTGAAAACAAACCCAAAATTCATTTCAAGTCCATGCTCACTAAACCCAGATGGGAAACTGTAGACAGAAGGTGTGAAGTGGAAAAGAAGAACAGAAGTGAAGAACAAAGGCCACACAAGGAAAGTGTGTATCAAAATGTTAAAAGGGTTGCTGTGATATGCTCCATAGAAGGCAAAGTGCCTCTCAAGATCAAACAATCCAGACCTACCCATGAAAATTTTTTGTTGCAAAACCGAATTTTTTTCTGTTGGGAAGAAGGACAGATTTTCTTGGGAAGCTAGACTTGACAGGAAACTGAAAGAAATGGGGGTATAAATAGAACATCTGGGGGAGGTGAAGTTTCCTGTGCACTGCTTTGAAGTTTCTTTTATTAATTGCTTTTACAAGCGTCAATGGTCAATTGGTATAAAATGTGTTTCATGGTCGACTTGTGTTGACTCATGGAGAAGGATTTTAGTTGGATTGAACTGCACGGTACTGAGGTGGATTGAAGTAATCTTTTGGGCAAAGGACTGGATTGGGATATAGATTTAAAAAAACAAATTTATACCTACCATCATCTTGTCCCTATGGCAAACCAAAGGGTTTTATAGCACATGCCCTCATCTGGTCACGTAGAGTCATTAGGTGTGGAAACAACTTTTTTGTTAAACTCAACTTTAATGATTCCATTTTATACCTGCTAGTTTTTGTGTAAGAAATTTTTCATCCAATGCTAGCCCAACACAAGACCTGTTGAGCTTTTTGATACATACCTGATAATTTTCTATGTCTAAGATAATCAAGGCATTGCAATTAATATTGTACAAAGTATTGCATTGAAGTACATATACATTATGGGTTTTTTTTATATATATATAAAAAAAAATCTAATCTAAATTGGCAGTGAACTCAGGTGCATAATGGGGAGCACATCCGTTCTAGCCAACTTGGCTAAGTTCATGTCTGCACATATAGGTCATTGTTATCTAAGATAATTACATCTTGAGTTTAATTACAAGAAAGAAACATTTTTTCTTTTCTCTTGATATTAAAGAGATGGTATATGTCATAGATATTAACTGGACGGTACTAATCACTCAACTTGTCATGTAAGAAGAAAGTCATGGCTAAATCTTTTTTAAAGAAGACAATAATCTTTCTTATGTATTGCAAGTAACTCTCTCTCTCTCTCTCTCGCCAACATTTACTATTACTAATACACTTGACTCAGTCAAGTATTACCCGAAAGATGTAAAAATAGAGAAACTTTAGGTAAGGTCTGACTCGGTTTAGCCTCAACCTAACCTTTCTCAAATGGGAACGCTATAAATTGACAACCACCATAAATTGTTAAAGTTATAAAATAATGTGAATGCTCCTAAAATCAAATATTCAAGTGCATTCAGTGCTACCAATACAAAAGCTTGCCATAAATCATATAGGGAATTTTACATAAATATTACTTGAACTTTTAGGCATGTGCGAGATTACCATTTAAACTTTTAATTTTTACTTGTAACTACCTGAATTATGTAAAGTGGAATTTACATATGTGACTTGATTTAATAGAATTTTTTAACGGGGTTATATGTAGGTGGTAAATTCCAACACTTTATTTAGGTGGTTACAAGTAAAAATTAAAAATTCAAGTGTTAATCTTGCATATGACTAAAATTCGGGTGATATTTATGCAAACTTCCCAATCATATGATAAGAAAATCTTAAGAATCAAGGAATATGCCAGTAACATGATAAATAATCTCAAGCCAGTAGGCCCAGTGGGCCATGGGCCTAGTGGGGTCCTTTTCTGTAATCTCAGGGCTCATTCATTTCTCTCCACAGTCTGATTTTCTCTTCTGTGCTGCTTGGCATTGAGATTGAAGCCCATTTGTCAAAAATTATCAGAAATAGTTGGCAGTTTTTTAAAAATTTTAATTTTAATATTTTCAACTTGTATAGTATTTAACAATAATTGCATGTCGCATTAGTTGGAGTTTTATGTCCAAAGTCCAAACACAAATGCTCAAATGTTTCACCATTGGCCCATGCTAATCATACAAAACAAGCAAAGCAAACCTACGATTGTATTAAAATAGTAATCAGTGGGAATTAAGAAAGTGAAAAGGCAAAACTGCTCGCAGAAGAAGACAGAAAGGTGATTCTCATGCCCAGCAATTCTTCTTTCTTTATGTCATGAATTTCAGCAAATGATGGTAAAGTCTCATCTCAATTCTCTATCCAATAATTCAGAACAAAAATAGAAATTTTTGGAGTTCGTACATCTGCACTCATTTCCATTTGTTATTCTATTTGCTCTACCAAACTCATGCTTGTGGTTGTAAACTGCGAGCAGCTGGTTTTCATGGACTTTGTTCATAAATTAGGGCAATATAGTTGGGAATTTTTCTTCCATGGCTCATAGCTTATTATTATAGTGGTAAATTTCATTTTTCCATGGCCCGCAATGAAAATTCGATTCTCGTCCTGGTCTGTTTTGTAGCCTTAGGCCTTTGAAAGGAACAAATTAAATATGTCATCGTAATGATTGACTTGCAATTTGTGTTATCCTCTATTTATGCAGATATTCACTTGTTTTACTCACATCTAAATACCCTCAAAATAGCCCTTATCTAACCCTAAATTTTCACCTAGTCTAGATTGAAAATGATCTTGAATTTCCCTTTTTAGTAGTATCTCCAATAGCTGTTCCCAGTCTAAAAGAAAATTTATGAATCTGCCAATTACGGTAATCGTACTTTGGGGGGAGTTATATTCTTTGAATTTTTTTTTAATCAAATTTGAAGTAAAGTTATAAAGAAGAGAAACTTGTGGTTGCAACTTTAAGTAAAAGGGTGGTTGGTACTCAACCCAATTCAATTGACCAAATATATCTTTAAAAAAATTTAAATTCTTAGTTTTAATTATGCGTGATCGTTCGTGGAAGAGGCTTAGATTTTTTTAATTTTGATGTCAGATCGCTCCATTATTATAATAACTCTTTGTGGCTAGTTTGTATTAGCCCTTTGTGACTAGAGGTTTTTTTGGCTGAATTATAATTGCAATTTCATAATTTAAAAAAAGAAAAAGAAAAAAAGACTACACAATAGAAAAAGAGAATAATATTGGAATTAAAAGAGGAAAAAATAATATATATATATATAATTCTAACCTTAATAAGATATCAACATCATTGTCACTCATATTTCATTACTCATGAGTCATGGCATACATTCAGTTTACAAAATGAAATTTTGACCATCACCAACAGTAGGGATTATAAAAATACTAAACAGTCCGTTAATTAATTGATTAACATGTTGTATACAATTGGAGTATAATACCCAAAAGAAACCAAATTGACACGTGGCACATAAATTCCCCCACATGTGTCCATACTTCTTTAATTCCAAACTAAACCCTACAACCAAAAGTCAAAACACTCCAAACCAACCACATTGCCTAAAGGCAATGAGAACCTATTCCTTGTGGCACAAAAAAATATTTGCGGAAGATATAAAGTATACACATGAACATTGCCTTATTATTTTATTCTCAAACAAACATAACAACACTAAAATGAATATATGCCATGAAAAAAGAAAACATTTTTACGGTCACCACCCAATTAGAAATCTCCTGGGAAAAAAAAGTTATTTATCTATAATTGTAAAAAATAAAATAAAAATAAAAATTCAAGGGGTAGTTATGATTATGAATGACATGTCGATCTCTTGCACTTGCAAAATGTGAGAGCACAGAGAGTCAGAGATGGAGGGCAATAGATAGACAAAAATCAAGATGAAAGCTTTTGTTATTGCTTAAGTCACCTTACGTTAGCTTTGCCTTCCTTACCATTTTTAACGTCCCCATACATTTCAATACACACACTCAACTCTCTCTCTCTGAAAGCCAAGCCAAAATGCCAAACCCCAAAAACCCATAAAAAGAAAATAGAGGAAAGAGAGAGAGAGAGAAAGATATATAGAGAAAAGGGTTAGAGCATTTAGCAAAAGAAGCCAAACCCAAAGCCAACTGTTTGCTCCTCCCAACACCTCCATCTCCATCACCACCTCAGCTCTGATCATTGTCCACTAAACCCATATTCCTCTTTTCAACCATTTTTATTATTCTACTCAGAGTTTCTTTAAATTTTCCATCTTTTTTGTTTTTTGTTTTTGTTCAATTACGCTCCAAAATCTCAAGCTCTAATAAACCCTCATTTACAGAGGGACAGCAACAAACACAGAGGAGAAGAGCAACAAATAGTTTAATTTATTAATTTTATTCTCTCCTTGAATTCTCATTCTTATATCATTTCTATTTATAATTCTAGTAGTTGCTATTTTCTTTTTCCTTCTTTTAAATAAAAAAAATCTCTGTGGGGGTTTTTGATTCTATGGCTGCGGTTGCTGAGATTTCCGGTGAGGCAGCCTCTGTCAAAAACTCAAACTTGGATTCAATGTCAAAACCCATGTCCGATTCCAAATCAGAATTTGATGTGCAGAAGCTGGTGGATATGTTCACCAAGCTGAACCCTTTAGCCAAAGAGTTTTTCCCTTCATCTTACTCTCACCACCAACATTCCAATTTTGACAACTCTTTGGCGGTCAATAACAATAAGCTTTCAGCCAATGATAATCTGGCCAATAATCGAAGGGTACTGATCACTCTCTTTTGATCCCTTTTTGTCTTTTTTGTTTTATTTAAATAATGGGTTGTTTCTTATATTTTGTTTTTCTTCTGATTATGTTCGGATTTTAGCTAAATGGGCTTTGTGGGATTTTTCTAATTGATGTAATTTTGATGTAATGTGATTTGAATTGGGTTTTTCGTTGAATTGGTAGCTGTTCAGGTTGTCGGTGAGCGAGGTTCTTGAATTTCATTTTTTGCCTTGCTGATCATTCATCATAAAATAGTTTAGTGACTGCTGATTATGATAGAAATGAAAAGGGTGTATAGTTCCAGTATTGTAAGTTGTAACCGTATGCATAGTTTCTGTTCAGAAGTTAGTTGTTTACTGATGTAGTCTGAATTCATGATCTGAAGTTCGAGTTTCCACTTGTTCGTCTTGAGAGTAAATGAGCTCTATGTATTTTGTTTAGCCTTTTGATTTTCAGTTAACATTCAGTTTGATTTCTATGGGCTGTGTGTTTGTGTTGGAAAGTCGGTTGCTCCTTTGGTCAGCAATTTTTTTTTTATGGATAAGCTTAGCAATCACTTTTATCATTCAGCATGGAGTTTTGTTTGGTGCATATTTTCAATCATGACTGTTTCTCATCATCATTATTATTAGTTAGAACTTGTAATGATTTGATTGTTGGACGTCTTATCAATTGAGAGCCTCTGAAGCTGTTCTTTTGTAAGAAACGACTTTGTTTGAAAAGATACGGATTACGTTCTACACATGTAGTTATTATTTTCCTTCATTATATTTGGTCATAGTAATTTATACTTTTTGTGTTTTTCAGAGAAGAAATAGCTTTAATCAGGGGAAGAGAAGACTTAGTGGGAGAGCTTTCAGAGCTGAGCGGGAAAATAGTATTAGACGAACAGTATATGTTTCTGATATTGATCAGCAAGTAAGCGAACTGGAAGATACTGATACCTATATTGGGTTTTCTGTCCCTTCTAATTATAAACAAATAGCTGTTATAAAAACTCACTCTTTCTTATTTAGGTTACCGAAGAGCGTCTTGCTGCCATATTTAGTAGTTGCGGACAAGTAAGTCACCATGCTTTCCCGGATTTCATTTTGTGTTTTCTGATTTTAGAAAGAGTGTTGTTTCAATAAATCTGTAAATTCAAACCTGGGCGCTTCCTTTTGTTTCTTTGCTTTCTCTTGAATTTTGTGGTTAGTCTTACAGAGCATGAATTCCATAACAAGACTTCTTCTTTTCCTAAAGTAAGCTATCATCTTTTTCCTCCCGAAATGAAGTCTCTCATGTTCTGTTTGTCCGCTTCTAAAATGAGGACTGAGATCATGTGACGAAGTATATTGTAGCAGTGTTGGTAATGCCATGTGGTTATCCTCTAGAATTTTCCATTTAAGTGTATTGGTAATGTATATAATTGGAACTTGTATGGGACATAAATAATTTTATTTATGGTATCTTGTATGCAACATTTAATTATATGAAATGACACCCTTGGCTTGATCCACACATGGGTTGAAGGTAGTTTTGAGGGTTGCTTTGATGCTCTTCTGGCCAAGAGTATTTGGTGTTCTGTTGTTGGCTCTATATCAAGCTCTATGTCAGGTCTTGTTTCTTTTCAGATGATTTTGTGCTCTATCAAGTTGTGTGATAAAAATATGAAGAAACGAAATTCATAAGTGTTACAAAGTTTAAGGGGCTTCTTTGTTTTCTTATTGAATCAAAGTTCATGTTGTTTTCCTGTTAAAATTTGTATAAATGAGATTGTACTATTTTCTGGACATTCTGGGTTGGTAAAGATCTCTACAATAAGAGGGAAAGTGGTTTTCTTTAGATTTGTGGCTATGGATGTCAGTACATGAGAAGGATTTATCGTAACAGCTATAGTTTATTATAGTTGTGTTGCTTTGTAGGGCTTTTTTCGTGAATACCTTTTGACTACAAATGGGTGATAATATTGTGCAGGAAAAAGAATGTAATAACTTACTATCATTTTCCATTTCAATATCAGTTTGTCAGAAAAAGCTTTTTATTAACTGGGTATCTGGGACAAGACACCTCTCATAATGTGAATAATAAATTATATAAAGATTTTCTTTTAAACATAGTAGAAAAAGATTCAGAGTTATCTGATGTATGCGTTTCCACTTCTCAAACATTATAAGCTTATTTTCTGTTAGTTTTATACCGCACGAGTTGCAGTTTCTCTTGCAGTCTTTAACCCATAACGTTTTGTGAAGCTTCTGTGATCATATAATTTCAAAAATGCGCTTCCAGTGAATCTCTTGTTTTTTATGATGTTTCTTCCAGTAAAAAATGTGCTTCCAGTGGATCACTGCTGTTAACGATGGGATTTATATATTCAACAGTCAATTTCCCCTTCTGGTTTTCTGCATACTCTGGGATTGCCAGTAGAATTCATTCATGCTGTTTTAAAGGTTTAGGCTATGAAACACCAATACTTACTATCATGCAGCGGACATGAAGGGATACCTATACTTGTACAGCAGTAATTGTTGGAAATAAAAATTCATATTTTTGTCATTTGGTGCTTCCACAACACTCACTATCGTGCAGGTTTTTTCACGCATGTTCAAAAATAAATTGTAGAAAATGTGTTGGTTTGAAGTAGCTCAACTATGAAGACTTGACTTACATATCGTAAACTTGACAATTAGGTTAAATTTATGGACTCAATACTTTGAAGGTATACATAAGCAAGATGGGGATTACACTAAAACAAGGATAAAAGATAGTCTAAATGAAGGTTTCTCTTTGCTTCTGTCTCTCCCTCTCCCCTTCCCTCCCTCACCCACTCAAATGACATGCATTTTATAATTTTCCTTATCTGACTTTTGTGTTCTTTTTAACACATTATTCATATTATTTGATCTTTGGAGAAACGTAAGAAAGTTAGTGGTTAAATGTTTTTCCTTAAGGATTTGGCATTTGGAACGATGTTTATGTGCCTTTCAGTAATTATGATTTATCATACTTGTAAGCATTGAAAGGCACATAAGCATTGTTGTTAAAGGCAAATTATGTACTTCATCTCTTGTGCAAGGATACTAGGTTCTGATAATGTGAAGGTGGTTGCTTTTTACCTCGATGGCTAATATCTTAAATGACAGTCCTAAACTTTGTTGTAATCTTTATCTTTGAAGGTTGTTGACTGCCGAATTTGTGGTGATCCGCACTCCGTACTCCGTTTTGCATTTGTGGAGTTTGCTGATGAGCGTAAGATTTTTTAGCTTTTTGGCCTGCAACCTTCTGTAACATTTTTATGATTGCATGTCACATGGAAGTTTTGTCAACAGATGGTGCGAGAGCAGCTTTGAACCTTGGTGGGACAATGCTAGGGTACTATCCTGTTAGGGTCTTACCCTCAAAAACTGCCATCCTTCCTGTGAATCCTACATTCCTCCCTAGGGTATGAACAATGCTCTAAAAGTTTTGGGTTTATTTTCTGAATGGTGTGTGCATTAATGTTTTAATAAGGTTGCACTCTGAAGATTTTTGCCTTCATAAAATATTCTATGATTTCATTTGCAGTCAGAAGATGAACGGGAAATGTGTAGCAGGACTGTATATTGTACAAATATTGATAAGAAGGTATACACTTTCCTGTTTTACCATAATGAAATATTTGGTTTCCTTGGTGCATCCTTGTGTCCCAGATGATGCCTGTGGGATTGGCCATCAGGCCTTTATACATACGTATATGGCAGTTGAATAACTGGAATCTTCCATGTATTACTGTATATGCAGGTTTCTCAAGCTGAAGTCAAGAATTTCTTTGAAACAGCTTGTGGTGAGGTAGGAAGAGTTCCAAAGCATGTTATTTATTTATTACATATAATTTTTTTTGTCAATAGTGTTTGTTGTGAAAGCTAATTTGATATTGATAATTTTTTTACTTGAAGGTTACTCGTTTGAGGCTTTTGGGGGATCATGTGCATTCAACTCGTATAGCTTTTGTTGAATTTGCAATGGTAAGCTTACAATATTAAGGTTGATTGCCGACTAGAGTCAAAACTTTTTGAAGATATGCTTATGATGTTTAAAGACTCTTTTTAATCCCTAACTCTGATCTATATTATTCTATCAAATGCTGGCTCTCTTCCAATTGAAAGCCCTCCCTTCCCAAGTGGAATACTACTGGCACCAAAATTATCCCAAACTTTGAGTACCAAGTGTCTCGTGTATATTTTGAAAAGAAGCACTTTCCAGAGGTGTCCTTATGATGGTGCCTAAGTCCTAGGCGCCTGCAAATATCACTTGTTGTCATTAAGGGTTTTTCTTTTTAAACTTTTATATTGATTTTTGGGTTTATTTATTTTGTTCTAGGCTGTACTGCGTACACTTTGGTAAATAGCTTTGAAGTCTAGGAATTACTGATCCTACTGTATTATTTGCATAATTAATGATGGCATATGGAACAAGCGTCTGAATGGTATCTCTATCAAAGGTTCTTGTTCCATTTCAGTAGTTTTTGTTCTTGTGTAAGTCAAGTGGGTTGAAGATTTTCTTGGGAGTAAATTAGGATACATGCATTAAAAATGTTTACCATAGTGTCATGTAGACAGGTTCAGTTTCAATATTGGGCATTGTTTCCTCCCCTTTTCCATCCCATTCAGTTGGAAGATAAAGAATCATCTATTTTCCCAAGTGTAAGGCAACCCATTGAAGAAAAAGATATAGAAATTTTTTTTTTATAAAAAATAAAAAATAAAAAAAAACTTTGGTGTATTGTTCATTTGTTGCAATGTAGCTCAGATAATGTATTCTAAAATCTTGAACTATTGTTCCATGTAAGTTGTGACCATAGAACTTCTGCACATTAGGTTGTTATGGAATGACAAAGAGCTATACCTTTTTATGTGTCACAAGGATACTTCCTTTTTCTGCATTTACATGGAAAGAGGTAAATGTGATGTGCGATGAAATCAAGTATATCTGCTTATGAAGGGCCATGCGCATATTAAATGCTTGATTTTTTTTTTTTTTTTTTTTTTTTTTTTTTGTGGTGGGTGCCGAAGACTTCTGATTTGACATCATGAAGACATATATGAAAACTTGATGCTTTCAAATTTTCTTTTGTTCCTTCTTAATCGTTTGCCCTTGAAAATTATACTTTCCATTTTTGGTTCCTTAGATTATACCGTGTGTGCATGTTTGTGTTGACTGGAGGTCCATCGTTTCATTTTATTATAATAAGAACTGTATAAAGGATTATGTCATATTCCATTAGATGTTTAGTGAAAATATGTTGAGGAATTTAAAATCTTTTTCTGTAATACAGTCCAGACAAATGATTGTTCTCTTGAAAAATCCTGTTGGCTTACTCTTTGCTTTGATGAACAGGCAGAAAGTGCCATACTTGCACTGAATTGTAGCGGAATGGTGTTGGGAACACAACCCATCAGGTGTGGTCTCTGATCCAAAATGAGTTTTTATCCCAACTCTTCAAATCAGTGAATACCATAATATCTTGTACATTTTGTAATCTCTGTAGGGTAAGTCCTTCAAAGACACCTGTGCGGCCACGTGTTACTCGTCCATTGCATTAACCAATACCATCGGAAAAGATCTGTGGATGGAGCTTGGAGGGCTTTACGATTCGGAGGAACTTTGTTGTTTAATCATCTTTTCCTTTCAGTATTTCCATCTTTTCCGTTGCAGTGGTTCATGTTCTGGGCTGAAATATTGGGACCCTGCTTCAGTTGAAGTTTTAAAAGATGGTTTGGATCTTGACAATCTTACCTTTAGCCTCGTCGTTGATTTGAAAGTTCTAGTTCAGTTCAGTTCTGTTCTGTTTATGATTGTGAGTATGTCCCTGCTCACACTGCACGCACTCGAAAGCTTAAATACCAATTTGTATTTACTGAATAAACAGCCGCAATGTTGCAGTTTACCAATTCCCCACCATTGTTAAATTCCTCATGGCATGAAATTCTAGGATGGTAAAACACCGAGTGACTAGGGAAACCCAGGAACAGAATTTCCACCAAAACTCTAGGTTCCCTTTTTGCCCCTCAATAACCATCGTTTTCTAGTCTGTTTTCGGTCGAATTTCTAGTCTGGTTTTGAAACTAGATTATGCTTATGCATTTCAATGAAGGCGTGCAGCACATGTAGATGTAGGTAGATGTATATTGTGATTGTTGGGCAGTGGCTTATTAGATGTTTTAGGTTGGTTTTGGGCAGTAAGAGCACTTGAGACTTTCTATCTATAATCTTACCCTTTATAAACCTTTCTAATATGAGACTATAAATAATTATTGGGCAAAATGGGACACAGTTCTTAGATGATGGACTTCTAGACGAATCCACTCGTTGCTCATCTACAACAGGTTGTCTTGTGGCAAGTAACTATAGAAGAAGATGATGAGTTTTCTACTAAGTTGTAGTGAGCGGGTTCTCTCTTCCCTTGGTTTTATTCACCTTCTACTCCTTGTTTGTGCTAAAATCTATGCAAATCAACAAAAACAATTACATGAAGAGTGATACAAATGAAACAAAATTGTTGAACATTCATGAAAATCAACTAGGTGGGAACATGAGCTGCAAGTCCACAACCATCAAGGAGGAGCCTCTGGTAACTAGGTGGACCAAAAGTCCGAACGGAAAATTTGTGTGAACAAGTTGCTCGCGCAAAATGCACTCTTATAATCCAAGCAAGAAGTGTACACTGCATTTTAAATTAAATGCATCCTCTGACCCGAATGGGCTACCAAGAAAGAATGGCGGAAGAGGCACCTGTGAAGTTGAGGAGCGTAGGTCGATGATGGAGAACTGGCGGCAGGAGGCAGCTTCAGGCAAGGGGTGGAAAGCATCATAACAGGGGGAAATGGGAATGAAAGAAGTGAGAAGTGGAGGCTGAAACACAATGTTGGTAGATGGGGAAAAAAGAAGAGGGAGAAACTGTGTATTTTTTTTTTTTTTTTTTTTTTTTTTTGGTTTGTTGTAGATTTAGGGTTTTAAGATTTGGGCATAAATTTAGGGAGAGTAAACTAAGAATGAAGAGGAAGAAGGATAGGAAACCAAAAGGAGACAAAAGCTCCGAATTTGAGACATAGCTCAGGGAGGAAACACCATAGCGGGTGGGAGGAGCCGTCGACTCTCAAAACGGTGGAGAGGGGGGAGAGCTCGCAAAATCCGAATATATTCATTTCAACACAAATTGTGAGTAAATCTAAACTTGAAATCCGAATATATTTTGAAATTCCAAATTCTTGGAATTTTGAGATACATTCCAATTCTAATTCAATATTTTTCGGAATTTTTGGAATTTTGAGATTTCGAATATCGAATTTGAATAGGCCGTGCTAAAGTTGAAAATTGTCATATTGGAATTGCACCCGAAAGGAAAAGCCCTTGAATATATATATATACTAGATGTTCATTACATGATTGCCAAGGAGAAGAGATACCACTATATATAAACCACTGTTTCTTTTTTCCACCCAAGTACATATTATTTATGATTTGTGAAGTATGGAACAAGTGGGTGATGTATCCACTGCTTCAGGCAATGTTTCTTTGACACTTGCCAAGCAGTTCATCCCAAAAGATATGGATGAAGAGAGAACTAACAGAAGGAGATCTAATTAACGACATCTTTAAAGATTAACATGGATGCCAAAAAGACTTGAAAAATAGAAGAGAAGAGAGCTAGCTATAAGCAAGGAGGAGGGGTTTGAGAGCCATGAGAGGCGCCTTTGGCGTGTAAGCAGACCGAACTGGAACGTCCTGGGGGATTAGAATGGGCCAAGTTGATATTTTCCAGCACCACATTCTTGCATGGCCTACTTTTGCTGCACACCAGACTAACGGCTACTTCCGATGACGACCTTCCCCATATGTTCTTGTATGTAATGTCGCTGATTTGCACACTCGAAGAAGAAGTCTGCATACAAGAAGAAACAATAAGGAAACCCTTAAATAAGATCTGTTTTATTCTTTCTGGAACCCTGCTTAGGGTATAATGTTCTTTTATCAAATACACAATTTGAGACGCCACGTTCTTACATTTAAAAATCTATAGATCATACGTTCAAATTATAATATGCAAGATTAATTGTGGATTTAGGGTATATGTATTGTCAGACTGTTAATCTAGACTACTATTAATTAGGTGAAACCTTATTCACATGTAAATAAGACCTTAAATTGATAATCCGATAACATAACATCTCATATCAAGCAGGAGATAAAAATGAACGTATATACCTGCTGAAAGCAAGGAGGGTTGGGGCAATATTCTTGATCGATGGTAATGGGGTTGAGGACATCATCCATGAAAATGTCCTGGAACGTAAAGTTGGAAGCCTTGCTGGCATAAGGAGAAGCCCAAGTTTTGATCCTCACGCCATTGCTAGTCCCCAAGAATGTGCAGTTCTTCACAACCACTCCAACGACGTCGTCTTCATTCGCATACCCTCCAAGGCTTCCAATGCTGATTCCATGCCCAGGACCGCAGAAAACTTTAGAGACGTGGATTTTTTTGCTTCCCTCCACTATTGCCACGCAGTCATCTCCGGTTGCGATCCGTGAACGGGCGATTCTGATGCGGTATGAGCTTCCGATTTTTATTCCGTCAGTGTTGGGGCTGTCAGCAGGAGCTGAGATTCTGATTTTTCTGAAGTCCATGTTGTGGCAGCCGAAGACTTTGAAATGGGCATTCTTGCTGTCGTATGATTTGACGCGTTGAACTATTGCGTTTGTGACGAAGTCAAAGCTCATAGACTGATACATTCCACAAAACATGCACAACAAGATGTTAAATTGTGATGACACACACTAATCATTTTAAATAATATTATTTGTACTATCTCAACTGATGATCTAGTATACTGCCTCCTTAACAACATGGCCGGACCTAGATTTTGGTGGCCAGGGCAAAGTCAAAATGAAGGCCCTATAAATGCAAGACTACTTACAAGTAAAAATATTTGTTTTCATTTATACGCGTGTATATAGAATGTAGACCTTTTACAACTAGTAGCAAAAATTAGACTGTAAAAAAAAATTCATTTTACTTGTGGAAATGTTTAAAATTTTTTATATATAAAGCAATGATTGAACACAAGGAAAAAAAAATTGAAAGATATTGGAAGAAAAATATGACATTTTAAGTAGTAAAATGCACCAAAGGAAGAAATAGGGGTAGGACAATATATGTTAATATGTAAACCACAAATTAGTCCTTCCAAAGTCATTTATAGTCTCTCTTTTTTTTTTTTTTTTTTTTTTTCTATGATAGTCCATTTGATACATTTATAATCAGAACATCAACTCATCAAGCATCATTATAAAAAAAAAGTTTTATTTCTTAACACTAGTAGGACTTGAACATAGATTTGGTTTGAATAAAATCAAAGAGAAACCGTTAATGCAAGATGGAACTTCAGAAATCTTGATGTTATTAGCTTCTATATATACTCAAGGCCGGGCCTGCTTAACAAATGATGAGATTCATGTATGCCGGTCTTGCGTAAGTAGTTTTCATCTCCATTAGAGAAGTGATATATTTGAATTGTCGGTTGAGAAGGCATAAATAGCAATACTTTTCATAGTTGATTTGTTAATGAAAGGATACCCGTGTAATTAATGTATTAAGTGCACATCGAACCCTACCTAATGTGGTCACTAATGCTCTCTCTTAATCTAGCACCACTCATTTTGTTTAGTAACGTATTAATAATACATGTACAAGACTTGTCCAAATGCATCCATATATGTGAATCGTATCCTTGTAATGTAGCATTAATGTTCATAACACAAATAAAAATCATGATGAGAACAAAAAATTAAGTATCCTTAGAATGCTTCTCATATATATGTATGCATGCCCTTTGTAATACTGTTATATATTGTCTTTTAAAGAATTTTGTAAAAGAGAAAAAGCAAGGACTTACAATAGGAAGAGCCTGGCATTGGGGATTACTTCTGCAGTTGTTCAAATGCCAAGCCGAGGCTCCTTGGCCGTCCAAGGTACCACCGCCGCTTACCGTCAACTCATCAACGTACCGGAAGTTTATCCAACTATGAGCACTAAAGCTTGATGGATCAGTAGTAGCCTTCAAAGTCCCCCTAATCACAAATGCAATCGGACCATTGCATGGACCGGAGAATATCACCGGGTACAGCTTGAATGTTCCTTGGGGAACCACGACCCTGGACTTTCCATTCCATTGGCATGCGTCACTCCATGCTTTCAAAAATGCCTAAATTCATGTATTCACAAAGAGCATAAACTAATTCTTAGAAAGAAAAGAAATATAATTGTGATGATTAAAAGACATGCATCTAAATATATGCATCAAGGGAAATATGAGGTAGGTTAATTAGTCAAGAAAGTGTGTATGTCCTCTTGCACTCGAGTTTGATCTCATTTTCCGTACATTTAGAATATCGCCTTATAAAAAAAATGCACATAAAATTGCTCCTTTAAGAAGCTTTATGTGTGTGGATGTATATATTACCTTGCTGTTATCAGTTCTTCCACCTCCAACAGCACCATAATCTATCACATTGAAAAACTTGGGTTGCGTAAGACCTTCTGTTACCCATACCAACAAGAACAATAGCAAGAAGACCCTACCTAGAGAAGAAATGATTATACCCATGCCTCCTTTTCTTCTTGTTCTTGGTTTTTTGGGTTCTTCTTTATCTTTTTCGAATGTTTTGACTTCTTTCCCGTACTTGTATATATATAACATATGTTATATGGTTCAACGTAGGGCTTGCCTATGATGAAGCTATTAAAGATTTGTTTCCCCCTTTTCTGATGATTGTTGTTCATGGTACCGTCGTTACTTTTGGTATGTAGTTTGAATGATTTTCCTATTTCGGCCTATATTGGACTATTTGTTTCTGCTTTTTAATATCTCTAAAAGGAAAGAGATAGGACAATATAGGAGGATGATTGGCAAATATAGGAGGATGATTAATTATGTAAGACATGGATGGTATATATCTAAAACATAATTAATATACTTTAAAAATCTAAATAGGGATATGGATACTTGTAACGTTTAAATATTACTTTAAGACAAAAAGTAAAAATTATATGGTCGTTTGGGAGTGATTCTAGATAGGGAAATAATCACTTCTATGGAGAATCACTTCTCCATATAATCACTTAATTGATTTTTTGGAGAAGCACATAGGAGGTGCTTCCTCCTAATATCGCTTTAAATCACTTAAAGTGATTAAACAAAAAAGCACGTGAGATGTGCTTCTCCCCATAAGTGATTATGGTCCTCTAGGAATCACTCTCAAATGAGCCCGAAATCACAAACCTTTAAGGGAAATATTAAATGACAATGTAACTAAAATAAGTCTAATACTGCATTATGTCAGTTAGCCTAGGCAAATGAGGCTGCGCCCTGTAGATTGGATTAATATAGAGTGATTTAGATTATCGCTTGTATAAAAAATATTAAAATAATCTAAGTCAATTTTTAAATCTAATTGAGATTATTTCAAATCCCTTAAGCTTGGTTCATGATAGTAAGTTATGTGAAATTATGGGTTTAAATTTCTAAACTAGATTTTTTGCGATTCTTAAAAAAAAACTTACATACGAGAAATCTCATTATTTCAACATCACCATGTAATTAAAAGGTATACACATTCAATTATAATCCGCCAAAATCTCCTATGATCAACTTTTTAAGTTAAAAGGAAAAAAAAAATTCTCATCTTGGTTTTATAGAAACAAGATTCTCTTATCAGCACAATTTAAGGTAGATTATCAAGCTAAAATAAGTACATATTCTTGGTCTAATATGCATATATATATTTTTATATTAGAAGATATTCCACAGATTTTGCATTGTAAACTTAGGTACACCACCATTACAATGGGATCTCACGAGCTTTGCATTGTGGTGGACTGTCAATAATAACTCCCTTTATATTTTCTATTTAAACTTGGATTTATAACATAGATATATTTGTTATCAAATATAATTACATTGCATTGCATCTAGTATTTGTTTGGTCATTCTTCCAAGCATAGATATTATCAAATCTAAATCCATCTTCATATAGTGTCTTTATTAATAATTTTCTATTTTTTGGGTTACAATGTTTTTTTTGGCAAACAATAAGTTATTTATAAACATATACTTTTATAAAGAGCCAATACACTTATAATGAAGCTACTCCGCCACAATTAGGTATAGAATGCACCACAATTATATATCGGTTTCGCATCAATTTGAGTCGAAATAGGTAAAAAGATGAAGAATTTCAACAACCTCACAGAAATTATCCCATCTCACCGACTCTGTAACTGTAATAAAATAATTTGTTCAAAAATGACTTCTTCTTCTTCTTCTTTGGTTCCCAACAATGTCGGAGTTATACATTGTTGGCCGAGTCATTTCCATGCCCAAACAAATTTATGAGGCCGTTGACAATTTCCCGCCCAAGCTCTATTTCCAAGCAATTTAGGCCTCCAACCAACTCTCGGTCCTCTTTATTCTGTAGACAAAGAAATTGTCAACTCCGTAGTTATCCTCCTAATTACCTTGACTTTATTGAAATAACATATGCGACTCTTAACTCTAAAACCACACATATATAAAGTAAATACCATTTTTTATTTAACCAAAAAAAACCAATTTTTATTATTTGGTCAATCGATCGGGTCCCTTACATTTCTTTTTTAGAGTATTTTTGCTTACCACTTTAACCTAAGGTGTATCATCACCATTATTTTGGACATTTGACACGTGTACATGGGTATAATCATTATTACACAAATACAAAGCAAATATTTCCTTTCTTCTTGGAAATAGTTTTCTTTCCTCGCATTTCTTCAACGCTTCATTTAGAAGTTTTCTCCTCAATCAAATAATTATTTTTTCTAAAGTCAACAAGAAAATTAAACCCTCACGGCACATTCTAAATTGGGTTTTTAAAAAACCCCTCAATTGTTGCTCGACTTAACTATATTTAGCATCCTGATGAAATTCATTGGAAACCGAGATTCGTTGACAATGATATATATTTGTGTTTTTCTTTTTATATTGCCTTGAATTTTTTTTAAATTGTTTTTTTTTTACTTCCTCAGCGTGCTCTTTCCTGGTTCATTTTGAGCCTCAAAACTGACGGTTGAAAAAAATACCAAGCAGATGTTAAAATAATGTCAATATTTCTGGAGGGTTTCGGGTTGAAGTTGCAACATTAGTAGTTCGTTAACAAATTAAAAGTAAGATTAACTTGTAATCTCATAGGATAGGATTATCAAATATTCAAATAGCAGCACAAGTTGACCAATAAAAGACCTTAGCACTACAAATGCGAAGCCCCTCGTTCATCTTTTCAACTAGTAGGACAAATTTGGACTTTCCATGAAAGTTGGATGATGAAAGAAGTAGTTAAAACAATTTGAAAGATGCCGAATAATTGACATGTAATTGGAGAAAAACAATGAACCCTCTCCACCACGTAATTTGAATTAACACGTGCACTTTGACCTTAATTTGTATTTTGTAATATTCATGCATGTTGTCAAATTGACCCCTTCAAGTTTTCAACCCTTCTTTACAGATGTGGATTAAGCAATTTGATCAAGGCAGTGTGTTCGCTCCTCTTACACCCGAGTTCGATCTCTCTTCTCATATATTAGAGTAGTTTATAATATCGTGATTATAAAAAAGAAAAGTTTTTAACCCTTTCTCCAATTAGTACCGAGTCTCATATATGCTCATCCCACTACACACAATTTATAATGCATGGCCCATCGAATCAATTCCAACCCTCACCTTCGTATCACATGCTTGCATGGACTGATGAGGACATGCAAGACTTTCTCGATTGCGTGCTTTGACCCAATCTGGTCTTTCTAGACTGCTTATATATAAAATATATATTTATGTGAATTTTTTCTAGCTAGCTTGAGCCTTCGTTAACATATACGAACAAGACACAACATAACGGTCAACTCAAACTGTCAACTCAGACCCCACCTTGCCGTACAAGTCTTCCCTGAATCACCATTTCCTTCCCCTTCCACTATAAAACCAGACCATCTTGAACCACTAACAATTCAAATCGTAAAACCCCAAGTACCCAATTTACCAAATTAACCCTTCTTCAAAACCAGCTTGCAGAGAGAGAGAGAGAGATTAATTTTGTGTTTTTGATGTCGAGTGGAAATCAGTGTGTGAAGGTTGTGGTCATCAACACCAAGTATGTGGAGACAGACGTCATGAGCTTCAAAGATGTGGTGCAAAAGCTAACTGGGAAAGACTCAAATGTCGCATATGAAATGCAGGAGCCAAATAATGTTGCAAAGAGCCAGTGCTTCTTGAGAGATCAGGGGATCAATAATTATGGTGGGAGGACTAATGTTAATGTTATGGAATCATCAAATGACACTAGTTGCAGTGTTAATGGCGGAAAGACGACCACGATGTCTCGGAGTAGTTCTTCAGTTGTGATGAAAAATATATCGTTCAAGGAGTTTGAAAGATTGTTCAGAGAGATGCCCCCAGTGGAGGATTTTTGGATTGATTAGTTATCTTTAAAAGTTCTATATATATATATATGATATACATATTTTCTTCTATGTCGTCCAGACATAATGTATTTTGTATTACTCCTTCATGATTTCCTTCTTGTTTACATGACTGTATAAAAGAAAAACTGATATGATATATATCAAATTTATTTGAGGAATTTCATAGTAGCCTTATATGTATCATATTACTGAGTATATATTGTAGGCAAAAGTTATAATCCTTAACCGGGAAATTTTCCAGAAAGAAAAAAAAATGCACGCACTCTTCTCTGTTTTTTCTAGTGAATCTCAAAGCTTGAAATTTTATTTTTTATTTTTTAAAGAGAGAGAGCTTGAATCATTTCAAAATTAATTTACATACTTAAGTAAAGCTAACGGCAATAATGGATCGTTGTAAATTGACGCCCTGCGCCTGCGTGGCTCTATGCTTGTCACGGGAATTCTGTGGCTGATCCGTTCCCATCATTCATGTGCGCCCTCTGTAACTTATATAAACTTTTTTCGAAGTTTTTAATGCACGTGTTCCAATCATCTTTTAAGGACGAAAAATATATGAATAAAAGAGGATAGACGAAGATCTTCACGTGATAAAAGAGATAAATTTAGATTCGTATTCAACTTATAGTACTACATATTCTCGAGAATTAACATACAATTCAAATACCCTTGTTGTCAATCGTAATTAAATTATTGATAAAATGTTCCTTTGGTGTGTGTTGGGTTGGGATGATTTATCTTTTCTATATGGGATTCATATCATCGTTTGTTTTTTTTTTTTTTTTTTTTTTTTTTTTACAAATCAAAATTCATACCACAAAAGTCCAAATACAAGATGTAAAGCACAAAAGGAGGGCTCATTTTAGCTAATGAGTTTTAGGGTGTTGGTTGTTTTGAGTTTTATGGGCTTGAACTTGACCCGAGAACATGTTTAACTTTTAGTGATGTGGACTTTGTTTGTGTTCTTTTTTTAGCTTGGTACTTCGATTAATTTGCCTTCGTTCTTGTAATGAAATTCGCTATTTGATGAGAAAAACAATGGAAACATTTATTCCTAAATTAAAGATGAGGAATGTTCGTTTCATAGTACTACAAATTCACTCAAGTATAAGAACCCTAGGCCCATTTGAATCGAATGATTTCAAAATTAATGGTATAATTATTTGTTGGGAGCTTTAGTAATATACCAAAAATATGGGCTGAAATTATAAAAAAACTCAACATGAAATGCACTTTAGAAATACACCCAAAACCTATTTACTAAATAAGAAATGAGTATTGAAGTTCCTATAAATTACATATCTACCATTGATTAAATTAAAACAAGCCCAACCTAAATTTAAAAAAAAACCCAAACTAAAAAGAAATCGTGAAAATCAAGGAGCTATCTTTACGACCATTCTCCACTGAACCTCCGTACATTGTTAATACCATGTGATAGAAGTACATTGTTAATATCATGTGATAGAAGTACATTGTTAATATCATTTTATAAAAGTACATTGTTAATACCATGTTATAGAAGTATATTGTTAATATCATGTTATAGAAGTGTACTGTTAATACCATATTATAGAAGTACACTGTTAATACCATTTTATAGAAGTACATTGTTAATACCATTTCATACAAAAAAAATTTAAATAAAACTAAAACAGCCCAGCAAGACATTCGATATCTTTTGCAGAAACCACCTCAAATTGTTCATAGTTTCACCACATACAATTGCAAAGGCAAAAGGAAATACCTCTACAAAAAGAAAAGAAAAAAAAGTATACTGTTAATACTAGGTCATAGAAGTACACTGTTAATACTATATCATAGTGTTGTAACCAGGCATAATGCCGATTTTGCATTCACCAGGCTTGATAATTCCAGGGCAGTTTGGTCCAATGAGCCAAGTTTTAAATTGCTTGTTAAGAGCAGCCTTCACACGTACCTGAAATTCATAATTATTAGGTTCAAGGACAATTTCACATGAATCACCGAACACTAAACTCAAGCTTAACAACTGAGCTTGCAGTCAACTGAAATTAATAATCAGAGCTAGGACCAAGTTCAATAAAGTTCACATTCCAAATCATATGATAGTCCAAGAAGGACAAAACTCAATAACCAAGCATTTGGAAGTCCCAAAACATTTGATAACTGACATATCAGCTAATAGGATTGTGATACAAATTGAATTATATCGACAAAACAAAATGTTATTCCAAGATCCAAATTGTCATGTATGAACATGTAAACTTATCTTTCGTATTTAAAATGATAAAAATATACTACCATATCATGTTGCGGGATCCCCTCAGTGACGCACACAACAAGATCCAACTCTGCATCCATTGCCTCCATAATTGCAGCAGCAGCAAATGGTGGGGGAACATAAATGACTGAGGCATTAGCCTTTGTTTCAGTTTTTGCTTCTGCAACTGAGTTGAAAACAGGGAGTCCCAAATGCTCGGTCCCACCCTTCTTTGGTGTTACACCACGCACCTGTTTCATCACAATAGTATAAAGAAATGAAAGAAATGAAGGAAAAATACATAACAGTTGAAACAAAGAAGGTGATTATAATTTATAACGTTATGTAGCATTTCAGAGGAAAACTTATCATGGGAAATTCAAACCTTCAAACTTAGTCAATTAATTGTGAAAAGTCGTGACCATTCTAATCTAGGAGTCCATTTAATTTTAATGCATTAGCATAAGAAACCCATATTCTCAGTTTCACATGTCAACAAGAACTCATTTCCCAATTATTTTCACCAATTCAAACTCCCCTTTTGATAGTAAGATACATAGATGTTTAAGCAAATGAGAAAATGAATCTAAGCACAAATAATGCAGTACCAATATCAGTGAAAATCCCAAAACTGTAATACAGCAAAATAATCTCAGCGGCACTAGAATAAAGCCTAATTTTCTTAATTCTGTAATTGATTTCGGAGCTTGGGTTAGGAAAAACAAAATAGAAGAAAGAAGAAGAACACAAAAACTCAATAAAGCAAATAAAAGAGACGAGAAGAAGAGAGAAAGAGGCATGTTTGTTAGTGATACCATTTTGGTGCCATATTCGATGGCTTGTTCGGTGTGGAAACACAAAAAGAAACCAAATCAAATCAGATCTGTCCATCAAAACAAAAACGCTAGAGTATAATCAAACAAATACACAATAATAAACAAAAATGGAAAGGAATCGATCGATCTTCAATCTTTGGGAGAGAAAGATCAAGTAACATAGAGAAACAGAAGATCAACATAGAGAAACAAAAGATTAAGAAGCAGAGAGAGAACATGCATCAAACGACTCTTTGATTTGATGATCTCACCGAACGGAGAAAAGGCCCTCTCCAGCGCATCATTGTTGGTAGCCCACCGACGAAGCTTAGAATGATGAGGTTGAACAAAAACTGAAAATTGGGGTTGAAGATGAAGATGAGAGACTGGAGGTCGCGAAATGGGTTTTGATCTGTTGTTGATTAGAATTTCAATTTTATGTTAAAATGGTAATAAAGGTATTTCATCTTATTAATTAAATTAAAAAATATACAATTGTTGATTTTTGGGTTTATTTTGGGTGTGTTTCTATGTTTTAAATAGTGTAGGGTATATTTATAGTTTCATGTCTAGGAATGGGTGTTTCACTAATTTTGTATTATTTGTTTAGAGACTATTACAGGCCATGTATGTCAAGATTTGAACAAAAATGAAGGCATAAAACAAACGTATTTGTAAAGATTTCTTGCATATGGATATTTCAAATCCAATTGCAATGTGCTAGATCTAATTATTTTAAAATGTATTCAATATAATGTTGTTTATTTCTAGCTAGTAGCAAATTTAACTTGTTTTTGTATTCAAAATTTTTCTTTCAAATTTTTCTTGGAATATTAGGCTTTGGTTGGGCATCGATTTTGAGCACCAAGCGCCACACCCCTAGACCCAAGTCCTAAGCTTCGAACCTGAGTATAAGTACTAAAAATTCTGAATTCCAAGTCTCAATAGGCTTCAATCCAAACCAAATCCTCCCCCTAATAGAACCAAAAACGAATAATCAAAGGTCATAAAAATTTAAAACTCTCCAAAAACAAATTTGTATGTTGAGAGTGTTTATAAAAGAAAGATGGGCCGATATGAAGAAATGACCTGACATTGACCCATTAAATCAGTGATTGGGCATAAAGAAATATGGGCCTATATTCAAGGCAATACTAATAGACCGAGCCCAAAGACTTGTGCTCTTGATGCTTCTGACTCGGCCTGAACAATGGATTTGATTATATTTTAAAGATAGGATCAGAATGAGAAGCCCAAATACAGATACATACGGGTCAAAATCTTAGCCCAATAACTTTGATAATGGCCTAATTAAATCCATGATAAAACTCGACCAAAATCAAAGCTTGGCAGCTTGTAAAAGTTGCAAGTATCGACTTTAGGAAAAGGTGTCATGTGACATGTATTAATCAGAATGCCAAGCAAAGGGCAAAGGGAATGATGTGACATGACGTTTAACTAATTTTTGAAACTTGTGCACACAGACATGGAAGCTTTGGAACTCACAAAGGAAACGTATGTAGAAGGACGAGCCTAGGGACTAGTGATTGAGGCATGACTTGAGGGCGAGAAGGCGGCTTACGCAACAATTTGAGTGGTGGCTGATTTTCTCGACAACTTTTGAAAGCGGCAACATTTGCCTATAAATATGGGACTTATACTTTACACTCAACGTTTCAAACAAAATCAACCCAAAATGCTGCTTAAATTTCATCTCATATCAAACTTAGTTAAAATTTTATTGTTTTCCTAGGAACCACGTAGCTATATCACCGAGAGACTTTGAGGCTTGTACAAAGTTCTCTTAAGCACCATCATTATAATTGTCCATATATCAACAAACAACTATGTTCATCAGAGTTTTCATTTGAGCATCATCCAATTCACCCCCGATTTCTCATTTAAGCTTTATTTTAGTTTATAATTCAAAGAGGACTTGAGAGATCAAATTGAGAGCCGAGCTCTTTTCACCGAACACAATAGTCTTACAAGCACTTGACTAGCACATATGACGTCAACAACTTTGTTACCAAAGTCGAGAATCTAATGGGCAAGACCGTGTTCCTTACTCGGCCCTAGTCACTTGACAAAGTCAGAATCCACGGCGCAACCTATTATTCACACCACCAAATTCACTCATCGCTATCACGCCCGAAGGTAACCATGATAGCTGGCATGCCTTTGCATAACCCTCACATCAAAGGACGACTTTTTTACCATCTAACTCAATCCTTGATTCTTTAATTCTAAATAATCCACGTGTCATGCCAAAAAGGTTTTATAGTCCACGTAGACTCTATAACGAGCAAATGTCTGTTACAAATTTACAATACAATACATATTTTGTTATGTACCATCTTTCATATTTTAAAGCAGGGAGAAAAAAAAAAAAAAAAAAAAAAAAAAAAAAAAAAAAAAAACAACAATTACCTACTAACCGATCCGGAGACCCATACAATTTCGGCAAACTGCGTGCTACATAGTTAACGTAGACATACATAACTACGAAGCTGCCAGTTAGGTTAAGGTAGCCTTTCCAATAATGTTGCCCACAACAAGTTTGGCATCCCCCTCATTTAGAATATTAGAAAGAAAAAAAAATAAAATTCCCAAATTGGTTTGGCAGCCAATTAGGAAATAACTTTAATAAGATAGCTTCATATTCCAATATGCTACCATGTCTTCCACACAAAACCAAAATCTTTTCAATAGTTAATAACATAATGGGTAGAAGGGCATTATTGTCCACAAAATTGTTTAGAGGTTGTCCAAGTTATCCCATAATTTTAATTTTAGGTATCGCATTAAGACCATGTAATCCCTCAGAAGAACAATAGGGAATGCGAACTACTAACTATCGATTTATAGGTGTTTTTATTCATTTTGTTGGAAGATGTTACAAAGTTCAAATCCCCATCTTCTAAACTTAAAAACAAAAAATTAAGAATGAGCATAAACATTTTAAGCATATAATCTGGCAAGTTTAATGAAGAAAATGTCATGTGCAAAAGAAGAAAAAAAAAAACCAACGTACAGATTAGGTAAACCAAAATCACAAATTTCGGCTGCAAAACGATATAATCTGCAGCACCTTTCCTTAGTTTAGCAAATGAGATAATTCGGGTTTGACATTTCTTCCCATTAAAAGAAAACAATTTTTGTACTTGCTCCATCGGAAGTTACAAACAGGTTAGGTTGGTTTTCTCACTGCACAAATAGGACAAAATAAGAGCAGGACATTGTTGCACCCTCCGTAACCAATTTAGATAACCCAACATCACCCAATCCAACCCATTTAATTAGATTTAAAAAATGGATTAGCCCAAATATAAACCTTTGTGAGTCTGTGGTTTTATTTTAGGGGCATTTGGTTTGGGTGCACACCATTATCCATTTGCACCATTTATATTTATTTATATGTTGGGTTAAGACACGGGTCAAAATATGGATTTTGGTCAGCTGATTCAATGGCGTGAGATCGTGGTCTAAATTATATGGGTCTCGACAAAAAGCAAACCATTTCATGGGGGCCTATACATTTTGCTTTATGGAAATATGTAAGGTCTAAAGATTCCTACTTGAATCTCATGGAGCGTTCGAGCCACTCACCATTCATATCTCATACATTCATTTTCTATTTATTATGTTTCTTTTTTTCTTTATTTGTTACCAACTCAAATTATACCAAATATATATTATAAATATATATATATTGTTGATTCATTGAACAATATATGTTTATTATAGGTTTGCCTCTTGCAGTTGGCTTCTTAGGTAACGGGAATTATACACAAATTTTTTGGCATGTATGTGGTTTCCACGATTATTTCAAAATTTGTTGCATAAACACGTTATGTTCTATCTCTTTTGATTTTAAAACTACGAGATAAACGAAAAAATCTTTAATTTTAGAAAATAAAAATATATCACCATATATATGCCTAAGTTCATCCATATAATAAACCAAAGCCTAATGATCATCTGGTCAAACAAAATGCAAGTGGTGCTAGAGACCAAAGATCAACAATCATCTTGTTTTTTGGTTTTTCTTTTCTTTTTTCATAGTCAAAACAAAGAAAAAAAGTGGAAAAAAAAAAGTGGGAGTGAGAGCACGCGGGAAAAGAGGCGCGTGGGAGAGAAACAGAAGCGTCTACTCTGCCGCTTTAGGCCCCCCTTTCCTTTGCATATTCTTTTCTCGTCTACTACTCCACCGTCCCTTGCCTACTTACTAATCTCTATCTCTCTCATGTATAAAAATTTCCGTCGGATAAACCACGGAGGCCGAAAGAAAACAAACACTAACGCGAAAATAAATAGTTTTAAAAAACAAACAAAAACGAATTAAAAATATTTTTAAATAGAGCAAAAATACGAAAAGCAAAAGAGGAAATTTTCTGTGTCTCAGAGAAAGTTCTAATCGTGTTCCTCTTCTCGTTAACAAGTCACTCTCCGACTTCATTTTCATCCCCAGAGGGACTCTCTCTCTCTCTCTCTGAGAAATCGACGAAGTGTTCTTCTATACTTTCAATAATTTGAAGGTTCGTTTTTCAGTTTCTGATTTCTAATTGTTAGGCTTTTGAATTTGAACTTAATGCAAACTATATGTCGTACTGAATTTGAGCTTAATGCAAACTATGTGTTCATCATTTTGCGGAATTCTGAAGCGGAAAATTGAATTTTGAAGCGAATTTGGGGTTTTGGTTCGATTTTTGTGCTTTTCGTTTGTGTTTTTGCTGCTGCCGAGTTGTGTTTCGGAAGCAGATTGTTGGCAATTGAAACTCAGGGAGTATTTACCGCCGCTTAAATTAGGGTTCTTCACGTTGCTCCTAAAAGCATGGCGTTTTCAGTGGAGTTCTGCTTCGTTTTCTTCGTTTGTTGAAGCTTTCATTTGTCTTCAAATGAAATTCCTGGCTTTGTGTTCGGATTCTCTGCTTTTGCTTTCGGTTTTACACTTCTGGCATGTTTTAGAGGAATTGCCGCAATTGACTACAGGCTTAAGGGTTCTGTAGTAAAGATGATGGCGTTCTGGTATACTAAAGGATTGTTAGGGTTCTTGCCTTTTTGGTTCAGTGTATGTTTGTAATTGTGCCAAACTGGAAAATGTGGTTCCAAGTCCTTGTGCTTGCTTTATTCTTTGCTTCTTTGTTCTTGAAGAAAAACACTAGGATGGCTTAGTTTTATGTTAGAATTCTTCTTTTGACTGTTCATTTTTTTTATGATTGCGCCGGCAATATTTTTGGCACCAATGTAAGGTAAATTGAATTGATTCTTAGAAAGTGAGGTATTCTTTTCTTGTCTTGTAAAGGACTTATATTGAGGTTGTTGCTTTTGTTTTAATCAACTGCAGGATTAAGAGGATGTCTTTTGGCTGCAATATCGACTATTCAATTGAAAGGACTTCGCTGCTTTGACAATTGTGTTGTAATATAAGAGCTAAGATCATATTCTAGCTTCTTGGTATAGTGTTCCAAAGTAAAATTTTGTGCGTAGCAATGCTTTTGTTGTTCAAAGAAATTGGTGACTCTGAGAAATTGGTTTGTCATTCTTGTTATTATTGTTGATTTGTTTTCATAAATTGAAGAATAAGCGAGAAGAAGAGAACCATATTGGATGGGTAATAAGCTTGGAAGAAGGAGACAGGTGATTGATGAGAAGTACACAAGGCCTCAGGGGCTTTACCACCACAAAGATGTGGATCATAAGAAGCTCAAGAAGCTCATACTGGAATCCAAGCTTGCTCCTTGCTTTCCTGGAGATGAAGAATGCACTTGCGATCTTGAAGAATGTCCAATTTGCTTTCTGGTTTGACTTTTATTGTGACTCATTTTAGTTTTCTTATACTTTTCTTTTTTGATGCTATTTCTCGTCTGCGTTTTGCTATCGTTTAGATTGAAGAAAAGTAGCTGTAAGAAATTACATTACCTTATATTTAGTGCAGTCACAATGCTGGATGGTTTAACTCATTTTAATATTGTTAGAATACAGAAGCTTATGCGACAATCCAAATTTCCCTTCTATTTTTTTGTTTTTTGAACCATACAGAACTAAGTTGATATTTTTTTCAAAAGGTTTTCATTGGCTACTTTTCTGGTACTTGGGCAATTGAGAAATTTCTCATTTTTTAAAATTATTTATAAATTTCATCTTAGACATCATCCAGGGAAGAACTCATTGAATTTGAATGTATGAAATAGTTAAATTGAAATTTAATTTGTAATTATTTGTGCTCTGTAAGACTTCTTGCCATCCTATTACATCTTTTTCTTGTCTTGTTTCAGTATTACCCAAGTCTTAATAGATCAAGATGTTGCATGAAAGGCATTTGTACAGGTTGTTATTTTTAAAATTTTTACACTTGATACTTCAGCTATAAATGTTTGCATGAGATTGATTAGTCTTCATTTTTCCCAGAGTGTTTTCTGCAGATGAAAGTTCCCAATTCAACTCGTCCTACGCAGTATCCTTTGTTACCGATGTTACGCCTTCAATTTCTGAAGTGCACTTCAAAATTGAACATTTGGAAACCGTCATTTTCTATTCGTTGCCTTTTGCTCTATGTACTTGTTTCACTTAACATAATTAGGTGCCCTTTTTGTAAAACCTCTAATTATGCTGTGGAATTCCGTGGTGTGAAATCAAAGGAAGAAAAGGGCCTGGAGCAAATTGTAAGAATCATACTGTCACAATAAAATTTATGTTTTTTAAAATAAATTGTGGAATTGTTCTACTGATTTTGGCCACGTGATGGATCTTGGACATTATTTGCATTTCTGGAAACTCTGCAGGAAGAACAGCGAGTCATAGAAGCGAAAATTAGAATGCGACAGCAAGAAATTCAGGATGAAGAAGAAAGAATGCAGATAAGACAACTACTAAGCTCTTCAAGCAGAAACATGGCACCAGTGGGTGATGAATACAGCGTTACTGGTAAAATTTAACTAATATTGTGGTTTCTTCTAGTGTACAAGTATTTATTTATTTAGGTGATGACAAAAAATAAATTCTTGCAGTTCCGTCTTCTGCTTCTCCAGCAGAAGGAGAGGAAATCGTTTCTTCTCAAGATTCATGCGCTGCCTCAATGTTAAGGCAACCTCCACCTTCGAGAGTGTACAGGTATACAGTATTTTCCTTTTCTTGGTGTGTGTGTGTGTGTGTCTCTTTAACCATGTAAGAAATTGTTTTTATTGATTAGAAAAAAACGTGAATGCATTTAGAAAAGAAAACAAAAAAAGAGGAAAAATTGACATCTCGTACTGCAGCTAATTATCTGATTGAGAATTGCTTTCGAAATGTTCCTGGAACTTTTACCACTGAGATCCTAGCTTGTGTACGAGTGAATAGGTTGCTCTGGTTTCTCACGTCAACAACCATTATATATGCACCTTTGTGCCTGTCAGTATCTAACCAGTCTAAATGTATTTGAAAAACTAAAGAGTTTTCACCAGAGTTATCTGGCTTTTCACATGTCAGTAACAGATGTTCTGTTCTAAGGGTTACTTGTATGGGTTTTTTGTGCTTGTTGGAGATGTGGTGTAATAGTAGATAATTTTGAAGCTATTTGGAATTGTAGTTTGGTCTTAGAATGATAGAATCTGATTTTGTGTCCTGGATGCATATGCTGTGTTGCTTGCTCTAGCAGATGTGTACGCATGACATGTGTTTGTGATAATTGCATATCATAATTGCTACTGAAGTGTCTGAGTCTAGCATGCATCAAGCATCCGCTCAATTAGATTTATGATTTCAGTTTAGGGAAACACTGAAAATGGGATAATATTTTCAAGATTTCATCCTAACTAACAAGGGCTGGAAATTCCAATATGGCACAAACCTAACACAGTAATCTGGTTAAGTTCGACCATTACTATACAAATTCAGAAATGGCCTGTCAACACGAGGAATAAACATGTCTGGCTAATGTCAAATACATATAACCTTATTTTGATTGGTATTGTGAAAAATAATGTTTTTTTAATAATTATTTTGTTTATGATAAGGTTTTTCTTGAACTGTTGCAGGATTAGAGGATGCTTATTTCTTGGTTGTGTTAGCATGTTGTTTTCTGTTGATGGGGGTGTAAGAGTGATGGATTTACATTAGAACTTTACAGATAAAAGGCTCTTAATCTTAAGCATTTATTTTACGAGATACATGACAATTTGTATAGGACACTAATAAAAAAATAGGTCAGATTAGGATTACTAGTACTTGATATGTTTCGTACGTGGTATGAAACAACTTTTTCCAACCTTTCTTTTTTTTTTTTTTTTTTTTTTTTTTTTGTCCCTATTTTAATAAATATTTTATTTTAAACTCTGTTTAAACTCTGCAGGGAGGATGAATTCGATCTGGATCTTGAGGATATAATGGTCATGGAAGCAATTTGGCTTTCTATTCAGGTAAAAGGTGTAAATTTATAGAAGTTATGGATTCTGTTTGAAATAAACTTAGCTACAAAACTGTATGAAAACCATGTGTAATAGCCATTCGAAGTGAAACCAATATTATATGATGATTTCTTTTTTCTGTTCTTAATTTTTACATTGAACTCTAGTATGTGGTTGTTGGAAGTGTTTCTTTCAAGGTCATATTTTTAGTGAGTACTCTTAATTGGCGCCTAGTAAGTAATGATTGATTTGATTGCCACCCAACATTGAAATGAAGGTGAGGATGTTCAGGTGATTTATGTGCCACAGAGAGTTGTGAACTGTATAATCTTGAGGCTGAAGCGCTCAATTTGCAATAGTGAGCATTGGAACTTGTACTTTTGACATCATTGTATGAAAGATATTTAAACTATTTGAGTGAAAGCTCCCTATATCAAACCATTTGAGTAGAATATCTCTTTATGCAGATAATGCAACATCTAAGCTTTAGATTTATTTTTCCTAGTTGTATCTTGAGTTTAGATGAGCAGTTGTGAGCAATTTGAATTCTCTCTTTTTTCATTGTAAACATTAAACAAAGTTTCCTGTTACTGAAGTTAGTTGATTGCATACTAGTTGTTTTTGGTTTTTTCTATAAATTTATTAGTTGCTAAAATTTTCCCTTTGCATTGTGTTCTTAGTGAATCACAAAAGAAATTTGTGGTACTTTTAACCGCTGGTGCACTATGAATCACAGTAGTTGATTTACTAATTGGTCATCTCTGACAAAGTCAACTTTTGAGATTTGATGCCTTTTGTCGGAGGGGGAAGGTAATGATGTTATTCTATGTACTGCCCTCCTTATAGCTTCTTGTCTTCTTTGACTTGGATGCCAGCTCCAAACTCATTAGTAAACAACATTCATAGAATCAGTGATTGGAAAATTATATTCTATTAAATTCTCATGACTAGGTCCGGTTTTAGTTATATGTTAACTAATATTTTATAAGGCAGCAGCTGCCACTCACTGGCCTCACAAGTCCTTTCTTATGTGTCTGATCATATTCAATGTTACTCGTAGCTTTTGTCTCGTCTTTCCTATCATCCTAAGCCATATTTCTACAGGTGTCATACTGAACTACAATAATTGAGCCATTTAGCTCAAGCACTTGTTTTCGTTTGACAAAATGGTGCTGGAATGATTGTGGGGACTTGTCATTTGGACTTCACTTCTGATTTTTCAGAATATTAATGCTTCAAACAATTTTTCTTCTGCAATGCAGATCTCTATCTTACGAAGCAAGCTAAACGTTTCTCTTGTTGCATGAATCTGATGACATTCTTTTCTTTGGGAAACACCATCCTTTTTCTTCACGATGTCTTATTCAATCCATTGGACATTCTTTTCTTTGTCATTATTTGATCCAATAGCAGTCCAGCAGAGAGTAAGAACAGGGATAAATACTAATAGTTCTTAGGTGGAGTATTATAGCAGAAATTTGTTAGATAATGTACATTATTTGTTATAAGATATCTCTCAAAGTGATAGAACAATTCAAAGTATTTCCTGTATGGTCTTGATGACCAGCATTGGCGTAGATGTAGGAAGATGTGCTTCAAAGCAAGGTTCTACAGTGTTATCCTTCTTGTGTTGTAAAATGGTGATTTGGAGCTCCATTATACATTGTTGTCTTTTACTAATTTTCTATTGCTATGAGTTTTGTGTTTTTATTTTGTTTTGGTTGATATATTTGCTGCTATGCACAAAATCTCTCCTTCCACATCAGGACTGCACCCTCATACACACATTTCCAATTTGTGGAAGTTATATGATTATGTCTACTGCTTTCCTATTCAGGTTATTATTGAAGTGAATCTGTATTTCTATCTAGTTTTCTGTTGGAAGATATGATGTGAAGTCTTCAACTTTTCTGAATTGCAAAAAAATTATATTTTCAGGAGAATGGGAGACACAAGTCTCCATCTTATGGGGATGTTACTCCATCTGAACAATTTGTCACAAGACAAAGCTATGTCTCACCAGCTATGGTTTCAGTTTCCGGTTCATCATCACCATCCGGGGGTCTTGCTTGTGCAATAGCTGCCCTTGCAGAACGACAGCAAACGAGTGGGGAATCATCTACTAATCCTGGTGGTAATGTGCCAGGGTTCAGTATGGTTCCAGGCACTAGCAGGTTTTACAACAGGGTGGACAGGGAATCAGAAAATTATTCAGCTGCAGTGAGCTCTTCTGAAATGTCTATCAATCATGGGATGCCTTTGACGCAGGATGATAGAGAATGGAACGCCGACACACGGACGAGTTATGCAAGCTCTGACACAACAGAAGATGCCGGCAGTACATCTGCGCCACCAACAGGAAATGAGATTGAGGGCGATCTTCAAAATGTCCCAGACCCTATTGTTCCCGAGAGTTTTGAGGAGCAGATGATGCTGGCCATGGCCGTTTCTCTGGCTGAGGCTAGAGCTGTGGCCAGTGGACCTGGAGTTCCGTGGCAGTAGTTTAAGTCATAGTACTAGTGATAGTTAATCCTGAAACAGATTTGGCGTGTGGCCTTGGCAGTTCGCTAGCTGAGCCTTCAAGCACGGCAACTGCACCCGGAAAAAAAAAGATGAAGAAAGAAAGAATGCAAGTGACTAGTAGAAAGGCCAAGGTAGTGATGATTCTCCCTCACTCTTTCACTCCATCTCTGTCTCTATTATAGATGTGAAAGGAAAAACAGATTATTATTCTAATGAAATGAAAGGCTACTGGTTTTGCTATTTCCTACTGATTTCCACCCTTCCACTCCTATATATGGTCAACTTGATTAGCGAGTCCCAAGGATTGATTTCGTTTTCCTTTTACTTCTAAGAAAATGTATGCCTCATTGTTACAATATCAACAGTGAAATGGAGTTGTCTGCTGGTTACTCCCCATAGATTGGAGAAGAGCATGCCTGAAGATACAGTTGAAGAAACATGAAATGAGAATTGTATAAAGAATTTGATTCGGAGCCTGGTTATTTTATTTGTACTTTTTCCCTGACCTGTGAAGTTGAAGTTGCAGGTTGTATAACATATCTTTCCCATGTCAATTTGATCTAAACAATTCACCATCTTTCCCATGTGACATTGGAAAAATAACATATCTTGAGACGGTACCCTTTCTTTACAAGTCGATTTTGTAGGGGCAAGGGAGGCAAGTTCCACTCATGAACTGTTATAACCTTGTGTATAGAGGTATTCGAAACCTACGTGTAGAGATTAGAAAGAAATTTTTAAATGTAGTATTGGAAGATTACTCCATGGTTAAGAAGGAAGCTGAAGTAATGTAAACTTATCACTTGATCATCCACATTGCCTTACATCAATTTGGGTTCAAAATTCAAATAATGTTTGTTCAGTGGGTCTTTGATGATTGCAAAAGACATCCTTACAGAATTTGATTCTTGTAGCGGTGGGGGGTGCCGTCATCAGCAAAGCAATTCAAAAATGGGGGGTTTGCTTGGCCCCAAAATCTAATAATGTGGGGGTGGTGCTGGATTTATGAGATTGGGCCTCAGAGTAGGTGAAGAGATATCATAAACATTTAAGTTTCACATGCATTTTGTCCATCTCTTTGCTATGAACATAACAAAACTCAGCTACTCCTTTTCTTTGATTGCCCACAAGGACAAGCTTTGTTTTTCTAGCTTGCAATTTGAGTGAGGACCACATGGCGACCTATTTCCTCACTGTTTAGCTACATTATTTTGCACAGATGCTCCTATAGACAGACAAAAGGGACCAGTACTCTTGGGTATTTCTTTTCATTTGGAATTAAGCCAAATTTGATTTCAGACCAGACAATGGCTTCATCACTGGTAACCAAAACATTTGAACCGGTGAGCGAGCCCTTTCGTAGTTCCGTTCTACCCTAAATCCTGTATTTGATTCACCTCTCTCAATATTGTTTGTATATATGTTAATAGACTTATGAGTGACTAAGAGCTACCACCTCTTTATTTTCTTATATATGGACCATGGTTTAGAGATGTCATCTTCAACTTCAAGCGTGTCTTTAATTAAAAAACTTGATTGAGACTGTCCTCTGCATGAATTTTAAGAGTGGTTTAGTTTAGACTTTAGAGTCCTTGGAAAGCCTATGGGAGGCTCTGGCGTAGAAGCTAAGTTCAAACCAACAGATTTTGATTCTTGTGAAATAGTACCAAATTTTATATACTGTATAGATTATTACCTCAGAGAGAAGCACGTGCTTCCATATAAAGTGCTTTTGCTCACATGGCACATTAAACTCCCAACAAATGAAATATAGGCAACATTCAGGCTTTGAGAGGGGTTGGATCGACGTGGCCACATTGGAGCAATAATAATGTGACCCCATTGCATTATTGCAAATAGTGAACAAAAGTTCATTAGTATCAATCAACCACTAAATCATATTACCATGATTATATCCTTTTGTTAAACACCATGATTATATCTTGGAGATCAAGTGGGGTCAATTACAGTGATAGCTTAACAATAATAATACTATACACCCATGTGCTGTTAAGATTATCAAAAGAAAGAAAAATAAAAGAAGGGTGTTGGTAATTAAACTGCATTGAATAAAAGCTAAGCTGTATTGTGTCGAGTTGAGAGCATCTCCAGCGCTGACGGGCTAGGGGGGAAAGGCTGCCCTAGGCAGCCCGAGTTCACTCCAGCGCAGGGCCCGTAGCCCAGGTTGATGGCGGGTCCCACGAGCCCGAGGAAGCCCAAGGGCAAATCTTGCCCGGGCTGAAGCCCGAGTTGGTGACGTCAGCGCTGGCGTCACGCTGACGCCAGCGCACGGTCATTCAAATTTTTTTTACCGTTGGCGCGTGTAATTCACGCGCCAACGGTAAAAAAAATTTGACTGACCGTGCGCTGGCGTCAGCGTGACGCCAGCGCTGACGTCACCACTGACAGCTCCAACGGGCGGGCGCCACGTGGCGCGACGGGGACTCTCCGATGGAATTTTTCCAGAAATCCGACGGTCCTCGTTTTTTTGGCTAAAAAAATTGCAAAAAAAATCGAAAAAAATCGAAAAAAATCTGAAATTTTTTTAAAAAAATACCCAAAAATTCTGTATTTTTTCTCTATAAATACCTAACCATTTTATTTACTTTCCACACTAAAATCTTCATACAATTCCTTCTCCATCCCATCTTTTTTACTCTTTACTCACATTATTCACTTTCCACACCAATTCTTCATACAAACTTTTCTCCTTCCAATTTTTTTGTTCATCTCCACTCACATTTTTCACTTCCACACCAATTCTCCATACAAACTCTTCTCCTTCCAATATTTTTTACTCTCTTTCTACTACTTTCCATTTGTATAAAAAAAAACAAATGGCATCTTCTATTGAAGTCGGAGGCTCGTGGTCAACGAATGAAGATATTGCGTTGTGTCAATCTTGGGTGAACATTAGTCATGACCCTATCACGGGTAATGAAATGAAGTTTCATCACATGTGGAGCAAAATTCATGGAGAATTTTGTCAAAGATCGGGTTCGATTCGGACCGAAATGGCGTTGTCTAGTAGATGGAAACTTCTTAATAAAGAGTTAGGGAAATGGAGGAATGCCTTGACAAAAGCAAAGGCGAACATTCAAAGCGGTCAAAATTTGACCGATGAGGTAAAATATTTATAATTGCCATTTTAATCAATTCAATGTCACTTTTTTTTTATTGCATATTCCATTTGTTTTTCTTGCATAATTTTTTTTTCTTGGTGCACCTTTAATTTGTATATATTTTCTTGCATAATCAATTTTATTTTTGCATTTCAAAATAGTTTATATTTTCTTGCATAATAATTTTTGTTTCTTGCACTTCCAATTATTTATTTTTAATAGATGGTACAAGCACAAATGTGGTTCGGTGCCATGGGGCAAGGCAAAAAAAGTTTCGTGCATTTCCAATGTTGGGAAATTGTGAAGGATTGTTCGAGGTTCAAAATTATTCCCACCGGTCCGCCGGTTGTGATGAATGAGACGCCACTCCACGATTCAACATCAACCGATTCTCCATTGGACTCCCCAATGGAAACGGAGTCACCATTTGTTCCACGTCCGCCAAGACCTATTGGGAGAAAGGCGGCAAAGGCCAAGAGAGGGGCCACTTCGAGCAATGATTGTGTACAATTATTGGAGCAAATAGCTAAGAGCGCCACACTAAGAATCGAGAGAGACTTGAAAAGAGATGAAATGGACAAGGCACGAGAGGAAGCATATGCTCTCCAACAACAAATGGCACAAGAAAAATACATAGAGGATAGAGAGATGAAAATCATGGCTATGGATACGAGCCATATGTCTCCCGAAACAAAGGCTTATTGGAAGCTACGACGAAGAGATGTGATGAGGAAAAAACTTTTCAATGACGACGGACCTAGCAATACGGATTGGTTAAATGATGAAAACCATTAGGTTGTTGTATTGTTGTATTATCCTTTAAGTTGTTGTATTGTTGTATTATCCTTTACTTTGTTGTATTGTTCCCTTATCCTTTTAATTTGTTGTATTGTTCCCTTATCCTTTAATTTGTTGAATTGTTCCCTTTTTATTCAATCAAAAAAGCCTTAAATTAAATGACTATTTATTAAAAACATTTGAGCATCAAAACAAATATTAATTTAAAAAAACCTTCATTGATTGCAAACAACACACAAAACAAACCATACATAAAAGCATAATAATAAAAAGCATAATTCCAAAAAAAAACCACACACAAAATAAAGCATAATTAAAAACAAAGCATAATTCCAAACAAAACCACACACAAAACAAAGCATAATTAAAAACAAAGCATAATTCCAAACAAAGCACTAATCTTGACTTCATCCATTGTGATTGCCTTTGATCTCCCACAAGTGCTCGATCAAGTCACGTTGACGTATCTCGTGAACATATGAAGATTGCATTTCTTGATACCGATCAATCATGGGGTTGTTGAATTGACCATCCCGAAGTATGGGTTCGGGCTCCAGTGGTAGTCCATTTGGTCCAATCGGCCTTTCATATATTCTTGTCAACGATGTGTTCATTGGATCGGGTTCAAACACCTCTTGAGCATCATAGTCATACTCATCCTCCACAATCATGTTGTGAAGGATGATGCAAGTCATCATAATACTCCGCAGCACCTCCTCATCTAGCATCCGAGCAGCACCTCTAATAATTGCCCAACGAGCTTGCAAGATACCGAAACACCTCTCCACGTCTTTCCTGTAACCTTCTTGAAAGGAAGCAAAGTTTCTTTCCTTCTCGGATTGGGGATTCGGAATTGTTTTCACGAATGTCGTCCACCTAGGATAAATTCCGTCGGAAAGGTAGTACGCACCAGAGTAAACGGTATTGTTGATTTGGTACGTGACCTGGGGGGAATGACCTCGCAATACCTCATCGAACACTGGGGATTGACCAAGGACATTGAGGTCATTCTGAGAACCGGCAACCCCGAAGAAGGCATGCCAAACCCAACAATCGAATGAAGCTACGGCCTCCAAAATTATACTTTTTTGGCCCTTCCGATTCCCGTACTCCCCTTGCCACGCAGTAGGGCAATTCTTCCACTGCCAGTGCATACAATCGATGCTTCCAATCATTCCTGGGAAACCTCGGGCCTCGCCTTTTTGTAGAAGCCGTTGCAGGTCTCTTGGCGTTGGTTTGCGAAGGTACTCCCTCGTGTACAAATTTTCCACTGCATCACAAAATCTCACCAAGCACTCTAGGACAGTAGATTTTCCCATCCTTGCAATCTCATCCACCTGCTCTGCAGATGCCCCATAAGCAAGCATCCGCAAAGCAGCTGTCAGTTTTTGCTCCGGGATAAGACCTAAAGCTCCAACAGCATCATGCTTTTGAATGAAGTATGTGTCGTAATTACAAATATCATGCATGATTTTTTGGAACAAATGTGGTTGCATTCTATATCTTTCTCGAAACTTAGAAGCAGGATATAACGGATTTGGGATAAAATAATCCTCCATGAGATTCTTACCCCGAGACTCCCTACGTCTGTCCACATTCGGGGCACGAGGACGACGGTTTTGCCTTGATTGATCCATCATACACACCGCTGCTGCAAGCAGTAGTTCCTCTTCTTCATCGGCTTCCCGATCTTCTTCAGCACGTCTACGCCTTGTTTCTTCCCTTTCTTTCCGTTGCCTTTCCAACACCCTCAACAAGTTTGACATTGAGAGTAGAATGTGTTTTCTACAATCTGAGAAATGAAGGAATAGATAAGAGATGGTGTGAGAGGTTTGAAAATCAGGTCTAGTTTATAGACGGATTTAGAAGATAGAGATGACACGTGGCACAATTTGAGAGGATGAAAATCTTATCAAAAATCTGAGATTAATTTTTTTTTAAATATCTGAAAATGTTATCTGACATTTGACACGTGGCACAATTGTAGAGGGTGAAAATCTAATCTGAAATCTGAGATTAAAATTTTTTTAAAATATCTGAAAATGTTATCTGACAGTTGACACGTGGCACAATTATAGAGAGTGAAAATCTTATCTGAAATCTGAGATTAAAATTTTTTAAAAATATCTGAAAATGTTATCTAACATTTGACACGTGGCACAATTTAAAAGGAATTTTCTTTGAATAATTTTTATTAAAATCTAAAATACTAAAAATTAACTACGAAACTTTAAATGCCGTTTTGGAAGGCCAAACGACCTCAAAATGCCAAAATCCATCATACGTCACGGCAACGCTGTGAGTTTGACTCGTGGCGTCGTTCCCTTTCCGAAATGGTATTTTGCGTCCTAATCGGAGCTCGGACGACAAATCTGCAAATTCCCACTACGTCCTTTTTCTAGCTCAAGCGATAAAATCTGACATTTGTTCTACATCAGACGTGGCACAATTTTAGAGGGTGAAAATCTTATCCGAAAATTTAATTACAAAAGATTATCAACATTAATGATTTAAACTATAAAAAAATAGAAAATAAAGTACAATGAATAGTAATTGCCTTAGACTTGCCCTAGACTTTGCCCTTGTGGGTGGAGCCACAAATGCAAAGGCTGACACTATTCACGTGAATAGTGGCAGCCCTTGCTTGCCCTTGCCCTAGACTTTGCCCTTGTGGGTGGAGATGCTCTGAAAGTTCGTAAGAGTTTTATAATTGAAGTGATTAAAAGCGTTTATCCAAGTATCCGAGGAAGCGATGGATTTTCCTTCCCTTCAATACGCTTGTATAAAGTCCGGTTTTTTTTGAGGTCATTTTTAAAGTTTGGTTTACAAAACTTGGAATAAACAAGGACAAAGGAGGCGATTCCAAGATGTCTATTTATTTGCATGCACTGCCCATAAACAGCCTTTTCCTTCGATACATGCACGCATTGTCAAAATGCGCATATTTATATGGTCAAAATGCACGCAGTGCCATTAAAGAAACAAAAGGAAAAAGTTGAGAGAGAAAGGTTTGAACTTCGAAGAGAGACAAAAAGACAAGAGTTTCCGATAGTAAGATTTATACAGGTTGGATTTTCCCAAGATCCTTATATTGAATTATTAGTCCTTTCTTTAAAATTACTCTTTTGTCCTCTTCTTCTTGCACCTTCTTGAAAAGCTGAAATCCACTGTCTCTCTCTCTCTCTCACTTCCTTTAATTCAAACTTGTTTCTCTATCTAGGCTGTCTTCATGATAAGACACTCTCTTTCTAGGTAGATAGCTCTTCTGGGCAGTGTTTTTACCGCCTAGTCAGAATGTTTCAAAAAAAAGCTGCCAGCTTTTAACACCAACCCAACCTGTGGAGATCAAAAAACCATCCTTTACCCCTTTCTTTAATCCCCATTGCATATTACATAGTCACAAGGAGAGGTCTTTCATGGAGTTCTTCCAGTTCCGATGCCACTCAGATTACAAAACAGAGTGTTAGTTTAGACCCTGATTTACTTTGCTGCAAGGTGAGAACCTATTTCTACTGTTTCCACTGCTTTTGGATTTTTATTTTTGTGCTGTTTTCTTACCTTTTATTGTCACATTTTCTGCCAGTTGGGTGTTTAACTGTTAATCATGTCCTTTGATCGTAAGAAAGAGAGGCAGAGAAGTAAAGGTTGATATCTAGTGACTAGTGGCTACCAAAAACTCCTCACCATGAGTTTTGAGATCCAAATACTGAAAACTTCCTTTCCCTTTTCTCATTCTTCACAACCAGAAACAGTCATAGACGCACTCACAGAGATAGAGAGGGGGTTTATTGGTCAAGGATCCTTTTGTTTGGAGACTGACATTGTTCATGGATGCTTTTGTTTTGGACTGATATTGTTCAAGGATCTGAGTCTTGAATTTTTTATTATCTTACTTTGGATACATGGGGTACATTTTATTGAGACTTCTACTTCCATTTAGACTCTCCAAGGAAAAAAATACAGAAAATTACATGAGCTTAATGATAATAGACATCATAGGACACAAAGCGATTGTCACATGATTTTTATAAAAGTATCCACTTTTCAGCCTTCCAGCACATTGCATGAGCTTGTCAGCGGAACAAAAGAAAAGTGGATGCAATTTTGGAGCAAAAATGCCAAATGACGAGAGTGCCCCCCCCAGCCAAATTTCAAGCCCAAGAAATACTCTGAGCTTTTAGGTTGAAAAGCATGCCCTGCATTTGATAATGTGGTAATGCATAATAAGATACATGGTGGGTGGGGAAGAGAGATGTTTGAGAATGCTTTTGCACTGTCCCAGAAGCATGCTGGGCGAGATGCAGTCTATGAGGGAAATAGGGTTTTGCAAAAAGTTAAAATATGCCTTGAATTGAGTAACCACATCTTTTTTTCCAGATGGGTCAATTTACCCTTTATAGTTTATAGAGGCTCTCATTTGTGAGCAATAGTGGCTTTGTGCTTAGCAGGGATATTTGAATGTAGTAAGTTTAGGCATGCTTCTGTTAGAAGAATGATCCTCAGAGGAAGTAGAATATGATTATTATTTTGGAACTTCTATTGCATCAATATTAGTTGCTCCAGGATAATTTTTCCCACCTTGTATTTTGCATCAAAGTAGGTTAAGGTAGAATGTGAGTTAAAAGGAGCATGGAATTTTTATTCGATAATACATACAACAGCATTTTCAACTATCATTATTATGCTGATATCCTAGTTATGTGTTTGAAACTGCTTATTTCTTTCTTATGATCACAACGAAAATTGTGCAGAACACAAGCTTTCAACTTGCAAGTCCTCGTCTCTTTTCTTCAGCCAATCTTCTAAGCTCAACAAATGCCGCGATCAAGGTTAGAGGATGCTCTTTATCATAAAAGCTTTTATCTGGGTTTGATTTCTGTGTCCTGCTGCTGTGAAGACGTGTTTATGTGCATGCTATAATTACAACTACAAGGGTGACCAAATCTGTCTTTGGCCCTAAATACAGTGATCAGAACTGTGTTTTATCCTAATAGAAAGTTCTTTTTTGAACTCTAATGGTTCATATTACATGTCTTAAGAGATATGTGAGTATATATGAAAATGGAATTCTGATGGAAATTTATCGTCATTGCTTTTGAGGAATAGGGGCTCCGAAATGGTTCAGAGGCCGTCTCCTCGAGGAACACATCAGCTCAGGACTTCAAGCTCTGATTCAGATCCACTCCATCATCGACCAATCACTGACCGAAGTCCAAAGCTAGGAGATCGTCGTTCCCCAAGAGGTACACAATCTGATCCACTAAATCAAAAGAAGCTTGGAACCCGCCTTGCTGATTTAGAATCGCAACTTGGGCAAGCACAAGAAGAGCTAAGGATTTTGAAAGAGCAGTTGGCTTCAGCTGAGGCTGCAAAGAAAGAAGCCCAAGAGAAACTGGAAAAGAAAATTAAGAAACCAGTTGTGACTTCAGAGCCAGTGAAAATCCATGGAACGCATCCCTCATTGGAGATCCAAGATTCTAACAAAACAGACAGTTGTACCTCTGAGGAAGTTCCAGATGACTGCCAAAGGGAAACTGATGTTTTCGAAGTCCCTGTGGAACGTGTCACAGTTGAGCCCAAGGTTGAACCTAGTGAGACTGATCAAGTGGAAGAAGAAACCAAACCAGTTGATATATCAGCTGAACCACCATCAGTTATGGAACCAGAGAAACTGTCCTTACATGACCTGGCTTTGAAGAATGATGAGATAAACATGCTAAGAGCTGAGTTGGAAGAGAAGGCAAAGGAGCTAGAGGTGTTTGGTCAAGAAAATGAGGGTTTGAAAAATCAGCTGAATGAGGCAGCTTTAAATTTCTCATCTGCACAAGCAAAGGACAAGGAAATGACCTTGAAGTTAAGCCAGCTTGAAGAAGAGCTGGAAGCAAGTAAGGCCAGTGCAGGCCAGTTGAATGAGAAGCTGCAAGCAATGGAAGGAGCAAAGGAAACAATGGACGCTGAGATGAAGAAGATGAGAATACAGACAGAGCAGTGGAGAAAGGCAGCAGATGCTGCTGCAGCAGTACTTTCTGGGGGTATGGAGATGAATGGGAGGATTTCTGAGAGGTGTGGCTCCATGGATAAGCACTTTGGTGGAGTGTTTGAGCCACCAGCTGGTGGCTATGCTGGCTTTGTTGGGTCACCTGCTGATGATTTGGATGATGGATTTGGTAGTGGGAAACGAAAGGGTTCCGGGATAAAAATGTTTGGTGACTTGTGGAAAAAGAAGGGCCAGAGATAGAGATACCTTTTTGCATCTCTTGCCTACACCCATGCTTAACTTCAAAATATGTTTCTGTTAATGTGTTTGATGGTGGCAAAACAGTTCCTTACTGTTTCACATTCGGTAGGCAGTGTGCTTCAGACTACCGTCTTAGCCATTGTTTTTCTTAGCATTTTCGAAGGCTTTGTATAATTGTTTGAAATGATCTTGACATGTTTTATTCAGTTCATGAGTAAGGTTTTAGTAACTCTTTGCTAATAAATGGGATATTTTGTTGTTGCCTTACCTGAATGCAATTCTCCATCCCTATGGTATTTTCATCATTTTGTTGCTTTGTAAATATCACATCATATTCTGCAGAGCAAAAGAGAAAATAAACGCTTATGCAAAAACAATAAGATATCCTGCAGAAAGCCAACCCAGCCAGATACTTGAGCATCCACAATCAGGCCAAAATCATAATTATATCCACTTCTGTAAATCAGGGAGGTTAGCAAAAGTGGGTTTGTGAATGAGACCACTCAATTTGCACCTTGTGACTTGGATCATGTATTTGAGGAGAACAATCATAGTGGCTGGCAAGAGTTCCTGAAATTCCTATTGTTTCACCTTTGAGATAAATAAATTGCTTCAGACAAGCAGATCATGATTATGTTGTGTAGTTTCTTCCCCTTAAAAATTGTATCAGGCAGGAAGATCTAAGTATGTCCTTGTTGATTGGTACATTGTTTCCCTAATCAACATTCACAATTTCTGGTCTCAATCTGCCTATACAACAATCACCATGTATACATAGTACTAACTAAGGGGGACCAGAAAGTTAAAATATTTCCTTTAGAAAAGTTAGGCCCACACTTTAGAAGTTATGTTCTCATTTTTACAACATTCATTCTCTTAATACATAATGGTAACCAAGATAGATCAGGATATGCTGAAAAGATTTCCTCAAGACATGATTATGGGAATAAAAATGGGAAGTAGATACAACTAATCGACAACTATTCATCATCACTATCATAGTTTTGGCACAATGACTGTAGTACATTGCTTGTAGCATTGGTTTTATTCTCTCCCTTTTGCTTTTCATCATCTGGTTTTGTAGAATTTTGAACCTCCTCTCCCAATTGTTTCTTATCTTCTCCATCCACTGACTTGTTACCTTCAGCCGCAACTGGTTTCTTAACTATAGAAACCCTAACAGTTGACGACTTCAAAGTGAATTTAGCATCAGTTGGAGCTTCTGAGCCATTTTGATTTCCTATCAATAGCCAAATAATAAAATGTTCAATAATGCCAAACGGAAATCTATAAGAAATTCAGAGACGAAAACTTAGTGTGTCGAGCATACCTCTCTTGCTTGAGATATTAAAAATACTGCTTTTTGTCAACCAATCTGTCGGGTTGCTAGGTGTGTCTTGGGTAAGCTTTGGCCTCTGCATGGTAAAATGTGCACACAAACATTCGTAAGCTTACTGTTGTCCATTACAGAGACATGGATATCACATTAACTGTTGTGACATAAAACATGGTCGGTGTTATTTAAGCAAGTTGAGGCCTACTAGCTCACAGGGGAAAGTATTAATTCCTTTCATTCCACAGGGTGATTGATCGCCACCCAGTGTAAGTGTTACTATGCAATTTCTAGCAATTAAGAAAAGAAACTTTCAGTTTTGTGCCCACCCACTCTCTCTCCTCTTCATCTATAAAGCCTTCATCCTCCATATATTGATGTTCACAATTTTCTCCTCTAACATCACGTCATATCTAAGACTCTCAAGCTAAACCTTTTTCCTTCACCATATTACAGGCCTAAAAAGTACTTAAATAGTGGAAGCACCATGTAGACCTCAAAGTGCACGTAGAATTATCTGTAAGGAATATCAACAACCTTGACTAATCTTTACATGTCACCTACCTAAAATTACGTCGAGCTTGATGACATAAGAGAACATATCCTATATAGAAGATTGTTTCTGCCATTTGCACTACAATTACCAAGTTCAAAGGGAAATGCTAAATTTAGAGAAATGACAATTATTTGAAGATAGTGGAAGCACATTCTCTGCAGTGCATTGTGGAGGTATACACCTATATCAAAAACCACATGTTATGCTCCATCCAGGGACAGGCATAAAAGACCCTATAAGGTAGAGCTGGATTAATCTAAAACAAAAGGTTCAACACACTGTTTATGTATTATTTGATAAGACACAATATCTAAACAACCACCAACAAGTCATACCTTGAAATTATGATCTGATGTTTCACCGTTGCCACTTAAAGGCTCAATATCTTCATCAGGAACCCTTCGAACAAAATCTTTTGAGTTCTGCATAAATTTTTTGGAAAACAAAAAAAGAAAGGTCGTATTAGAAACAAACAGCCCGCAATAAAGAATAGGAAAAATAAAAGAAAAAGAAACAGAATTAAGCTGGGCATAAAACAAAGGTAGTACGTCAATACTAACATGGAATAGTACTGATTTTAAGGCTGCTTCATCCTCCTCTTCAATCATTTTCTCCTGTCAGCACATCAATATTTTATTACATTCAAAATTAAATAATAAAACCGAGACTAAACAGGTAGCAGAGCAAGTTGAAGATAGAAATGAATGCACAAAACATGCTTCTGGAAGAAAAAGCGCATGTATTCACTCCTTCAAATTCACCTCCCTAGGTGATGTATCTCATTTCAATAAGCTGATTACATCAGGTATTTGGTTTATCCACTGACTGGGTTCAGAACAAGAAGATAATTCAACTCACTTTTAATTAAGTGCAGCTTCTTTCTTCTTTCTTAATTAAAAAGACAGTAACCAACTCATTATAATACGTGGGCTTTAGAAGTTCCCTATCAAATTTTTTGGCTATATTATTATTGTACCCTGAATTACATGATGTTGTAACATATTCATGGAAACCACAACATCACACACTTCAGGAACCATGGTCCAATATGTTTTTGCATAATAATATCTAAAGAGATTCGCATGTATACACCATACAATTCATGACACTGGACGGGGAGCAATACCATATATATACATGTGTCTCTATTTATTGGGGTTAAACTGGTCTAGATATAAAAAGTGCATAAATTTGTACCTTCAATGCAGCCGTGTGTTTCAAAGCCTCCAACATATCATCCACACTCACATTAAAATGTCTGGCCTGGAAACCACAAACATTGTATTAGTATTAGGGGATACTGACTTGCAGCCAACACAAAGGAATTGAATACTACATAACATATTATACATATACATATTTACATAAACGTAAATGTGATGCACTACAATTTAGTTGCAGAACTGTATAATTACATCACATCCACTACATTATCTATCCATCCATCCAAGTTACAAAGCATCAAATTTGATGACCTTGTCGCAAGATACACTAGTCAGGCACCTACCTTCATGGACTTCATCTCATCCAAAGCAGCCATGATGTCCATCTCTCTTTTTGAATCCTGGGTTCTGTTCTCCAAGGATTTCATGGCATCTCCCATTTCTTCAGACTCCCTTTTTTGTTTCTCCTTATCTAATTCCTGAAAAGAAAACATATATCGAGCCGTTAAACAATGTTGATCAGTGATCAGAGTATAAGGGAATCTGAAAACACGAAACAATGTAGTAAGTTGAAAGTTATCCTTTTTCTTTTGCTTCTCTTTTACCTCATCCTCATTACGCCAGGGTTCAAAATTTCGTGTAGCACCGGCCTCAACAACATAGTCTGAATTCTGTGGGTCTGTCTTCATCGCGAGCTCAGCGGAGCACTTGGTACATTTGAAGTAAAATCTAAATATTTGAATTCCCAAATACGTCTGCAAATGATAAAAACATTAACAAGTCAGTCCACAGAACATAACAAATATCGTGTCCAACCAAAGCAAATAATCAAACACCAATTGCCCCAAAGGCCAAGACGATTGTTCTCAAAAAACAAGCATACCGATTATGAGTTAAAACAAAAAGAAAAACCTTAGAAATCAAATCAAGGCGAGCTAGGCTATGCAATTAGAAACCCTACTGATCAACGAAGTACCTCTCCGACGACATCTTCTTTGCGAGAATTGAATTTGGTGCCTTTGTAGATGTAATTGCCACAAGTATTGCAGCGAATGCTCATGGGAAGCATCATCCGCACCTTTATCTGTTGATTCTTGGGCCTCCTGATTCTGGGCAGCTTCGATGGGTCGAAGTCCGGTGGATAGTACTTGTTCAGAACCTTACGCTCTCCCATCTTCGCTTCTCTTCAAAAACCCTTAAGCTCTCTGATTCAATTCAAGTTGCTTCTCTTTCTAAACTAAATATCCGAAAGATTCAGTTAGTGTGGAAGTTTTATTTTGTGAAAAAATAGATGTCTATATATAGGATTCGCAAACCCCAAACAAAGAAGAATTCTTGTGAAAATAGGAGGACTCGGTGTGGAAGATGATACCTGTTGAACGCGCGAGCTTTTTAGGGAATTTGGAGGATCGTAGGGATTTATATGTTGAGCCTGAGAGCGCCGAGTCTATTGGATTTTCCAACTAGACCGGCTGGGTCGGTCGGTCCGCCTTCAATGTAACAATGTTGGGTTATGGACCGGAATAGTCTCCCCGTTCGAAATATTCGATTTAGGCAATCAAACTATTTTTTTTTTTTTTTTTTTTTTTTTTTTTTTTTTTTTGGTTCAAATCAAACTAGTATAACTAAAGTAAACCAATTTATTCAAGGATTGCTTTTTATTTTATTGACCATTTGCCTTTAATTAGGTAAATATATTGATATAGGTAGTATTGATTTGTGGTGAGGGGGCCAAGGTCACTCCTAGACTTAACACAACTCCGTCCCTAAAATCTTGGGAGAGAAGTGATCTCAAATTCAAATGATTAGAGAATTTAAAGTTTTGATATTCAATAATTAATATCAATTCGACATAATAATAGCAATGAACAATTTAGGCCATTTTTAATTAGACCGTATTGAATCAAACCAAATTAATTGTACTTTGGTTCAGTTCGAACCAAAATACACGTTCAATTTAACCCTAGCAGTATAAAACCTGGGCAGAGCCGAACACAAAGGTTCTCAGTCAAAAGGCCTACAATGTGGTAAGGAGGGTAAGTCAAAAGACATCAAACCCCAAGTAACATAAAAACAGGGAACAGAAAATAAAATTTACCCATTGAGATAATGAAAAATAAATAAGCATCATTTGTTTTTCTGGACTAGTATTAATAAAATTGCATCGGGATATAAATAATGTGGCCTCGAACAGGGGAGCAAATATGACAATGTAAATCTTTTGTTCCTTCAAATTGTGGACTCAACTTCAATTTTCAACCAAAATATTTCAAACAGTACATCAAACTCATGAATACCCGGATTTATATAATTACTAGAAGCTGTTTGAAAAAAAATACACCAAAAATAAAAAATAAAAAATGCTTGTATAACTATCTAGTAGGTAAACCCTGCTCCCAAAAATGCTTCAATTCTGATGTCAAACCATTGCATTTGCTCCTAATAGGAGATTCCTTTGGCCAACTCAGCCTGCAACAGATTAATGGATTTCGGATCCACCACTTCACAATAAAGAAAACATAAAAAATTAAAAGTGCAGCATATACTAGCATCATACCGAGCGATAAACTAGTCATCCTCCATAGGCACCTCTGGAATGTCAGACAAATCCTCTTCAAAAGGTTTATTGATCACACCAACTGGATATGGTATGTAAAGTCAAGGGGAACACAATATTTTCTTCGTTTTAATGTACTCTTAGAATTCAATGCTAATATGGCATTTGCGTGATCGCATTCCATTTCCAGCTCATTGTCCAAAAAAGTTGGGTTTTAGAAACACTACAAAAAAAGTTGACTACTGTGAAGCAAATGAAAACACAGAGCACAAAAGAAAAGGATATCGATTGACATAAGATCATCCTCTTTCTCTCCACGATTGCGGCTATGATCTAGTTCCCTTCTTATTTCAGGGGTTACCTACAATTGAACCACAGAATAGAGATTACATATTGCCACAAAGTTATATAAATTAAACTCTTTCTAGAGAAAATGCTCCTACCAAATAGTGCTTTTGCTTTTCAAGAAGATTTCTAAGATTATCTTTATCCTCCTTTTGTAATTCGTTTTTGTACCTACAAGAATGATGCACAGCAAACTGTATATGATGAAAAAGACAATAGAAAAAAAAAATCAAGAACCCTTGAGACATCCCTCATTTAGGCAAGGAAGAAACTTTTAAAAACTTCGCTCACCTTTGCACAAATGTAAGAAGTGACTGGTGCCATATAACAGGCATTAGCCTTGTTTCCTCCAAGAATCTCATAAAATGTGCAACAACAGCATCAAGTACGCGATATGGTAAGGCATATTTTTTATCCAAAAGAAGCTTTATAAAGTAACTGCAACAAGTCATAAAACCAACATTGTCAAAACAGTGTTGTATCGGGGGGATCTTCTCCCTTTATACTAACAAGAAGAGTACTTCTAAACTGACCAATCATCAAATATATAACTTCATTATATTCAACAAATGTCGCGTAAGGACACTGATTAACCTTATGCATTATTCGGGGGAGGATTATTGAATCAGATCTATATATTTCTACTGAATCAGGACCTTAGGCCTTCCCTTACCATCCCTTCCACCAGATGCATTAATTTTTTGGCTCGCATATTTTACAATTTTAAAAATAAAAGAAAATTTGCGACCACATACACATTTAAGAGAAGATGTCTCTTTATGTCTTTCAAACCATGTTGAAAATACTAATTGTTAAATGGTTGAATACCTCGTTGTGCCACAGTATTTCATCTCTGCAAGCTTCATTAATGCAACACTGCAAATACATCAAAATCATGTGTCAGAGGTCCCAGATGGATTACAAGAAAAATGAATCAATATTATAACCTCCAACAAAAACAAAACATGAGAGAATCAACTTCCACAAGACAAAGACAAAAAAAAGAAGGAAATCTTATAAAAGCATAGATAGAGCTAAAGAAATAAGATATAATCAGGAGATTTGTGCATGATCAATATTTAATTGGATTCACAAATTATTTGATTGATTCAAAAAGATTTAAGATGGAATTGACTACTGATAGCCTTGCTCAATCTAGGTGTTCATGGCATGCTAATCTACACAAACAAATTAAAGCATTTAATGATAAATAAATTTTAAAACGAAAATTCTGTCAAGAAAATTAACCATAATAGATTGACTCAGGCCAATTGGTAAAAATTAACCACAGTGGTTATCTTAGGGAGACTCAAATTACAACAAGCAGAAGGTAAATTCAAGATATAAAAAGTTCCAAATAATAGATTTCAACATCAACTTAATTTTTATTTATTTATAAATCTTACACAATGTGATCTTAACAGTGGCTTCATTAGTTGTCACACAACAATTATAAGCACCCAGAAAAATGAAATTCAAAACTGAGAATACTATTTTCACAGTTCGTACAATTAATTGTTATCTTCTGTTGAGAGAAAACCGAAGAAATTTAACAACGCAAAAAAGTACAGCCAGTTACTAGTTTACAAGAACTTTGTGTCTTATACGAACTTAGTATGGAATTTAAAGTAATAGAACTTTGACAATCTAATTATCCGCAACACTTGTCACATGGGCTGCTAGTAAAAAAAATTCAAATTGTTTGTCCTTCGTTCATATAACTTAGATGATTTTATTACTTGTTAGGATTAAATTTCTATCAAGCACATCTTCATTTTAAAGGGTATGTTTGGAAGCCTTCTGTTATGCCAAAAGCCCAAAATTCATAGACCAATACCAATCTTCGTAGGGCAGCTACCGTACCTTGAATGAAGTGGAGGAATGGAGACCTTTTCTATAATGCTCCCAAAAATAACAGCTTCTCTTAGATTACATGTCCCTGACTGGTCAAGAAGAGGGGGAAATGGGGCCAAAGGGGAGTGCATTAGAATTATCAAAACATCCATTCCAAAGCCAGAAAAACATTTTCAGATCTAAGCATCCCATTCAAATAATAAAATTGAGGTGAAAATCACACTTCAAAAACTTGGTTTGGAGTAATACAAATAGACTAGCAAAGAAGGTTAAAAACAGAAAATCATGAATCCCTGCACGAAGCATACATGATGAACAATATATATTTCATAAGTAGATTGGAAAAATATTTCAAATCATGTGCTACAATGCAAACCACAATGCCACAACTTGATTTATTGTATGAAATAAAAAATAAAAAACAGAAATCAAGAGAACTCCATAATAATAATTTAGTGATGGTCCAATAATATGAATTAATGCTTTTGTTTTGCACCTCAAACTGAAATAATACCAACAGACAAACTCAAGAACTTAACTTCAGTATAACAGAGAAGGAAATAAATGAATGAGCTGCCAAAATAAACAAGCAACACGCTTAAACTTCAAAACACTGCAATTAGGTGGGCAAGCATGGCATGTTTTGAGAATTGTATACCTCACACAACGGAAGAAGTATTCCTAAGAAAAAGGCAGCAGGCTTGTACAAAGACTTTTTCAAAGATTGATATAGGGCAAAATGCAAGCGCTTATGCTTCCGAATGTCTTCTCTCACTCGTGGGAGCAACACAAGCTTGTAGAAACGTTCTACCTTCTGCTTACCCAAATTGGAAGCAAAAATTCTCGTAGCTTGGTACATTGCATTTGGTGACCAATTCTCAGGCTCAGTCAAATATAGGACATCCTCCCATCGAGGCACTGAAGGGATGTGTTTGAATGGTTTGGGAACCTTGCCAGCAGTGTACTTACTAAGAAACTTGCCAACTCTGCATAAACAGTGAAAATTTAAGAAGAAGTTTAGCATTAGTCAAATCACATATATGCGTTTAAATATTATGTACTAACGAAAGAAGGATAGGTTACTTACCCCTTATACAATTCTATGAGGGAGGTATCCAATTTAGGCAAAGGCCTAGCATCTGCAATCAAACATATCCAATCGACAAATGAAAACATATTAATGAAAAGATCTTCAGCTTAAGCTAATGACGCAATTTTGTTAGATTTGAGATTCAAGAAACAAGCAAGAACAATGAAATCATATTCCATTTCAACCTGAGCTGACATCTGAATCCTTCTCTTTAATTCTTGCGACAATGAGGTCTGCAAGAGTACGTTGTGGACCTGCAGACTTTGACAAGAATGCCTCTAAAAGATTCTCATCATCTTCATCAATCTCGTTTAATAATTTCTCATCATGTTCATCATTCTCCTGAAATTCAAAGGAAACAAGACTATTTAATTTGGTCTCATCTACAAATCAATGCTTTTCAGCCAAGTGAAAAATAACAATTTAAAAAGTAACAAAATAACACAATTCAGCATTCATTTACATTTCCTATGTTTCCCCACAGATTCTCACTATCCTAAAAGAGCCAACAAACAAATAAATACGTTAAAAAGTCACAAATAACATTTTAGCAAGCGACACTCACTTCATGGCCGCCAAAACGGCTCTGTGTTTCAGAGAATCCACCGAAGTCATCGATGTCTTCCTCTTCCTCAGCTGCTTCATCCTTGCGCGGGTCTTCAGTGACGTTTAATAAGGAATTGTTAGGGTTTTGGGCACGGTTCTCCTCGTCCTCGACCTCCCTCTGCTGAGCCAGAGCCTCCTTGAGGATCTTCGAGCTCATGCCCGAAGATATCAGCTTCTCTTCCATCTGGTGCTGCTTGGACTTGGTTTGCTTCTTCGAGGCCACAGAGCCATTCTCTTCTGCGAGAAATGGCTCTGGATTCTGATGCCTCTCTCTCTGCCTCTTCTTCCCCATTGAAACTGCTACAGGCAAAGCTTTCTTCTTTTTCTTTCTCTCTCGATGCTAAACCCCACCTTATTTCTTCAGTCTAAACCCTAACTACATAACGACAAATTGCGAACAGGAGGACCAAAAAAAAAAAAAAAAAAAAAAAAAAAAAAAGGTAGTGTGTGCAAATTTTTATTTTTTGTATTTGATACATGTAGTGTGCGTGGGGACCTACGGTTTTGGCTACGCCAGCAAAGAAAGGGCCGAACCCGAAGGAGAAGGAACCACAAGGGCCCAACAAGAATGTACCAACCCAATAATTACTCTCCAAGGGCCATTTGATAATCATTTCAGTTTTAATTTTTAGTATTTATTTTGAGTTTTTCTATTTAAACCCCGCACTTCTCTTTGTTCACCCCACATTTTAAGTTCACCCCAACTTCTAATTCAAATTTTCACAATTTTCTAAAAAAAACCCCCACTATCTTCCCAAATTACCCTTAAATACACACATTATGATGAACAAAGAAAAATGTGGGGTAAATAGAAAAACTCTTTATCTTTTGTGCTAGAGTATAGAGGAAAATGGGAGTCAAAATGGGAGTCAGGATGAGAAGGGAGGAAGGAAGGAGGAGTAACAAAAATGAAAACAATTTCAAATAGTTTCAGTTTTTAATTTTTGTTTTCAATTTTGTTACTCCTCCCTCCCATCCTCCCCTCTCATCTTCCCTTTCAATCTCATATTCTCACTTCCATTTTCCCACTTTTTCCTCTATACTTCTAGCAACAACAAAAAAACTAAAAAAAAACTATAAACTAAAAACTAAAAATGAAATGGTTATCAAATGGGTCCTAAACCACTCAAAAAATTTCTTAAAAAACTAGAAAGCAAAGAACAAAAGGAAAGCCTTTTTTTTTTTTTTTTTTTTTTTTTTTTTTTTTTTTTTTTTTTTTTTTTTAATACAAATATATAGGAAAAAGAGGAATCAAACCAAGGATTTCGAATACAAGCGCCTTGCAGGAAAAGCCTACTTTTGATGGACTAAAGTGTTTCTAAAATATAGTTATGCTTTTTTATTCTATAAAGATTATGTCTGTTTAATTTGATCATTGTCATCTATAAAAATTTGAACACAATCTCCTAAAATAAAACTGAAATGGAATGTCATTAAACCAAATGATTATAATCGAGAAAATCAACATTGTATTAAGAAGTGTAGTGGTTATGGAGTGAAACTGGAAAAAACTTTTGTGGTTGAGTGGCAACTTGAATTTGAAATATGCGCACCAAACATTAGAAGATAAAATGGCTTTTCAACTTCCTCTTTTTGTATTCCTAGATCAGCGTTTTACCCTTTTAGTAAATTTAGGTTTTAACCATAAAAAAATTTTCACTTTTGGAAAAAGCCAAAACTTTTTTGAAAAAGACAGAAAAACCTCTTAACTTTAAAATCAAAGACATGCAAGTGTAAATGATTTCTTAGGAAATCCAAAAATAAATAAGGGCAAATTTGTCCATTTTGGCTTCTTTTACAAAATTTCTCTCTCCTTTGGGTTTTTCTAAAGTCTCCCTTTACTTTTTGACCAAAAAATATCAGCTTTTTATACTTAGTGGATGCCTTTGACATGCAGTGTGTACTTGTAAAAGTTATTACACACAATCAAGACTGGTGGCGTATACACGTTTTTCTGGTCTTTTCAAGAATTCTAAGGAACTTGGCAATGGCACAATTTGAAGCAAGCAATTCATTCCCTGGGCATTTACCACATAAGCCTTTGCAAACCACATTGCTAGCTGGCATTATAGTGGACTTGTAAGTTGAAGGATATGAGAAAATTTTCTGATCATGGCTTTGTTCTACTTGTTTTATCGTTGGCTGCCATACCATTCTGTTTCTGCATTAATTCAACAGCCAGCTGCGTAGAAAGAGACAGAGAAGCTCTTATAAAGTTCCAGCAAAGTTTTCAAGATACACCAGACGGGTTCTCCTCTTGGAAAGGCAAAGACTGCTGCAAATGGAAAGGAGTGAGTTGTGATTATCAAAGTGCAGGACATGTTGTCAAGCTTGATCTTCGAGCTAAACGCCTCCGAACACAGGTTGACTTGCAGGCCACTGAGGTTAGCTTATCTTGTTTGCTGGAGTTGAAATATTTGAAATATTTGGATTTGAGTGGAAACAATTTAGGCGACGGACCAATCCCCAAGTTTTTTGGTTCCATGAAGCGGCTGACATATCTTAATCTCTCTTCTGCACAATTTTCTGGGACGGTTCCCCATCATCTTGGAAACCTTACTAGCTTGCAGATTCTTGATCTCAGTAACCCACCATTGTTGATTGTAGATGATCTTCGATGGCTTTCTCGTCTGTCGTCTTTGCATCACCTTGATATGAGTGACTTGTACTTTGAGGAGACACTAAACTTAATGCAGGTACTCAGCATGCTTCCTTCTTTGCTTTGGTTACGATTGTCGAATTGTGGACTTAATGAAAATCAATTTCGAGGGGGTGGCACCAATGCCACTTTTCTCCACAACCTTCAATCCTTAGATCTTGCCAACAATGGACTTCTTGGTCCAATTCCTGATGCTCTTCGAAACATGACTTCCCTTAGAAGACTTGATCTTTCATTCAACATTTTGCAATCATCAATTCCTGCCTGGTTGGGAAATCTTGAGAACCTTGTCCATCTCAATCTTTCTCACAATGTCTTCAATAGTATTGAAGGTGGGCTATTGTCAATATTAAGAAATCCATGCCATCTAAAATCATTAGACTTGTCGCTGAACCCATTTCAAGGAGAGATATTAGGAACTAGTGGAACTTTATCTGGATGCACTGAATATGATTTAGACACACTGAGGTTAGTCAACAGTGGAGCTAGTGGCCGTTTGCCAGATTGGCTGGGGAAGCTAAGAAATTTGAAATACCTTGACTTTCAGATGAATTCATTCAGTGGCCCTATTCCATTTTCGCTTGGGAATTTGTCAACCTTGAGAGAATTGTATCTTTCACACAATCAATTGAATGGGACAGTTCCTGAGAGTCTAGGGCAACTTTCAAACCTTACAGTCTTAGATCTTTCTTCAAATAATATAGATGGCATAGTTTCTGAAGTCCACTTTGCCAACCTCTCAAAGTTGGAAATATTGAACTTTGCCCTCAACCATTTGACAATCAAGGTAAAGTCCAACTGGGAGCCTCCTTTCCAGCTCAAACATGTAAGGATGGAATCTTGCAAGTTCGGGACACAATTTCCTCAATGGCTTCTAACACAGAAGACCATCACATTAGATTTGTCCAATGCTAGTATCTCAGGAACGATACCAAAATCGCTTCATGGCTTGCACCTAACCTACTTGGATCTATCATACAATGAGATAACTGGATCCCTTCCACAAAAAATTTCTGATATGATGCCTAGATTGGATAGTTTATTTCTTGGCAGTAACCATATAAAAGGTTCAGTACCAACCTCATTGTGCAACATAGAGACTTTGGGTGCTCTCGACCTCTCAAAGAACAGGTTGTCTGGTGAAATTCCTGGATGTTTGAAGAATCTCCAAAACTTGTATGCTGTGGACCTCTCATCAAACAACCTGTCAGGGGTTATTCCCAGCTCAGTTGGTTATCTTCGGCATCTAGTATGGTTGAACTTGAACAACAATAGTCTTCATGGAGAACTCCCTTCAGCCTTGAGAAATTGCTCTTATCTGAAACATTTGGATCTTGGCAAGAATAGATTGTCAGGGCATATACCTGCGTGGATCGGAGATAGCTTTGAGTTCTTGATAATTCTCCGCTTACGGAGGAATACGTTCAATGGCAGTATTCCTTCACAACTGTGCCAACTTTCCCCACTGCAGGTCTTGGACCTTGCACATAATGATCTAACAGGAATCATCCCTCACTGCTTTGACTATCTCAAGGGAATGCAGTTGGCGCAGTACTCAACCAACCAACCAGAATCAGATCAGCAGGGGTATGATATTGATGCAGAACCAAACAACACAAATATCTGGCAGGTTTTAAAGGGAAGGGAGTACGAATCTGCAAGGATTTCATCTCTAGGAGTTAGTATGGACCTCTCAAGTAATAATTTGGTAGGATTCATACCTGAAGAATTGACATCCCTTTCTGGATTGCTTGGCCTGAATTTGTCACATAATCATTTGGAAGGAAGCATCCCTCAAAAGATAGGCGAACTGAAGTCATTAGAATCTTTCGATATATCAAACAATCAACTTTCCGGCACAATTCCAATGAGCATGTGGTCCTTGGCAATGACAACATTAAGCCACCTCAACTTATCATATAACAACTTATCTGGCCCACTCCCAAAAGTTTATGAGGTACAGCCTTTTGATTCAACTAGTTTTACTGGCAACTCACTACTCTGCGGAGCTCCACTACCAAATTACTGCTCAGGTGATGATGAGCTGCATCAGATTCCTACAAGCACCAGCAATGTAGACCATGATTCTGAAGAAGATAGGTATGAAAAATTATGGTTTTGCCTTGTCGTAATGCTTGGATTTGCAATGGGGTTTTGGGGAGTTCTCGGGCCTCTAATGCTCAACAAGAGCTGGAGACGTGCATATTTTCGATATGTGGATGAAGCCAAGGACTGGATATTTGTTGCAGTAGCAGTGAAGATGCGAAGCTGGAGAAGATGGGAAGAGGCCATGTAGATGATTACAAAGGAGACTGAGTATGTGTTGTTGGAAACAAAATTTAAAATCCTTCAGAACTTTTCTCCTTGTGCATCTTTGGCAAGCAAAAAGCATATGATTAAAATATATGATGTTCCATGCTGTAATAATTTTGAAAGTACACAGACAATTGTGTGAGTAGCTAGCTAGAGATTTGACCCAGAAGCACAGACATAAATAAGGAAATCCATTACATATTTTTTTGGGCTGGTAAAAGGAACTTCATAAAAATAACTTGGAACCAAGGGCTTAAGTAAAAAAAGCTTCATAATTCAATCAAATTTTTAAGGGCTTAGGTAAAAAAACCTTGTCCCCATTCAATGATACAAGTACAGTAACTGATGAAAACAAAGAGCCATAGCAGTAGCCATTACCAAAAAGAGAAACAAAAAGGCATGGTAGACAACGAGAGTAAAATAAAATATTGCTTATAAAAACCCGAAAACACTATTATTAAAATAAAATAGACTCGGTTCATAACCAGAAAGAGGCAATATGAACTTGAGCTAAAAGATACATGAAGTGTACTGTTGTTCTGTTTCAATAGGCTGTCAAACAAGCCAGTCCTGAAGTATAAGATCTGCAAATATTCACAATATTCCAATGTGCGATACACTCTGAACATGCTATTTGGATCACAATATTAAATGACAGCATACTTCTGTGTCCAGGAAACTATTCTGAATTTTGGCTTTGCAAATTACTTTACTGGCAGCGAAATTGACTGCTCTGCCAAACCTGAAAAGAATAAATTAAATTACAAAACTAAACATGTGAGTCATAAGTTCCTTTTCAATTCATATCACAATGTATGGCCATGTTTCTTCTTTCTATTTTTCTATATTCAAAATGCTAGACATGCACAGTTCTCATCAATGCATGGAGTAATGAAAAGTAGGGGAAGCAAATGCATTGGTCCAATATGTCCAAGCAACACGAAGTTTGTCCAAGAAACTTTTGTTGCACAAAATAAATGTTAAATGGTACATGACATTACCTCATTGACCAAACAACTTTCGACTGGAACCAGAAATCAATCTAAGTTTTTAGAGATAACCTGCAATATCAAAACTTCTTTATCAGATTCATAGCCATGCAAAGTATCGTAAAAGGAAATCTAGGGACTGCAGGAAGAGGAGAAAGAACAATGCTCAAAAGCATAGATAACATAAAATCCAATCAATTAATAATTGCTACATCAGGCTGAAGTGACCAGGGTAATGATTGTTAAGAAATGGCTCTTTTTTAACATACAAATAAAAAAATAAAAATTTCTACCCAAATACCATTGGCTAGAAGATAATCAGATCTGAAGCAAAACAGATTATGACATACAGTCGATAATAAGACTGATTTGCACGCATATTGTAAACTTGCCTCTAGTATTAATGCTTTCGCATGCTCTTCCCACTCAGTAGCCCACCTCCTAGAAGAACACATTTCCAATGCACCATTACGGAGACCCTTCAGTGAATCACATGCATCTGGAAAACCCTTGAACAGCATCTGTGCAGGTGAGAAATGAATATTATCATGAAGAAAGTGCACTAAGCAATAATCCAAAATTTGTAAGCCATTATATGAAGCAATTGAGTATACAGTGGTTAGTCTGCCATGCATATTAGTTTCATCTATTAACCACTAAATCCATAAGGAGACTACCAGAGATTCAGAAGGGAATGGTACCAAAGAACAAAGAAATAGAACATTTCCTGCACTACAAGTTACAAGAACTGCATATGGGGTCCAAAGTCAAGCATAAATCTTAAAAAGAGATTGTAAAAGAAAATTCAATCTAGGAAAAGCAGTCATGAAACAAATCCTCTGTGACATGGATTAAAGAAATAAATTATTTGGCTGAAGTCACTAACATGGTTCACAGGCTAATAAAAAAACAAATAGGAGTGGCAAAATACTGACTTCAGTTAGTTCACCACGGACGAGTATCATGGGATGACATCCATCCCAAACCTAGATCCAGAAGAAGCAGGCATAAAACTGTCCTATTTCACATTCAGAATAGGACCAGAAGCATCATGCAACCCACATATTCAAAATTGGCTAACCAAAAGCTGAAACCTGCCTACAAGGCAACTGGGATGCAAGAAAAATAGATATAGATATCCCTAAGAATAGAAAGCTATGTATGCATGAATTATTTCAATCATTTTAATGTAGCAGCCAAAGCATCCTAACCGACAAACAAGCAAAACTTTCATGCAATTACTACCTGTATGCCTAAAAATTAATTTGTAACAGTAAAACATCCAACCAAGTTGACAAACTTACCAAAAGTTCATCAGCTAGCTCTGAAGACGATGAAAATAGAAGGCCGTTTTTCTCAACTTGCACTAATTCCTTGATGCTTTGAACAAAGATTTACATATCCAAGGACATCATATTTTAATGTGCAACATCCCAAATAAACATATAGCACATGAAAATAAGTATTCCGCACAAAAATAATGCACCTAATAAAAACAAAGAGTTTACCATGAGTAGGAAACGGCACAAACAGGCAGCCCACAACCGAACATGTCCACGACCTAATGCCAGAAAATTGTTCAAAAAAGGAAAGTGAAAAGCAATTTGAGAAGATATATATTAGTGCAATCTTATCTAGTGCAGTATCCAGTTCATGTTGTACCTTCATGGGAAGATCCAACCCTGATGAGGATGTATGCAAGCATACACCAAGATCTGCTGACCCTGTAAATGTAAACTTATAACACTGAGTACTTTCCAAATATAATGTACAAGGACCAATGGGAACAAAAGTATAAGCAATTGGAATAAACGACCTACCAAGAAGCAATGGATAGTCCTCAGCTGACAACCACATAGTACGAAATGCCACCCTTTTGAGGTGTAATCTGCTAATTTTTTCTTCATACTTTTCTTTTTCAGGCCCCTTACCTGTATGTATCAAATCAGAATGAAAGTGCGTAAGATGACCCTATTCTCTTTCAAAGCACATACATAAAGCGAAAAGGAACCTGACATCCTAGAACGAAAAACATTATGCTCACCTGTAATGATGAATAACAGCCTCGGATACAAGTATTGCTTCCCACTCTGCATTTCCTTCCAAAGAGCCTCTTCTTGAATAGAATCATCTTCATTCAAAATAGCAGCAACACGCCTGTCATACATGACAGCTGCTTCCAGGAGAATGCCAAAATCCTCATCGGGAGTCCTGTAAAGCACCACTCAAACCCAAAGTATGATAAATATTCTACCACAACCATAAAAATAAATAAATAAAAAGAGGTACAAAAGCAAAATATATCTAAACATGGGATTTGTCTTTTATCTCTACCAATGTGATAAAAATAGATTTAGCTCAAAACACTTGATGATATGAAGCATTTCTACACCAGTTAAAATTAGCATGGGAGACTCTCAACCTTATTTCTACCTAATTATGCTCCTTTTTAGTAAAGACAATCACTATTGTCAGTCACTAGCGTCTGTCTAAAACAGAAAGCTACAGAAAACACCATATAACATGTCAACATCATACACGAAACCCAATTTTAATTTTCATGCAACAGATTGGCAGATTTGGTGCGCATACACTCTCATGTTAAATGGAACATTTTTCACTACATCAGCTTACCAGCTTGTACTGCTAACTATGAGTGCCGGCCTGTCTAGCTTTGAAGTAATGTCCGTGCCAACCAGAGTGGTAAACAGAGTCTCATTTATGTCCTTATTCAACATTTCCCCTGTTCCTGTGACATATTAAAAGAACATAATTAACCTTTGAAGTTCAGTTAAGATGAAATTTATAGATTTACAGAAACTGATAACATATTACCAGTGCTGGTGCAATCTTGAACACCAAGTGGCTTCCTCAGACTTTTATCTAATCTGCAGAACAACTGCAAATAATTCAAATGTTGTGCCAAATTCTCCAAATCAAAAAAAGAAGAGTTAAAACAAGCAGATCATCAGCATCAACACCTTATGCTTTTCTTCAAGTGAAGCAGGACGGAAAAACTCAGGAGGCTGATCATATAGAACTGTGGCTCTGATAATTTGTGATACAAGAGAAGATGTAAAAAAAAAAAATTACTTCATAATGATATTTTCTGAAGAATAATGCAGTAAATTGTGCATATTGAGCTGACCATCTTACTTAATTCCCCAATTTTGAGCCAATTCATGTTGCATTGCCCTCGTTACACATAGGGAACCATCTGCCATCTTCCCGAAATGCCTCTCAAACCTAAGCAGGCAAGAGAAACTCAATCTAGTGCACCATCAAGAACATGCCATCAAAAGAAAAGTCTAAAAAGTAATTGAAAGATACCAACGGTATATTGCCACAAATCGACTACTTCTTCCAAGAGACAGTGCCAGTAACGTATATCCAAAATTATGCCAATCAACAATAAATGCAGATCGCCTAAGCCAGCTTGCCCATTTTACAGCCACTAAGGTTGGAACAGAAGGTGGATTCTGTAAAAGCAAAATGAATCAAATTTTTTTCTTTTTACATTCAAGTCATTGGCACTTCACATACAATATTGGGACCGAATTTTATAAAAGGTTCTGCAAGCTTTTTAACAATTCAACCTTCAATTTTCCTAATTGGAGAAATGAAAGCTCACCTGCACTAGAAAAACATCAGGAGCGGGTATCTTAATACAAAGAAACCAAAGAAGCACTAAAACTTGAATCACTGGCTTGATCAAAAGCGCCAAGGGCTTAAGTATGCTGGGTACGCCACGTGGAAATGTTGGCCACTGCTGCTGCAAATCAGAATCAGAAAAACTTTACTCTTGTAGAAGACCAATAAACAATTTTATGGTAAAATACCGTGGTGAAAAGAAAAATACACATCAACAATAAATACCATTTTGTGTATGTGAATAGACTGATGTTCTAGTACAGCAGAATGGGGTTCAGAACCTGCCCAACATTCAAACTCAAAGATAAATCAGCACCATTAATTTATCCTTTGTTCTCACTGACAAGTACACATCTCTTATGAAGTCACATTTGGATTCAAATTTCTCAAGAATGCATGTATTATACCATCAAAGAAAAGGAAAAAGAAAAGGATGTACCTCCATATGCAACAATATCTACCTCCAGAGATACCTGAACGCATTTTCAACAGTAAAAGTCACAAAAGGGCGCAAAATTTTTCATGGAACAATGAACAGTTGTGACTTCAAAATCACATTGCCAAAGCATAACATAGAAAATTAAGAATTGGGTTGTTGCTAAATTGGCAATGTTTATTCAAGTAGAGGTACGTACCTGACGGGCAAGCGAAAGAGCATGATATTGCATACGGGGGCTGCGCCCAATGTCACCTAACACCACCACGCAAGCCCTCCCTCTCTTCCCTCCTATAATCAAATTACAAACTTCGCATAAATCTGAATACGAACTACAAAGAACACGACGTTTTAAAAAAATATAAATAAAAAGCTTACCTTTTGCGGCCATCTCTGTGCGTCTTAGACTCTGATCTGTGACAGAGTGGTGTCAAGGTGCAGACTTGCTGTTGAAGTCTTGAAGAAGACGAAGGGAGATAGTTGGGATGTCAAGGTGGGCCGATTGAGTGGGCTTGGGAGACTCGATTTGACCGAATTTTGTACGATAAAATAATAAAATGGGCCTACCCGAATTGGTCTTTCAGTCTTTTGGACCGAAAAGAATCGTACTCATCCGAGTTGCCTCTGACTTGTTTTCATCAGACCCATCCTCTACCCGCGAGCTTTCGCCATTGTTAGGGTTCTAAATTTGCTGTCTTTGATTAAGGCCTTGAACTTGAAGAATTAAGTTGAGCTTCCAAGGTATTTGCTTTAATAGTCTTGGTGTTTCTTGGATTGTGTGTTCTTTATCTGTTTGTGCTCTTTTGTTGAATTGATATGTTATGCATTAAATAGTGGTGCAAAATTATTCAATTTGGATTTGGATTTTTTTTTCCTGCTGCTATATTGTGTGAAGAAGTTTCATGGATTATGTTCATGAAGAAATGGATGCGTTATTTGTGTAAAAGCTTTAGCTGAGTTAGTTTAATTTCATGAGTTGGGGGATCGTTAGAATTTGAAATTTGGTTTTGGAACAAGCAAAGGTATAATCTTTTTAAAATACTTGGTCTACTTGAATACTATCTTTGGCTTGTTTAATTTGATTCTGTAGAAGTTCATTACTGTCAGTGACTTTTTCCGGGTAAATTTGGTTCGTCAATTTCTTGTATTTCCTCTTTCTGCCTCCACTCTTCATTTCTTATGTGTTTTTGTGATAAAATCAGGTGCACAAGTGTCCCTGAGCCTCAGATTAAACACAATATGACAATCTTGGGGAGAGCCCATTTCCTGTGATTGTATCGGGTTGAAAGTTTTTCACACATATCTCCAGACTTTCGACTGCTCTGTGGTGCTTATTCGCTCAAATTTAAGAAAATTTACACAACCAGCCATGCAAACCGCTTCGTATCTTCATCCGTTCTCTTATTACTCTGACAGGTATCTCTCTCTCTCTAATTTTATGAATATTCACTTCTCATGTTTCTGTATTCATGTCTGTTGAATTTCAATTAAATTTTTAAAACATATTTCAGAAGAAGTCTTTTAAAACCAGATGGGTGCGTTAAATTACAAATCCCATATTCAAGTCAGCTTGGTAGGAAAGTTCCGCTCACTGGAAGACCTCAGACATGTAAGTTTCTCATGCCTAAGCAACAAACCAGATTGTTTGCAGTTCCCAACACAGATGATGGCCACCCTTCTGTCTCTGTGTTAGAAGATTCAAATACAAATCATGCACCCAATTCTGAACCGGAGACAGTGTTGCGCAAATGGTCACCTCCCAGGTATATGTGGAGGGGATTCTCAGCTCTTATCATTGCTGGGCAGGTAATTGTTAGAACTTTAAGGGGCAAAGTGCACTGGAGAAATACTCTCCAACAATTAAAGAGAGTTGGGCCAAATTCAGTCGGGGTCTGTCTCTTAACTTCAGCATTTGTTGGCATGGCCTTTACCATCCAATTTGTTAGAGAATTTACTAGATTAGGGTTAAGCAGAGCTGTTGGCGGGGTTTTAGCCCTGGCTTTCTCAAGGGAGTTGAGTCCTGTAATTACATCAATTGTGGTTGCTGGGCGTATTGGAAGTGCATTTGCAGCAGAGCTGGGAACAATGCAGGTTTCTGAACAAACTGATACACTGAGAGTTCTTGGGGCAGATCCTGTTGATTATCTTGTGACTCCAAGGGTGATTGCTACCTGTATTGCTCTGCCGTTTCTGACTCTAATGTGTTTTACAGTAGGGATGGCATCCAGCGCCCTCCTTGCTGATGGAATTTATGGTGTTAGCATTAACATTATTTTGGAGTCAGCTCGGAGAGCTCTTACCTCTTGGGATATAATTAGTGCAATGATCAAGTCACAGGCTTTTGGTGCGATTATATCTATAGTGAGTTGTGCTTGGGGAGTTACCACTATGGGAGGAGCCAAGGGTGTTGGGGAGTCAACAACTTCGGCTGTGGTTATCTCTCTTGTTGGGATCTTTATAGCTGATTTTGTACTCTCTTATTGTTTCTTCCAGGGAGTTGGAGATTCATTGAAGAATCTGTAAGTGGTTGTTGATCAGTTATGGTGCTACACTCTCCATTATTGTTAGTTTTGTGGGCTTTGATTAAACCAAGATGAGCATGGAATGAATCAAAATATATGCTTAATTGGCTGCATGCCTTTTCGTACTTTAGCCGATCAGGTGTCCTTTCCACTTATGCCCCCCTTTTTTTGAGGGGAGTGGTCTGGAAACTGGTGGCATCAGCAGGGGGTTCTATAGCATGAAGTAGTGCCTTGTGCGTAGAATTGATTATGAATTACATTTTCAAGCTTCTTGTACTCCATGATGGTTGTGAGGTATTATTTCTAGAAAGAATATACATTATTTTTCTCTCCCATCATTTGTTGATATCCAATGTAGTGAGGAGAATGATTTTTGGAGTAAATTTTCATTGAAGCACCTCATTGCTAAGCAAGCGGCTATGATTTTGGTGCACTCAGTGTTCATTGGTAGAATTGGGATACTGAAGTCTTGATGAAGGGTTTTGTACATCTCCTTTCACTGTTACTTGTTATCCCAAAATAACAATTTGCCCTATGGTTGGTTATCCTCACATATGTAGTGCTTGACCAATTGTTTTGCCTTGTAGTCTTACATATTTTTTCCCCCTAGAGGAAATAAAAAGAATAATTAGTTAATTATGTGTTGTAGAATTGACAGTTTATATTTCTCCTTTCAGATTGAGGAGAAATATAAATTGTCAATAAAAATAAAATAAAGTTGCTGATTATCTCATGCATTAAATATCCAAATGTTGATTGCTCAGTTTTTGCATTACATAAAGTCTGTACTGAAGTAAGTTTATATTTATGGATGAGGAACCAAACAAAACTAAAACAATAGCAGAAAGGAATAGCAGGCTAATTCCCGTGTGTGTTTTTAAAAAGGAAAGAGAACAGCGCAATAGAACCTTTCAAATTTACAATCCTTGAGAAATATCCTGGTTCTGGTACCTTCGGTAGTTTCTGAAGTTAGCTTGCCTTCTGATTAACAAAATGATAAGTTTGGAGTTGTTCTGCATTAACCCTTGGTGATAAATAATATTAAATTTATGCTTGGCAAGCTAGAAAGAGAAAATATAAAGAAAATGAAAGATGTGTTTGCATTGTGAAAAGAAAGAGGAAATGTTCTCAACACTAGTCATGACCATATTTCTGAGTTAGTAATTATGCAAATGGTTCAGAGAAACGAACCCACAAACTCCCTTAATCCCAATTTTGACACAATGAAGATGATTAATTTAGGAGGAAGAGAAAATGTTTCATTTTCTAGTTAGATTTGGCCATTATTAACCCTTGACTTATTCATTAACTGCATTCTCCTTTCTTCATTTGATTGAGAGAGAAAAAACATAATTGTGGGGTTTTAGAACATTCTCAATTTCTTTGGTAATTTCAATTAGTTTTGAAAGCTGTCCACCTACATTGTTATTCATTGAACTTCAGCAGCGTCTGATAAAGTGATAACCAATGAGGAACCAACCTTTCCATATCAGCAACCAAACCCAGCAAGGAGATCATGTTGCAATAATTATATGGCCATCCATATATTTCCGATTTTATGCAAAGAATATACAGTGAAAGGCAACAGTAGCCATGAAATATTATCTCACCATCCAGTATCATTACAGAAAGCAGAAATAAGGAATTCAAGAGAAAAGGCAGGCTGTGGATCACATAAACTCTAAGCTTGTAAACATTTCTCCACCACCATTCACGAATGTTTCTATAACCTAGGCAAATGGCGAGGGCGAGGAGTGTCCCACTCAGTCACAATGTGGTCACGGGTGATTTCTTTGAGTGAACGGCATCCACTTAATGCCATGGTTAGCTCAAACTCTTCACGCAGCATTTGGAGTACTTTTCTGATGCCAGCCTCTCCTTCAGCAGCCAAAGAGAACACCACAGGGCGCCCAATCTGTCATAGACGTGAGTCTCAGTATGTTTCGAACAGACAATATAATACGAAAAGCGAACTGTAGCTGAATGAATAAACTTGCATTTCTATAGTATACACATGCTGGAAATTTCCAGTTTGATGGCATGGAATCAAAAAACATTTGTCCGTAAGTGATCTATGGAAAGAAACAGCTCTTCCATCCTTGTATGAACAACTTTTAGGCGCCACAAAATAGAAAAAAGAAAAAAAAAAGTGAAGTCTGATGGTGTGGTAAAATAATTATCATAACCCTACTTACAAATATGCCAGATGCACCCAATGCTAATGCTTTAAAGACATCTGTTCCACGACGAACACCACCATCCAAGAAAACAGGAATACGCCCTTGTGCAGCTTTGACAACCTAGTTATCAAGACAACACCATCAGATCAAGAAATATGAAACTTACATGCATGTTTATTTAACATATCTAAAGAGATAAACAACAGCTATAATCAAGCGGTTGTACCTCTTCTAGGGCCATAATAGTCGAAGGGACATAATCAAGTTGGCGAGCTCCATGATTGGATACAATAATCCCGGCTGCTCCAGCTTGTACCGCAAGCCTTGCTGCATGATGAGCATAGAAGAGTTTATTCAAGCTTTACAAACCTATCAGAGAGAGGATAGAAAAGGAGTTGAACTATACCATCTTCAGCAGTGAGAACACCCTTCACTAGAATAGGCAGTTTAGTGATTGTCTGAAGCCACTGCACATCCTGTCAAAATACAACAACAGATTACTGTATGCGCATCAGATATTATTCAAAAGAATGCATAGATGTCGAGAAAACATAGTTTCTTTTCACAAACTTCCAGCTGAAAATTCCCAGCCAAAACACCTTCTTCCTTCTTTTGAATTCACATATTTCCCTTCAGAAGATGGAATACTTTTTGAAAAATCCCATTTATGATCTAGAAACATTACACATTTCTTGATATTAAATCCCTTCTCTTTTGTTGGACGCTTTTAAAAACAGTGGAAGATGGCTGAATAACTTATGAACACCAAGTTGTATTGTGTGCCATTCTTAAAAAAGTTCATGTATGATGTATCTCAACATTTCGTTATCTGACATACCTTCCAGCTAAGAGAACGATCGATTTGACCAGCAACGTATGAAGCAAGTCCTGAGTCAGCGGCCTGCAAGATCCCCACAAAGCAAATTAAACATAAGAACATTATTCTTAATATTAGGAACTAGGACGGGGACAGTTTGTACTCACTTCGTCCATCTTTCCAAGATCCAAACCTTCAAAGTTCTTCAATGTCAGAAATGGAGGTAAAGTAAATCTGCAAGACAACAAATATTGCGCATGCTAAGCTTACATAAAATGCTAAATTGAACCAGTCTTATTGAGCCATTAAAAGAAAATACACACACACAGAGACACAAATCTTTAGCAAATTTATTTACCAGGTTGACATGAATGTTTTCAGCAACTGGTATTGCTATAACAGTTATAGACATGAAGCTGACCTGTTCTTGATGTCAGCTTCTCTGCGACCCAGCCTTGGAGTATCAACTGTAAGAGCAATAGCCTTGAACCCAGCCCTTTCAGCTCTTCTCACTAGCTGAGCAACAACATGCCTGTCCTTGTAGACCTGAAAATTATGACCAGAAAAATCATGGATGACAAAAGCAAGGAAGCATATACACAAAAGTCGAAACACAAGATCAGGGACAATAAAGTACAGTAAACAATGAACAGAAATGAAATTAGTTATTTGAGCGTACATAGAGCTGGAAAAAACGGACTCCAGGTCCAGTTGAAGCAACCTCTTCAACACTTGAAGTAGCCCATGAAGACAAAGTCTGAAACAATATACAAGCAGTAGAAGTAAGAGCCAACCAGCATGTTCAATCCCGTAAATGAAATTCTCAAGTATCACTTTTTATTTAAAACCAAAATATGCATTTGCTTCGCCCCAAATAGGAGTTTTCTCTAAGGCAATTATGAAAATATGTTTAGGATGATTCAAAACACTATTCATCTGCAGTGAAGGTACTTGAAAACAGAGGATATATTAAAGTTCCCAACACCTTTTACATTACTGACCGCCATTTACAACCCAACACCATTTACTTCTCCTAAGCTTTTGATGCAATATCTATTTTTTTTTGGATGAAAATTTCCAATATGGGCAGGTCGTCTAGTTCACTTTTGCCAGTTAAGACTACACAGGACTGAAATAAGAGAACGCATTTTATCCTTCATTACCAACAGTAAACACTGTGAGTTCCACTTTTGATTGCTTATGCTTATTGAATCCCTAGATTAGCAATTTATCACTATCACAATAATATATGTGAGAATTCATGGGGTTAGAATCTTTATTAGTGCAAGGAAAACTACTGAAAGAGACAATTGATCAAGGTCAAAAGCAGTACCATAATTGTTCCCGCTGCTGATGCTGCTCTAGCGGTAGCATATTCACCTGCAATAATTCACATATCATTGTCAGACGGACACCCTCTTGCTAATCTGAACAGTATTAAGTATGATACCGGATGAGGAGAAAAGCTCAAAGATTGGCAATAAAAAATTGTTGAATCTCTTGGGAGGATGACAAGATGCCATTTTAAAATGGATTGAGATCAGATGTTAGTTCATCCTTTGTACAATATAAGAAATTGTTTTCTCAAGCAAATGTACACAAACATTAAAAGTGTCCTCAAGCTCAACACACTGGACTGCGACTATCCATGTTGTAAGTAGTTTAATTACATAATCCCTGGGTGACACTAGTCAAAAGGCTGTTCATTGCTTTTGTTTGTAACACATAAAAAAGATCTCAAGGTAACTATTTATGTTGTGTCAATAGCTTACTGGGGTAAAGATGATATTAGCACACATGATCCAATACGATTCAAATGCTTTATCCAGATATCACCCCAAGAGAAAGGCGAACGGCTCACCAGTTGTGCTGTGTGTTTTTCTAAATAAATAAAAAATTACTTATGCATAATAGGTGAAACGATAACTTACCTTCAGGATGAGCCATTTTCTGCATAGCTGTTGGGGCAATCATGATTGGCATTGAGATTTTGAAGCCCAAAACAGTAGTGGTCAAGTCTATGTGGCTTACATCAATAAGAATACGGGGTCGAAACCTATGTTGGATGAAAATATGTTTGTTTCAGAAAATTTCAAAAATGTTAAAAAAAAAAAAAAAAAAAAAAAAAACAAAAAAAAAAAAAAAATGAATAGCTAGATCAATAGTACTACTACTTTGGTAACTCTGAGCAGCTCTAGCTAAAGATTGAATTCTTACAGAATTTTTGAGAAAGCATTTCTGTTTTCAGCCAGAGTCCACTGGTCCTCTGCTCCTGATGCATAGTAGTCAAAGACCATCTTTGGCAATTTCTGCTTTGCAATGGCCTCATACTCACTGACGTTGGTTATCTCCATTTCAATAGTTGACAGTCAATGCTTCCCTAAAAAAATGCATTTAACATCAACATCCTGCGAATCAGATCATATTCTGCATGTGCATACAAATTTTAAGAAGATATGGAACATCCTTCAACTCTTCAACTATTACAAGAATCTACTTATTTCTTCCCTTTCTTTCTTTTTCTAGGAACAAGAAAGTGCTTAAATATTAGATGGTCATGCATGATTTAACTAGTTCGCTTGCTTGAGCAGATACTAGATTAGAATTAGAAAGAACAAGATTGAGATTGAAAATTCTATGCTAGCTTATGTTCTTTAGTACTATGACCAACTAACCAAATTGGTATATATATAAAAAATGAGATTGAACCCAATTCAATGGCAAGAAAAACTAACCAGGCATCCAAAGTTGCTTACTTTAATTTCTTCTAATAGAAAAAAGAGAAATTATAAAGTGGGATTGAAACCCCCACTTGAAATATTGTACCAAGTAATAGTCTTTCAAAGCTGTTTGACAAAACCCATTTGACAGAGAAACTTGAAACACAGAGCTGAAGGGAAACAAGAGCAGTGTAGAGAAAGGAAGACACTAACCTTGGGTTCAGACACTATGCAGCAGAGTGCATGAAGAGTAGTATAAAATGGATAGTGAATAGCGAATGAGCTGAAGTGAAACACAAACAAAGAGCTTATAAGTATGAGGTGGCATGAAGACAAACCGGGTGGGGTTCATATTCTTCCAAAATTCATGAGAGAGATAGAGAGAAGGAGAGAGAATGGATGAGCATTTGGAGGTGGGCATTTCAAACCAAATCGGATGAGGGGAAGAGAGAGGGCCTCATCCACAAAAGCCTTGTGTGTTTCACAGTTTTCCTCCTCCATTATGATTTTGAACCCCAAAAAATGAATTTGGGATAATATACCTCTGTCCTTTTGATATAAATAAAAAGAAAAAAAAAAAAAAAAAAAAAAAAAAAAAAAGAAGAAAAGGAAAAGGACGAGAAAAAATTTCCCTCTTTTTCATCTTCTTTCTGTCAAGTTTGATGTTTTGATGTCAACTGCCAGCCAAAGATGATTGGCGAATGCAAGTGCAGACGGGTCGGGTTTGTTTGAGGTGGGTATGGGTCGGGCACAAGAAGCCCAACAGAGACAAACAGCAAACTGATATGGGCCTAGCAACCCAACTAAGTCGTTCTTCAACAGATAAACCAGAGTGGCCCTTACCCAACTCAGTCTTCCTTCAAGGCTTCAACAGACGATCAATTTTAAATCAGTAAGTTTTTCCAAGATATGCGGATTTAACGTTGTCAAAATTGAATTTTTGGCGCTCTAAAACATACAAATATAATCGCAATCCCAGGTATTGTTGTTATCTTTAATTCGGGTTTATTCATGCCAATCCTAGTGTCAGTGGCACTCATGCTCAGCAGGTGTTTGTAAAAATCCCCAAAAGAAATTTTTTTTTTAAGAGGAAAAGAGATAGAGAAAGAGAGTTGAACTTCAGTTTGTGATTCTTTAGCTTATTCTATGATATGCTATATTGTTTTACTGTAGTTCCCTTTATCTTATTCTTACTATGATAAGCATTGCTCTGCAGTCTGCCACTCTCTTGTTGTTAACTGATATTCACAGCTTGCCTTTATGGGGAGCAGCAGCTTGGGGATTCATCATTGGTCTGTGTTAGCCTCTCAGCGGGTAATTCTGCCGCAAAATTCCGCAAAGCCATTACAAAAGTTCCATTCTTTGTCCACAACTGTCACTGTTGCTAGCATTGCCAACTCCAGAGATTCGTCTGTGAGGTGCCATAGAGGTTGCTTTGGCTTCACAGCATTCAACAGAAAGTCGAGGAAGAGTGTACGAGGCTGTGCTACCAACCCATTTGTTGTTGCCAACGATGAGAAGTATGGAAACAAGCAGGTTATTAGTATTACTCCACAAGTTTACAATTACATTCTTGCCAATGTTCGAGAGCCAGAGGTAAAATGAACCCACATTTTGATTTCAATTCCCCCATAATTGGGTATCTTAGTTCTTTTTGTTTTGTTTTTGGTTCTTGTACATCTACATTGTCCATGTGGGGTATCTTGATAGAGAGGACATTGCAGGTTCTACGCCAACTTAGGGAGGAGACTGCCTCTATGTGTGGTAGTCAGATGCAGGTACTTGTTACTGTTAATTATCAAGCATTTTGCTTCAGGAAAGATTTAATATTTTATGGCTTTCATAATTACATATCCAAGAAAACCACAAATATTAAGTGATTTATATGAATTTGATTATTTTGCATGGCCTGTCTTATGTCCTTGCAAAAGTTGACTGGGGCGTTCTCTGGATAGGTGTCTCCTGACCAGGCTCAACTGCTTGCAATGCTTGTGCAGATTCATGGGGCTGAGAAGTGTATTGAAGTTGGTGTTTATACTGTAAGTGTATTTTTCATTCAAACTTAACTGCATTGCTCGCCTGACAGACTTCCTGCTGCCTTCTTCTAAATTTATAATTATACTTACTTTTTTGGGTAAATTATACCAATGCCCCTTGAGGCTTGTTCTCATTTGGTCTTTGACTTTCAATTTGGCTCACATTGCCCCTTTGAACTTCATTCCATGTACTAAAATGGCCCTTTCTATTAGGAAATGGTAATGATTTAATTGTCACTTTAAACCTAGAATATCAATTGAAAATAAAAAGAAATTTGATGCATATGGGGAAATATAATTAACCTAGAGATTCCTTGCCTGCTCCTTCTGTTTCCCTCTCTTTCCTTCTCTATTCCTATTTCTTAATCTTGCTGTTAGGAGCCTAAGAAGAGTCAAGAATATCTTACACGTTAGTTTGATGAATGCAACATCTGATATAACTATTATTGTTAATTCAGGGATATTCATCGTTGGCTACTGCATTGGTCCTTCCTGAATCAGGGAGTTTAGTAGCGTGTGAAAGAGATGGCAGAAGTCTTGAGGTCGCAAAAAAGTATTATGATAAAGCGAATGTTTCCCACAAGGTAGTTATGTCTTCCACTTGCCAGTACTACTACTAGAGGCTTTGTTCTTGCAAATAGATGACTATGTAACTTATGCAGTAGCTAAGTGTTCTACACCAGTCCATTGTGGTAATATGCTAGGTGGGTGTTACGGAAATTAGAATATACTTGAGAAGCACCATCTGGTCATATATATCAAGTTCATCCTTTTTCTCCATGTTATATGCATATGAATATAACACGACAAATTATATCTTCAACTATTTTTCCTAATACTTCTTTCAACATATATATGTATATATGGCTCTGAAATTCTAACTTGGTATTTAGGTGCATGTTAAATATGGACTTGCAGCAGATGCATTAAGATCACTGATTCTGAGTGGTGAAGCATGTAGGTAAATGAAGCAATGTTAAAAATCATGATGCATATTGCATTTTTCTTTTTGAACTTGTTTTCTCTGAACATTATGATGAAAGATTGTGGGTTGGATGTTGTCAAATATCAGAGAATAATATATAATAGTTCTCTACTTTTAATTTATTCTCTTGCATCTTCACAGTAATGCTGTTTTGTGGTTAGCCATCCATCCAGTATGGTCATGATATTGTGTATATTCCATATTGTTTTTCTTGATACCAGTTCTTTTAATTACCAACACAACTTTTCTCTGCTGTGAATTCCCCAAATATAACCTCTCTTTTTTTTCTTCAATGCTTTTTATATTTTCCGGTTTTCTTTAAGCAATTAGCTTTATGTTTTAATTATTTTACCTCACCTTTAGCCTTAATTTCTGAGGCCCACTAATAACTATAGGAACATGTTTCACATGTTTACTCTTCTATGCAGCTATGATTTTGCATTTGTTGATGCTGACAAGAGAATGTATCAGGAATACTTTGAACTGTTGCTACAACTTGTAAGACCGAAATAATTTATTTAAATTCATATTCATCTAGTTCTTCTCCTTCTCTCTTTCTTTCTCATTCAGTTTCCTTGAGCAGTTTTCATTTTGGCTTTGGTCTTCTGTTTCAGGTCAAGGTTGGGGGTCTAATTGTGTTCGATAATGTTCTCTGGCATGGAAAAGTTGCTGACCCAGAGGTGTGAATCAATAACCAGGGTTTATTAACTCTGTCCCATTAAAATGAAGTCTGCTTAATTGTAATTGTGTTTTTTGAGCAGGTAAATGATGCCAAGACTGTCAGCATTAGAAATTTCAATACAAGTATAATGCAGGACAAGCGTGTAAGCATTAGTATGGTAGGTCTTACCACTTGTATTTTCATACCTAAGTGAAAGTTCAGAGATGTTTGTTTGATAACCCTAAATGTTTTGGAGGGTCAGGTACCCATTGGAGATGGCATGACAATCTGCCGAAAAAGGTGACCTCATAACAAAAGTTGATGCACTTGTTGACTTAGTGACCTATGCCATCAAGAAAATGGTGTGTAGATAAGTTGTGTTGTGTTTGTTATTGGTAGCAACATTTGAAAGGAAAACGTCTTCAATGTTTGATGAAAGATAAATCTGACTGGTTACCACGGCATGCGACATGGTGGGAAGCTTTAACATGCTAGGCCTTTGGCTCCTGGACAAGCACACCGAATTTTTTGCCGGTATCTCGGTGCTTTGGAGTAGCTGAAGAGAAGGGCAGTTTCTACCCATTTAATGTAATATATAGCTTTTCCTTCAGGGTGAAAATACTCCACTGGGATTGTTATATGTCAAATCATCACAATTTATGTAAAACACAATGCAAGTGATTGAGTATTTTACACTAGAGATTTACCATCAGTTTGACGAATGTTCCAATGTAATATCTTGTATATGTAGCCTAACTAGCAAACGTTTTCGCTCTAAAGGTAAGAGGTGTGCGTGAATTGTATTGGATAAGAAAAGCCATGTATTGCATTTCTATAGTCAGCAGAAGCTTTTTAATTTTTTCCCATAATTAGGAAGAAAGGACCTGTCAGCTAAAGATTCTTCGATGATCAAGTTACTCCTCTCATGTTGGACTCACACGAATGCAAGCACCGTATATATTTGTAATAAATTCGATACTTAATTTGACTAGCTCCGTTAACATAACATAACTGTGTTGTGTATGCTGTCATATAAATTACCTTTATATCATATCATTTGTGAAAGAAAAAAAAAAACTTTCAATTTCATCCCAAAAAAGAGTGCTGCTATTTTCACACTATGTTATATTTTCTCATTCACTTTATCTTCCCACCCACCATGTAAATTTGAAAAAATACAATTCATATCTTTCCACGCACCATTATACCTACTTAAAATATTCTTTAATTATTAATTCAAGCAAATTCTATTTGCTAATCATTAGTAGTTGAGATATGCGCCATTGTTAAACTTTTATTAAATTTGCTTGAATTAGCAATTAAAATGTATTTTAGGAATAATAGTGGGTGGAAAGATATGGATTGTGTTTTTTCAAATTTACATGGTGAGTGCTGCTATTTTCACACTTTGTTCTATTTTCCCATCGACCTTATCTTCTCACCCACCATGTAAATTTGAAAAAACACAATCCATATCTTTCCACCTACCATTATACGTACCTAAAACACTCTTTAATTATTAATTCAAACAAATTCATCCACCTTATCTTCCCACCCACCATGTAAATTTGAAAAAACACAATCTATATCTTTCCACAAACCATTATACGTACCTAAAATACTCTTTAATTATTAATTCAAGCAAATTCATTCACCTTATTTTCCCACCCACCATGTAAATTTGAAAAAACACAATCTATATATTTCCACCCACCATTATACGTTCCTAAAATACTCCTTAATTATTAATTCAAGCAAATTCTATTTGCTAATCATTAATAGTTGAGATATGCGTCATTGTCAAACTTTTATTAAATTTGCTTGAATTAGCAATTAAAATGTATTTTAGGAATAATAGTGGGTGGAAAGATATGAATTGTGTTTTTTCAAATTTACATAGTAGGTGGGAAGATAAGGTGGGCGGGGAAATAAGACAATGGGTGGGTAAGAAGATAAGGTGAGCGGGGAAATAAGACAGTGGGTGGGTAGAAATAACAGCACTCTCCCAAAAAAGACAAAAATCCACGTTGATTGGTTGTTTTCTTTACCACCAAAAACAAAAGTAAAGAGGAAGATCCTTCTCTTTCGGCCTCACTCCACCTCTATTCGACTCTTTATGAAAAGCTAAGCAAGCTTTCTAATTGCAAAGATTTCTAACTTAGCTCACCTTTCAGTGATCTATAAATCTCATTAGTCTTTATACAAAAATAAAATTAAAAAAAATCTACTGCAACACCCACCAGATCTCCAAAAGCACTTTTTTAAACGTAAAAAACGGTTTTTGCTATTCACCGCCAAACAGGAGCTCTGAGCAGAGTTTTATCTTCTTCATACATTATCACGTAACCTCCGTTTCCAATCCTCCGGCTTCGGATATGGCGGATCGGCTGCGAGCTTTGTTCAAGGGTGAGGCCCTCACTTACGCCTACCTTCTTCTCTACATCGCACTCTCCAGCGGCCAGATCTTCTTCAACAAGGTTGGTACTCGCATTGCTTTGAGCATTAGGTCTTCCTTTGTTTGGTTGTTGAGAAAATGTTGAGGTAAATTTTCTAGGGTTTGATAAATGGACAAAACCCATTTCGACTTTGACCAGTTACTAGCTTATGGTATAGCTTGAGCTGGGTCGAAGATGACTTTGCATTGCATGCATGCTTACTGATTCTATTGCTTTGGAAATTAGCTTTACTTTATCGTTGATAAATGGATGATTTTGTTGGATGTATCTGTTTATTGGAAGACATGAAAGGAAACAAAAGGAAAAAGAAAACGAAAAGAAGGAGCTTAGTGAGGAAGCCCCTTCTAATCAAGTAGCTCTTTTTTCCTAATTGCTTTTCGAGAAGCAGTTATTGTGGCCTTTTTTCTCTCTCTTACTCATTGCCTGCATTAGCAAATGGCAACAGAGAAACACAAAAGGTTGAGGAGCAGCTTTAGAAGTTGACATGACAAGGATTTACCCAAAAAGTTCACATCTGGTTCATCACAGAGCTTAATTTTTTTTTAACTAGGGACATGGAAAGACATGCATCTTACCCTTAGCATGAAATGTTTTGACATTTACAGAGAAACACACACATAGTTTACAAATTCCCTGTGTTTGGGTATTTGAAAGTAAGGAAAAATTAAAGCAAAACTGCAAAATGGTTAAGATATGAAATGGATTTCTCAAGAAAATCGATGGTTGTCTTGCTTCCCCTCATTCATTTTGACACTGATTGAGGGCTGTAAAAGACTATTAAAGCAATGAAGGTCAAGTAAAGCTTTGGAGGTCTGGTTCTGGTAATTTCCATTAGATAGAAGGTGCTGGCAGACTTCACACGAATCCACTTTCGTTGAAAACAGAGGAGGAATTGGAACTTTAAGAGTATCCATCTTTTCCAACCACTGTATTTCTGTAGGTCTAGGTGTAATACTTGTTTATATTAGACATTCAAGTCACTTTGGATGCTCAAAACCTTTATTACAACAGGCCCTTTTTTTCCCGTTATTATCTGTTTTTATTTTGTTGCAGGGATTGTGAGTGAGGCAACTACTTTGCTGCTATAATACCTATTTTCAGGAGAATTATTGTTATTAACTACTTTGTGTTGAAATAAATAAATAAAAATATGATAAAGGTTGCGTTAATAATGCCCCTCTGTCTGTCTCTCTGTGAAAGATTGCGTTAATACTCACCATTCAGTTTAGTCTGATGCCGCTTATTGCTAGTTTATGTGTATTTTTGGGTTTGTTCCTTGAAAATGAAAAAGTAATTGCTGGCATCTGTATATTTTTATTGTGTTTGTTAAATTTTTTTGGCCTTGAAAGCTATATGTTATGATTAAGTGGAGATACACTCTTGTGAGAGGTTTTGCAGGGCTAACATAATGTTTGAATTGTGGAATGCAGTGGGTTTTGTCGTCCAAGGAAATAAACTTCCCTTATCCTCTTGGATTGACTCTGCTTCACATGGTCTTCTCCTCTGTCTTATGCTTTTTACTCACGAAAGTTTTTAAGGTATGCAGGTCACTAATTATTATGATAATCATTAAATTGAAAATTCCAGTGGTACTCTTAAACTTATTTATTGTTTTACAGATTATGAAGATCGAGGAAGGAATGACAGTAGAAATGTAAGTAAAGAGGGAGTACACTTACTTTATTTTACAATTTATTTTCAAAGAAGGTATCTTTCAATTTTTAGTGTTTTTTGTGGTTTTAAATATAGATTTACTGGTCTCTTTGTGGTGATCAAATAATTGGAGGGATTTCTTTTCTGTGTCATAGCTTGATGTTGCTAATTAGGCTGTCTTCATTGTTTCAGAAGTAGAGAGATTATTTGCATCTATAAGCTAATGAACTCAAGTCCAGTGATATTTGTTTTGGTTCTTAATTGAACTGACTCCAACTATCTAAGGAAGTTTAAAAAAACTAGGAAAGTTAAACACACTTTTCCTTTGACCAACAAGTTGGATACAATTCCTACAGGCTTGAAGCAGGTGGAGTTAATATGATTCTTATTGCACTCTTAAATCATTGTGCCATCTTTTGAAGTCGTACAGAGTCTCCGGGGTTCAGTTTGACTGCTAGAAAGAAAAACGGAAAAGAAAAAAGAAGTTAAACTGCTGATTTAATATATTTTTCAGAACTGGTGACTTTGATTACTTGAACTTCTTTTTTTTCTTGTCAAAAAAAAAAAAAAAAAAAAAAAAAAAAAAAAACATACATGGCTGGTCCTTAACTTGTATAATTTCACTGAGGTCATTGATCCTCTGGCTAAATCAACTGTGTTAATCATTTATAACATCTCACACTTTCCACTTTTATTGTTCTTCCTCATAATCTAATGAATTTTAGTTCTGCAGATACGTCTCATCAGTAATGCCAATTGGTGCAATGTTTGCAATGACTCTTTGGCTGGGAAATACTGCCTACATGTATATTTCTGTTGCATTTGCACAAATGTTGAAAGCAATCAGTAAGTTTTCACTAATTCTTTTTTGTTTTTCAATCCACTATAACTAAATGTAGCCTGTGGAGAAATATTTTCATCAAAGAAAAGTTTCCTTAATCTCTATGTTTGGGCATCCAGAGGAATCTCTGCTGTTTTATATGATGGTTTGCCCCTATGGCTGTCTGTTTGTTCAGCAGTAGGAAAGTAGGTTGGTCTTAAAGTCTGGTGATTGTATTTAACCATTCATCATGATTAGGAATTATCTCTCTCAGTCTATGATTTCTTGAGTGACGTATGCAGTGCCAGTAGCTGTTTTCATTCTTGGGGTAGCAGCAGGACTTGAGGTAATGAGCTGCAGAATGCTATTGATCATGTCAGTGATAAGTTTAGGTGTTCTGGTGGCTTCTTACGGTGAAATAAATATCAGCTGGATTGGAGTAGTTTATCAAATGGGAGGAGTTGTTGGAGAAGCTTTAAGACTTATTTTTATGGAGATTTTTGTTAAAAGGAAGGGTCTCAAATTAAATCCAATATCTCTCATGTACTATGTTAGTCCGTGCAGGTATGCGTTTCTACTTGTAAAATTCATCAAGCTTTGCATTTATACTTATAAAATATTATAGACCTGTGTGATATGAGTATTGAGTTTGTATGCAGTGCTCTTTGCCTACTCATTCCATGGATCTTTTTGGAGAAAACAAAGATGGAAGAAAATAGCTCATGGAACTTTCCACTCCTTCTGCTAACACTCAATTCTCTGTGCACTTTTGCCCTCAACTTATCAGTTTTCCTTGTGATCACTCATACAAGTGCCTTGACCATTCGTGTTGCTGGAGTTGTCAAGGATTGGGTGGTTGTCTTATTGTCTGCCCTTCTCTTTGCTGATACAAAGCTGACTATTATAAATCTGGCAGGTTATGGCATTGGTAAGTGTCTGACCTTGTATACATATTTATGCTTTAGCACATCATTTATTTTCTATAAGACATGATAGACATTGGTGGAATGAAAGCACAAGAAGGAGCATTTTAAATTTTCAAAAGGTCAAAGAGCACTGGAGTGGATATAAAATGATATTAGTAAAGTGTTAATAGATATTAATGAATGGTCCTGAAATGACTAGATTTAATATGTATTGTAAATAATTATATATTAACTTATAGGGAGGTATATATTCAAAGCACAAATGCATCCACAAAATACACAAGAAAGTGGTCTTCTTCATGTTATGGAGTTGCCTTTGCGGTGGAAGTTAACCTAGTTGGCTCTCATTGTCTCTTTTAAGCCTCTTGTTTGTTTTCTAAAATCATTTTTTGTTGGATATGCATTTTTTGGTTGTACGTATTTCAGCTTTTCATATATACCTCCAGATTATACTTAGTTTTTAATGTTATAATAGCCCAGAGGTCTTTGAGTTGAAACTAGGATCCGTTGACCCAAAAAAAGAAAGAAAAAGAAACTAGGATCTGATTAGTAGTATATAATTTTCGAGTTTAAAGTGGCTTAGTTGTTGGATATATCTGATGGGGGGCTTTATCTAAAATGTAGTATTGTATCTATTCCTCTTTTAAAACTGAAAGAAACAGTACGAAATGAAGGGATTTCTGGTAATTCAAATCTGGAATTGTTGATAAATAACATGTTAAAAATAAGGGTAATTTTGTAATGTTTGAATCCATGGTTCTGATTGACAATCAATATAAGAGAGCATTACCTACAAACCAATGTAAATTATAATGGTACATTACTTCTTATGCAGCCATAGCAGGTGTAGCAGCATACAATAATCACAAGTTAAAAAAAGAAGTTTCTAGAGGCAACCCTGAAGAAGCTGAAAGTTCTCAACCTACACTAACGGCGGCATCATCAGATTCCAACAAGTAGAGATGTCACAGGTGCATTCGGCCTATTTATTTTTTAGGTATGCACGTATGCATTTAGCAAAATCATTGTTCCCATTGTCCATTATTTCTTATAATCGTTTTGGGTTCAAACACTCCCAACAGGCCCGGAAATTGATGAAATTGTGTAGTACATAGTGGCATTTTCATTTTCGATAGCTCGATGGAACTAAATCCATAAGTTTAGATTACAGTTTTTTGAAGCCTATCATTGTTGCAGCTGCTCCTGTGGTGGGGTAAATTTTATGGCAGTTTGAAGCAGAACTGAAATTGAAAGTATAAAGATGTCAAGTTCGCAGAAGTGTGTCATCCTCACAAAGGTAGGCATTTTCAGAGGGAATTTCAAAAGTTGATGTATCATAGATGATTTGTCTGTAAAGCAAGTGCCAGAGTCACTGTGATACTAAACACTCTCTGTTTATAAAATTTTGATAATTTTTTAGTTCACACAATTGTATCGCAGCCCAATCTTACATGATTTTGCTTCAGTACAAGGATCAATAGTTTGAACCTGGACCATGTTCCATAGTTAATTTCTCAGAACTTTGTATTTAGAAGAGATGTTTTAAGTATCACATGGGGGAATAAAAAGATGAGGTTGCCAGATTTTCTAGGCTTGACCATACAATCAAATTGAATTGTTATGATAGAAATTGAGCTGTAATATTATTATTTTGGTAGAAAAAGACTCCCGCCCCAAACAACAAATTCATTGGTATCCAGATGAAACTCATTCGCTAATATTTCCATACACCAAATTGGGTTCAGTTGGATTCTCTCTTCTTTTTTTATACAACCATATTGGGGGTGGGATAAAATGGACGTAGGACTTCGAATGCACAGGTAAATGCAGTGGGGTTCTTTTTTCTTTATCCCTCAATTCGAGCGCCATTATAAAACCTATCCTCTTTTAATATTTTTGACTTTGATTGTGTATTGTCTTAAAAATTAACTACACAGAAGTCTAAAATCACATATTTTTATGAAAGGGGTTTTGTGAACATGTTTGATATTTAGAAAGTGTTAGTGAAAATTTTGAAAATCTCAAGATTAGGCCAGTTGATCGGTGCATTAAGACCGTCCCTTTGCACCTAAGTTATTATCAACAAACAAAAAATCTGAAAACCCCGACTACAAAAAAAAAGAAAGAAAGAAAGAAAAAGAAAAAGAAAAAACGAAATTCAGCAAGGGATCTGGACCTTGAAGTCTGACCCAAGTTAGAGGTATTTCATGGGCCTTCTGAAAGAGAAGCCAAGCCAACCAAAGAAGAAGGCCCATTAAAAAAACAATTGTCCAACTGTACGAGATACTTACTAAAGAAGGGTGGGCAAAAGAAGAAGAGGGAAGGAAGGAAGACATGAACCCTCGAAAATCAGACAAGGGATTTTGGGTTTGGTGGTAAAGAGGGTGGGAGGCTTTTTGCTTCTTCTTCTTCACAGCAGCTCTCTCTCGTCTCTATGTCTCTGTCCGTACCCGCCTTCTTCCCTTTCCCTTCTTACTTTTTCCTGCTTCTTCTTATTCAATTCTAAAGCAAACAAAATATTTAATATTTATCTTCTTTTTTTAATTTGATTTTTTCATTCGAAGAAAAAAAGGCGCTAGAGATTGGAGAGAGATATGCTATTGGGGTGGTGGTGGTGGAGGCGTTGTTCCGGACGGAGCAGCAGCAGCAGAACGGCGTCGTGCGATGGTCGTCGTCAACGTTGATGGGCCTGCAATTTCAATTGCAGATGAGTTGGCAGCCGAGTCTACTGAGTCACAAGCGCAAGACGGGCCCACCTCTAGGGTTAAGGAACCTCGGCAACTCTTGCTACCTCAACAGCGTCCTTCAGTGCCTCACCTACACCCCTCCTCTCGCCAATTTCTGCCTCCGCAACCAACACACCTCTCTCTGTAAGTTCCTTCTTCTTCTTCCCCTCTCTCTCTGATTGATTGTGTGTGAATTTGAATTCAATTCAATTCAATGTCGAATTCAATCTGTAGGTGACTCTTCGGATGCGGAGCGGAAGCGCGACTGTCCATTTTGCATTTTGGAGAAGCGAATAGTGCGCTCGCTCAGTCTGGATCTCAGTCTAGATGCGCCGCAGAAGATACAGAGCTGTCTCAGGATTTTCTCCGAACACTTTCGGTGCGGTCGCCAGGAAGACGCCCACGAGTTTCTCCGCTACGTGATCGATGCTTGCCACAACACCTGCCTTCGCCTCAAGAAGCTGCGGCGCACTGCCAGCTCTAATGGCAATGGCAACGTGGCCAATGGCATAGGCAATGGGACGACGACGTCAACTGTGGTGAAGGAGATATTCGGGGGAGCTTTGCAGAGCCAGGTGAAGTGTCTATCCTGTGGCACAGAATCCAATAAGGTTGATGAGATAATGGATATTAGTCTTGATGTTTTTCATAGTAATTCGGTTAAAGACGCCCTGCAAAGGTTCTTTCAGCCTGAGCTTTTGGATGGCCAGAACAAGTACAAATGCGAAAGGTATCATCTCTCTTTCTTTCTGGTTTTGTTGTTTGCTTAGTACTTCTCTTGTGTTTTGGCTTTTGATTGAGTTATTTATGCTTTCTTAGTTGTAACAAATTGGTGGCAGCAAGGAAGCAAATGTCTATTCTTCAAGCACCCAATGTTCTTGTTATCCAACTTAAGGTGAGTTTGTCTTATTTCCTAATATCCTTTTGCTATTAGGTGCTTAAGTTGCTCCATCCTTCCATTTTTTGTGTTTATTTATTTACCTTGACAGTGTTATTGTTGTTTTCTGTTGGTAGAGATTTGAGGGTATATTTGGCGGGAAGATTGATAAATCTATTTCATTTGAGGATGTTTTGGTGCTCTCAAGCTTCATGTGCAAAGCAAGCCAGGTACAGTTGAGACCTTAAGTTGTGAATTTAATTAAATTGCATAATTTGATAGTGGGGCCTAGTTAGATGCTAAGTGAACGTATTGAGTATAACAATGGTTACCTTCAAAAAGTTTCTAGACTGCATTAGCAATTCTTAGATCTTAAGGGTAAGGAGTCCAAATTCAGCCTCTGTGTTAAGCTGAACCCTTGACTAAATAACTATCAAGGAGAACGCTTTCTAGTTCTTTAAAAAATCATAAGATATATACACACATAGAAAATTCCAATGTGTTCCATATAGAATTCAACATGTGTACAATGTTGATAGTACTCAACCTATACTAAACCTATGAAAAATACCTATCCAGTTCTTTTCAAATTATAATATCTGTAATGATACCTCCCCACAAGGCAGGCCTAATTGAATTAGCAAGGGTTTTAAAGGAACCCTAACTTGGAAAGAAATTTAATTAAAAGATGTAGAACTGAAAGATAATAAAAAGCTAGTGACGTCTGGTACAGTAATTAGTTCCAACTTTTACGTGTTTGTGCTTTATAAGTTTTGCTTGAATTCAGTTGGCACCAAAAGCTTGTTGAAATCTATTTGATTCAGTTTCCAATGCTATGATGGGGTGTCATGTCTGTACTTTTCTTTCTTAGATGAAAACAAAGAGGTTAGTCCAGGGTGCCCTTAAGCCAAAAGCGAATGCCATGGTAATCAATATTCAAGAGTCTCTTATAAAGAAAATAGTCAAGAGTTCGATTGATGTACCCTTGATGTTATACTTAAGAAGAGTTAACGCTGGCAGTTAATCACCTTCTTTAAAATAAAATAAAAAATAAAAAATTCTGAGTCAACCATTATAAACTAAGTAAGATATAGTAAAGGGAAACACAAAAAACATGGACAAAAATTTGAAACAGGTGCATGTACGTTGTTTTATTTATTGTCTTGCTAAAGTGATCACAATATAATAATAGAGTATGGATGGTGCTGCAATTTTAATTATTATATTTTCAATCTGCGTATCAAGCGTGAATATGGGAGTTGACTTGGTTGGAAAAGGAATCTCCAATTCATTATCTTGGTTGATTAAATATGGAGCTACGTTTCAAAAAAGAAAAATGTAGTGCTAGAAACGGGAGCCAGAAAAGACTATATAAAGGGATTAAAAATTTTGAACAAGAGATATTCAACTAATTATTCACATAGTAGGATTAAGGCTTCGTTGAGTTGAGTTGTATATCCAACTTATCTGCTTCTCTCTGTGCAAAGTTCGACTTTTTCAGCTTCATGTTCTTTATTGTACTTTAACAAGGCTGTGACGATGCATCACTGGAGAAATAAAATGCATTGTTTGTTGGATTCTAGTAAATGAATCGTCCTGATATGTGTTTTGTACTTTGTTTGGTAATTTACGATGCAGATGCATCATGGTCTTTGTATTTTTTCTTGCATATCAAATGCACGTTGGTTTGTTGTATATTCATTTGGAAATGTTATTACTTACTTTGTAGGTTCATTTCTTGTGTATCTCCTTTCTTGCACTTCAATATGAGGCAGTCCAGTTCTTGATATCCGATAAGAATGTTACTTTTCTCCAGATTCTTTCTCTAACTTCTTAGAAACATTTAGAAACATTGGTTTATGCTAATGCAGGCGTTTATTTGACTCCAGTCTCATGAGACTTCTGTTTGTTTCTACTTATTCCTTTTATATTTGGGAGATGTTGCAGACAATTTCTTTCCTACTAGTAATGCTGTTGAATTTTTAACTGCAATGCAGGATCTGCGGCCTGAGTATAAGCTTTTTGGCACTATTGTGCATTCAGGCTTCTCACCAGAGTCTGGTCACTATTATGCATATATTAAGGTCTCTGTTCACCTATCACCTTCCCTGCAATCAGTAAATTTGGAACACATATTATCAACTATATGCTAATCTTATTTTTTTAATAATCTACAGGATGCCATGGGTCGGTGGTATCGCTGCAATGATTCATTTGTCTCGCTTTCCACCTTGCAAGAGGTATTATCTGAAAAGGTTTACATCCTTTTCTTCTCTCGTACAAACCAAAGGCCAGCAGCTAGCACTGCTTCCAATGGAGTGAGTTCTCGTGACTGTAATGGCCGTGAAACATCTCAAAGCCCAAAGCCTGCTCTTCCACCGAAAGGAGCACAAACAAAAACTTATGAACAGTCTTCTTGGAAGGATATCTCAGCCATATCTAAGGTTGATAAAGCACCTTCTAGCCCACGGATGAAGTTTAATATCAGTGGAAATTCTAGCTCCAAAAGAGCTCCTGCAACTAATAATGGAAAATTTGCTTGCAAGAATCAATCCTTAGGATCAAACGGGGAAAGAGCTCCTGGAACTGATAATGGAAAAGTTGCTCACAAAAATCAATCCTTAGGATCAAATGGGGAAAGACCTCGGACAACTGATAATGGAAAAATTGCTTATAAGGATGAAGCATTTCGATCAGATGGGGAAAGAACTCCTGCTACTGATAATGGAAAAATTGCTCACAAGAATCTATCTTTAGGATCAAATGGGGAAAGAGCACCTGCAACTGATAATGGAAAAATTGCTTACGAGAATCAGTCCATAGGATTGAATGGAGATGTGAAGGACCCAGTTAGTTTGGAGAAACGTGAGAAAGCTAAGACATCTTTGATAAACAAGGATGGTTTACACAGAGATAAAAAGTCTGATATTATTGGTGGTAACAGTAGCAAAGCTTCTTTGTTATCACGAGAAAATGGTGGTACTGGTTCAGTAAAAACTGAACTCTGTGAAGGTATTGGTGCACGAGACAGGTTGACAGCGGGGGAAGTGCCTGATCACAGTGAATTGGATAATAGTGGTCTCCATGGCCACTCTGGGGTCTCTGGGCCCAAAAGAAAATCTCAGGATTCATGCATTTTGTTTGCACGTGATGATCAATCCCGGGCAGAAGTTGAAGGACTGAAGGAAATGTATGTGGCACTCTACAACATTCAATTGAAATGAAATCTCACTCTGTAGCAACTTATCTTTATTAGGATCTGGTATTGAAATGTGGCTTAAGATTTGTTTGTTATGAATTGCATAGTCTTCTGGATTAGTTATCTTAATGATCCCGTATCTCCAGTTCAGTCATACACCTGTCTTCCATATCCCCACGTGTCCTCCCCTGCCCTGCCAAAAGAAAGTCTATTCCCCAAGTGATGAATTTTATGTTTGTTGTTTTAGGTTTAGAAGTATTGATATGAGTTCATAGCCCATATACTTGGATTTTTCTAATGACTATGACATTCTTTGAATGATTGTGTCTACTTGGTACTCTTTATTGATTGTTTCTTTTTTATGTGTACCCCTAATTTATTGTTTCTGCTTAATAACTTCGTTGGTCTCATATCATTTTCCCTCCTCTCTGACATCTGGACTTGCCCAGTTTGTTTTATATTGCAGATTTCAGGCTCATAGGTTTTCTTCCATGATGCATGCAATTAATTATTGTTTCTGTGTTTTCTTATTTTGTTTTTTTGTAACATGTGTTTATTGCGTCAAAAAATAATTTTCATAATTTGCTTCATGCCAGTCTATAGTTTGTTTTCAATTTTTTTTAGTTATATATTCTATTGGTTTTAACACTTTTTTTAAATGTTTATTAGTCTCAAGAAAGAAGCTTCTTCAGTTTTGCGATCATGTGGCTGGTCGGATAAAGTGCACAGTTTTATGCGTTCAAAGAAAAGGTTATGTGCACAGCAAGTTGGAACCGATCTGAACAGTGATGAAGTGAAGTAAGTATTATTTTTCCATTTTAACATTGGTATGTAGGAAACTTGGTGGTTCTTTATCCTGATGAAAGCTTCTCTCTAGACTTCTGTAGTTTAGCCTTCATATGGCTGAATTTCATCAATTTAAAAAAGAATAAATTAAATTAAATTTTTGCTCTTTAATTGAGTATGTGTATGCTTCTTTAGTGAAAAATTCTCTGCAAGTATTCTCATTTTATCTATCATTTGGCTTTCTGATTTGAGTGAGATTGTCAACAACTAGTGACGTTTTGTGATTCTGCTTCTGTTACCCTTAGTTGATTGCATCCCTAGGAAAACATTCTCTCTTGAATTGTCCCCTTTAAACCATTTCGTCCATCCATTGTTAGTTGATAATGTTTTATCCTGAGAATCACTAATTAGGAGCAAAAAAGTCACTTCAACGTTGCTAATCATGGACACGCTCAATTTTACCACGCTAAATGCTTGGTGGAAGCTAGAATATCTGTAGGGAATATTTCTTTTTCCTGATTAAACTTCGGTTTCCCTCTCTCTACCCGTAACATATTAGAACATTAGTGACATGTTAAATAAGCATGCATGAACGAGTCAGACACTGTTAGGAGATTACTTGGTTACCCACGACAATATTCATGTATCTAAGAGGCCTTTTACATTTCCTATATAACTCTTGAGATATCTAGGTAAGTCCAATAAGGACGCACAGCACAACTTTTTTCAACATTTTTTTTGGGTGAATTAACTTCTTGCAATGATTTATATTTTGCGTTACCCAGTTATTGAGTTGAACTCGTTACTTTCTGAATTTTAATACTGTTTATTTAGTCCTCTAATTATCTGTGTTTTATATTCTCAATTGCATTTACTTGTATTAATTGGTCGGGACATAACATAGTTGGTAATTGATCAGGTATTTAAATTGTGTTAGTACTTGCATTAATCTGAAACATCCATCTGTCTATACTTATGCATTGCAGGAAGTTGTTGATCGTGGATTCCAAATCAGCTTTTCTTTCACAAATACCTGAGTCTTTGAGAGCAGACTTGGTCAACCGTATTCGATCATTTAGCCAAAAATAGTGTCATTAATTTGGTGCTTTGTCAACTCCGAACACGGTATGTGAACGGAACCTTTTAGTATCAAGATGTTTGAATGAGAAATAGGCTGGTGGCATGACAGCCTTTTATCGAATAATTTCTTTGATAAACATTTGCAGTGTTAGCTGGCGGGAATTGGTGTGTGAATTGTATAAATCCTGTTGTGGTGTTGAAGATATCACCCGAGCAAGGAGAGGATTGTGATATAAACTGAGCTCTTCTTCGGCAAGTGCTGGTGTCAGCGGTCATGCTTTGCCAACAGCGATATACTTTTGTAGATGCATCATGTCAAGTTGAGACGAAAGTGGTGATTCAAATCTTGCCGAAGTTGTTTCTTCCTTTGAGGCTGTGTAGTTGGTTTTGGGCAGAGAACAAAGTCAACAATTCTATTCATTATGTACGATATCCTTTTGGCAGTATAATCAGTATTTAGCCCTCATTGTTATGGATCATCACTGTTTTCTTCTTCAAAATGTGATCCGGTAGTTAGAGAAACATGGATAACTAAGTTCAACCATCTAAAATAGTTAACCTTTTCTGTTCACATTTTTTTAATGACTTTCTTTGTTGGTGGTTTCTTTACTTTATTATTACTTGGAACAAGTTATTTGTTGGTGTATGCTGCACTGGAAATTTGTCTTGATCGGACCATGACGAGTTTACTATTCGATTGCAATGTTTATATTTATTTTATTTCTTTAAGAGGAAGAAAAAAAAAAGTAATTTTAAGATTTTTTAATTATTAGTTTAATTCTAGTATTCTCTTCAATTATGTGTTAAACGGGATCTTAAAAATTCAAATCTTGATAGTAAGAGGCTTGTAGTTCACGTGGTTTAGAACATTTACCTTTGCACTTGAAGTCGTAGGTCTGATCTTGTACTCGAGTCCAACCAAGATTGCTTGTATAATAAATATAAAAAAAATTGCTTGTATAATAAATAAAAAAACAAATTCGATTGGGATAGATGGTAAAACATTCCGATTCTCTTTTTGTGGGGCAGGACTAATGTGAATTATGTGTCGTCGGCTCTGGAAAGTACTAGCTATGCCTATGTGGTTCTTACGCAAGCAGTGATAAGACAGGGGAAGAGCCTAGACAAACCAACCCAAAGAAAATTCTACAACTCTCTCTATCCATGCCATGTATAAATAAACTCACTCTTGCTTTGGCTTTGTTGCACAGAGAGCATTGAAAGAGAAGTACCAAAAGGCAAGCAGAGACTCTCAAGAGGTAGCTAGCAATGGCAGACGAAGTGGTTTTATTGGATTTCTGGCCAAGCCCATTTGGGATGAGAGTGAGGATCGCCTTGGCGGAGAAGGGCATCGACTATGAACCCAGGGAAGAAGATTTGAGCAACAAGAGCCCTCTGCTTCTCAAGATGAACCCGGTTCACAAGCAAATCCCAGTCTTGATCCACAAGGGAAGACCCGTATGCGAATCCCTCATCATTGTTCAATACATCGATGAGGTTTGGAGTCACAAAGCTCCTCTGCTGCCTTCTGATCCTTATCATAGAGCCCATGACAGGTTCTGGGCTGACTATGTTGACAAGAAGGTCTGTCAATTTCCATCCCTTACGTAATTTATTTACTTTCTTTCACGAAAAGACAAAATACTTGGTTCCTTACATGCAAACGCGCGGGTCCCGCACGGGTTAAACTTTTTAACTATGTTTTCAAACTGGGTTTTCTTGTTGTTGCAGATTTATTCTACAGGAAAGTTGGTGTGGGGAACAAGAGGTGAAATCCAAGAAGCAGCAAAGAAGGAACTGATAGAGTGCTTCAGGCTGCTGGAAAATGAGTTGGGAGACAAGACCTACTTTGGGGGTGAGACCTTTGGCATAGTTGACGTGGCACTTATCCCTTTCTATAGCTGGTTCTATGCGCTAGAGACCTGTGGAAACCTGTGCATGGTGAAGGAGTGTCCAAGGCTTGTGGCTTGGGCTAAGAGGTGCATGCAGAGGGAGAGTGTGTCCAAGTCTCTGCCTGATCAGTACAAAATGTATGACTTCCTTTTGGAGCTTAGGAAAAAGTTTGAGATTCATAGCTAAGAGAGTATATATATATATTATATATCTAGGAATAAATGTATGATCTTCATGTTACAAATTACAATTTCCTGTCCCTAGTTTTCTAAATAAAATGAAGAGAGACTCCAATATAAGCCCATACAACTGATATCCCCTAGACACAAACCCATCTATCTATATAACTACGTTGAAAACCCAAATTCAAATTTAAATGACCAGTAGGATATAAGAGGTCGTAGTATTTCTATGTTTTTACATCATTGCCACTAAACTTCATATTTTATTTATAATTTATTTCAAGCATTTCATTAACTGCCATAATTGTAATTAATATACTCCCTATTAATAGCATATCAATCACCCCATTTCTTTTAGTTGTCATTCCCTCTCACATCTCGCCCCCTAAAATTAAAACAAAAAAAATAAAGTAATAACAATTATATATATCCAATAATGAAAAATATAATATAAATATATAAATATATAATATATAAATATATTATATTACCCAAAAAAAAAGTCAGTTACTTTGTAATTGCGTATATTTTTCATAATTAAAAATAGGTACACAATAATTTATATAAAATATAGGTACATTATTTGAAGAGGAAAGATAGGTACATTATTAGAGGAAAAAAATTGGTAAGTTATTTGGAGAGAGAAAATAGGTTCATTTAAAAAAATTACGTTTGATAAAACAAATAATAGGTACTTTATTCAGAGAAAAAAGGCTATATTATTTATAGTAAAAAATAGGTACATTATTTAGATAAATAATAGGTACTTTATTCGTAGTAGGTATATTATTCAAATGGTAGGTACATTGGATGACATATAATACCTAAATCCTAATTGTAAGTACATTAAAATTAATGTAGGTATATTGGAATAGATAATTATGTACACTTTTCATACTAGGTAAATTATATTTTTCATAAAACAAATAGGTACATTATTTTTTCAACATAATTAGTATGTACAGTTTTATTCATAAACAATTATAAAGTGGATTATTAGTCATGTATAATTCATAAAAAGAAAATAACATAAACATTTTATTAAACAAACCAATTACCCAAATTTGAATTTATTGTTAAATTTTTTTTAAAATGTTCCAAAATTAATTCCTACATCTATTACAACCATTTGGAGATATTTCCAAATTCAACATCTGTCATTATATACAATCCAATTAAAAACTGTTTCCATATTGATTCCTACATTAATATACAAAATGCAATAATGGCTTAGTTGGGGGTATTTTTGGAATCTGAAAAGTACAATAAATCAAATTTTATGCTTAATTAGGTAACTTGCTGAGTTGGATCCTAGTCATGGGTTTTTACTTATACAAATTGGGTATTATTTATAGGAACAAAAAGTGAAGGGTTTTAAGTATAGCAAATTGAATTTAAAGGGTGTAAGCCAAATTTACTATAAAATGAACTATTTTCTATTTTGCTTTTAAGAACTATATGAATTAGAGTAAGCAAGTAAACTTAACCATCAGTTCAGAATTTTGTCTAAGGGTTATATGAAGAACGAAATAATTAGCCAAATGCCAAAAATATTACATAATTAATACTAATCATCTTCATGACTAAATATCCATTACCGTGCCCCTCATAAACCCTACAACACGTGGTAATCCCTATCTTCTTCATGACCATGTTGCTCTGAAGCTGTCCCCTTAACCATGTTGGTGGTCTGAGCTTCCTCTTGTATGGGCATGGCGGACCTGCAAAGCGGGCAGGAGGCACGCTTGAGCAGCCACGTTTCGAGACAAGGCGAGTGAAACCTGTGCTTGCAAGGCATCTCTCCATGGCCTCAGCACCCACCTTCAGGTCTTTCAAACAGATACAGCACTCCTTCCATTCCTCCGTCACTGTCACATTTGGAATGGCTTAATTCATGAAGGACACTGCCCTCACCTCGCAAACCCTATATTTGAGGAATAGGATAGACACGTAATAAGATATAGAAAATAAGGAAAATTAGGTATTAGACATTATTAAGTTTACTAATTAGTAAGTGAGATATTAGGTATTTTAGTTTGGGTTTTAATACTTAAAAAAAAATAGCTATTTTAGATTAGGCCAAAGGCTGGCCCAGATTCGTTGGGCCAGCTTAAAAATAACAAATAAAAAGACAATTCTACCCTTTTCTCTTAAAAAGCCTGGCCCATCTGTAAACCTACAAATTAAATGACGCTTTTGCCTCTGAACATTTAAACGACGCGCGAGTTTCTTCTTCGTTCGTTTTCGTTCGTCGTCTTCTTCGTTTCAGAGCTGGGTTCTGCCATTGGAGCTCAATTTTCTGGTAGGTTTTGCTTTTATTTTCTTCGTTTTTCTGTCTTCTTTTTTCTGCTACGTTTTCGTTCGATTTGCATGCTGAATGACTGTCAGTTTTGGGTGATTTCTGTTCTCCTTAGTTCGGGTATTTCGAGCTCAGTTTTGTGGCTCGATTTTGCGGCGCGATCTTGTGGCGTTCAATGCTAAACCCTATATTCTTCGTTTCGTGATCAGATTTGATTTTAAGCTGCTGTTTGGTTGTGGAGATTTTTGGCAGTCCTAAGTTTTGAGGTATGAGTACTTTAGAACCTGTTTTCGTTTATATCGACTTGTATGTTTATGGAATTTAGTTTTAGTACTTTTATCGTGGTTTCCTTTTGGTTTCTATTCGAATTGTTTTGATTTTCTGTCATAAACTACATCTGTTTGTTGTAGTTTTGGTAGAAACTGCATTGCAGTTTCTTGTTTCATAATTCGATTTCAGACTAATATTTGGAAGTCTATTGGAATTTTACAACTGCTCATGTACATTATTTACTAATTTAAATTGTTTTCTGTTTTTGTTTGTTGTTTTGTTTGCATTTTCAAGGCTAATGGAGGTGTGTGTCATTGCCAAGTGCACATATAAGTCGGAAACCATGATGTTTTCAGTTTCATCAGAGTCATCCATGGTTGATATTTTGAAGACTTTGTGTCTAAGGCCATTGAAATGCAGTCGGTGTAGTGTTACTGGGCATAATAGGAAGACTTGCAAGGCTGTGATATGAACATTCCTTCTCAGTTGACGATTGCTTACGTTAGATATGGTTTAGTGAATGTATAGTCAGTTTCTGCATTGCACTTTTTGCAAAACCTGCATTGCAGTTTTAGTTGCTTTTAATTGGCTACACAGCTTCTAATTGGATATTATGATTCTTTTTTGAAGTTAATGAAAATTATACAATTGTTTCATGAGTGGATATTCGTTTTTGACTGCCATTGAATGCTTGTTTTCAGATTTGAGCAGATTTTGTTGCAGAAACTGCACTGCAGTTTCTGTTTATTTGTTGCAGATTTTGAACAGAACTTGTCCCATAATTCAATTTCAGAATACTTTTTGCTAGTCTATGGGAATGTTATAACTGCTCATGGAGTTAAATTTGTTTTGATATTAGTTTTAGTACTTTGATTATGCCTTTACCTTTTGAGCAGCAGTGCAGATTTTGACCAGAAACTGCAGCGCAGTTTCTTGTTCGATAATTCAATTTCAGAATAATTTTTGCAAGTATATTGGAATGTTACAACTGCTGACCTACTTAAATGTGTTTTGATATTAGTTTTAGTACTTTGATTATGCCTTTACCTTTTGAGCAGCAGTGCAGATTTTGACCAGAAACTGCAGCGCAGTTTCTTGTTCGAGACCAGAAACTGCAGTGCAGTTTCTTGTTCGATAATTCAATTTCAGAATAATTTTTGCAAGTATGTTCTCATATACCATAACTAGAAATATTTACAAACATCCACAAGAATTAAGATACATATTGTCTTGAGTTAACGAAAGGCAAATCACTAGAGACGATTAATTACACAGTGTTTGTGGTGTAGGAGTTTTGTGACATATTGTGCTCGATATTCATTCATGAATTTCTTGTCCACACTTTTTGGAATGGGCTGTCCTTGTGCTATTTTATCCATGTAGAACATGACGAACATGCCGCAATCCAACCTGCAAATGAATACGAGATTAGCTTTTGGTTTTGAATGATTTCAAATTGTAATGAATGGTTGAGTAGACACAATATCCATGAATACGAGATCAGCATAGCCAAAACAAGAACTACAAAACACAACAGAAACTACATAACAACATGGCGTGAAATGAGCAACATTCAAGAAGCGCAGAAACTGCAATGCAGTTTGTGGTTCACTGCAATGCAGTTTGTGGTTCACTAAAATGCAAAAAACAGCATATACCAGAAAATATGCATCAACTTGACATGAAATTGAAAGATCAGCATAGCCAAAACAAGAACTACAAAACACAACAGAAACTACATAACAACATGGCGTGAAATGCACAGAAACTGCAATGCAGTTTGTGGTTCACTGCAATGCAAAAAACAGAATATACCAGAAAATATACATCAACTTGACATGAAATTGAAAGATCAGCATAGTCAAAACAAGAACTACAAAACACAACAGAAACTACATAACAACATGGCGTGAAATGGAAAGAAGTATAAATAATTTAGCAGAAACTACAATGCAGTTTCTGTTTTCTTCAGTGCAGAAAACAGTTTTGATGCTCTTTTGTGATTTTTCGGTTTCTAGAGGTTTTCAAACCAAAACTAAACCCAAAACCTAAACTACATTGCAGAATGACAGTAAGTAAAATTTCAGAACCCTAAAATCAAAGGCAAATTTGTGTTAGGGGTCATTTTCTTACGATTTTTTCCCCAAGAGAGTGCTAAACCCTTCAATCGTCGTCGTTGCTGGTCGTCGCTTCTGGTCGTCGCTCGTCGCTCGTCGCTCGTCGCCGTTTCAGATTTTGGGGGAATAGGTTGGAACTGCTGAAAGAGAGAATGAAGAATCGGCTTCGATCGTTGGTGGTCTTCGATGATGGTCGCACGAATGGGTTGGTGGTCTTCGATGATCGTTGGTGGTCTTCGATGATCGTTGGTGGTCTGGAGGTTTCTGGAGTTGAAGTTGAAGAGGTTTCTGGAGGTGAAGTTGAAACGTCGCGCGAAGGAGTTGTGATTCAATTTTGGTTTCGGTTGATGTCGTTTTGGTTCAGTTTTGGTTTGATGTCGTTTTTCAGTTTTTGTTTAAAACTAATACTGAAAATGGCATATGTTGTAATTTTCATATTTTGTAATGGTATTTTTGTTACATTTTGGTTTTTTTTCCTTTTGCTAATTATACTAAATTGTATTTCCTTCTACTAAATTAGTAAACTATATTATGCTTTAAAACTAAAGCTCCCTAGAAAATATGTACCAAGAGATATTTGAGAGTAAGTGAGAAATTGGAAGGAAATTGAACTTTGTACCTATAATCCAAACTTATTACTTATCTTCTTGTTCAGTATGTATATATACAAACGATATTCATTGAGGAGGGGGATTCGAATTTGGATGCAAAATGGGAAGCATATATGCTCTAGCCAATTTAGTTAGTTCTTAATTTTTTTATCAACTAAGATAGTGACATACGTTAACCTGAAACTCATTTAGTTTTCGACTCCAATTTGAAAAGTTAAAAATCAAATAAGAACATCTCCAATACAACATATAAATTTAGAGATGTAAATCCGTTTCTACATTCTATTTACATATCCGAGAGATATAAATGTGATTTTTGCTTCAAGCGAATGTAAAATTGTAGATGTGAATTTGGCTTTTCATCCGTTCCATTGAATCTAATAAAGACCATTGCAACCAATTGAAAAAAGAGATATTTAGTAATATACCCATTCTTAGCACTAAAACTATAAATAAACCCTACATCATTTCATTTTTATAAACATACCCAAAAAAAACCCAAAAAATGACAAATGGTACTATTAAATTTAATTTTAATTATTAAATTACTTTGATATCCTATTGAGTGTTTTGGGCTTTTTTATAAAATTTGGGTTGGGTTTGTTTTAAGAAATCAATGGCAATTTTGTAATTTAAAAGAAGTTAAAAGCCTTTTTGTTATGTTATAAATGGGCTTTGGGTGTGTTTATAAATTCCATTTCATATAGGGTTTTTTTATAATTTGGACTCCTATATTGGGTATATTAGTGAATCTCCCTTGAAAAAATTCGTAACTTTTTGTCGTTGGATTTCAAACCGAAAACATTTGGACCCATCTTTGTATGAGGGGACTAAGGCCCAAAAGAGATCAAGGCTAGGAGGGGCCTTGCTAACTCCAATAAGGCTCAAATCTTGAAACCCCAAATCCAGCTAGCCTGTCGCGGCAAAATTTCTCTCTGCCTATTTGTGGCCACTCCACATTCCACCTCTACCCTTTTGTCTTCGTGTTACTCTTCAGTTCTGTAGAACAAGCTCCAGTCCCCAACTTCAATCCTAGATAACCCAGAAGGGCTCACCATCTCCTTCTCTCTCTCATCTCGTGCATAAAAATGGTAACTTTCAATTCCCAGTTTCTTCTACGGGAACTTTTTCATAATGGGTTTTCCCCCATATTTTCTATTTGCATTTTCTTGCAGATTTTCTTTGAATTTTCCCTGCAACCCTTAATTTCAACAGGGTTTTTTTTGTTCGTGCGTGTGTGCAGTTGTTCTTCTCGTATTTCAAGGAGTTGGTGGGCAGAGAAGTGACAGTGGAGCTAAAGAATGATCTTGCAATCAGAGGAACACTGCACTCAGTGGATCAGTACCTCAACATAAAGCTAGAGAACACAAGGGTCGTCGACCAAGAGAAGTACCCGCACATGGTATCTATCATCTGTCTTAAATTTTGACTCATCTGTGTACATGTGTGTGCCTGTGTGTTGTATACTTGGTTTCTAGGGTTTGGTATTTTGAGGGGATAATCCTTTGTGTAAAAAGTTAGGGTTTTGGGTAATAATAGCTCTTTTAAAAATTAAAAAAATCTTGGTCTCTTTTCTGTGGTTTCGTTTTGACAATTTGCCAATCTTTTAGTTTCTAGAATTTATCATAATTAACTCAGTTCTAATAGCAGATGAATAACAGTAGTTATAGTGATAGGCCATTTCCTTGGATATGTGCCGACTTCGGAGTGATCATAAGCAGAATATTTATTGATGGGTGGGTATTTGAATTTCTAATGCTAAAGGCTAGGCGGGGAATTTTGGTTCATTATGTGATGTTAGTTAATTGGATTATAAAGCGAAGATAGAGAAAAGGGATGAGTTGAATGTGGAGAAGTATGATTCATAGAATACGAATGAAGTGGAAGGGAAAGTTATGAAAGACGACTATAAGGCATTATAGAACACTATTCAATAAGCTAGATAGGACAAAAAAATGAAGAGAAAATGAGAGAGAGTCATCTGACATGGTTTTGTTTTGTTAACTGTTTGAAGGTTTCTAAAACTTAGTTTACTCAAGTTAATGCCGCAAGAAAGGGTAACAGTACACCTAAAAGGGCATGGATATCATAGAACCAATGATAAATTATATAGTTTTAAAGATTTTATGGAGAATATCATAATGAATAGTTCTTAGTAGAAGGTGAAAATTGATGTTGAGGACCCCCAAGCCCAAGCCAGTTCCTGGAAAGAAGCATATATTTTGTTTTTCCAATAAATGCTTGTTTGAGTTGAAAAAGGCTTCCTTCTTTTAAAAAAATTTGAAAAAGACTTTCCCAGTTCTATGCGTCATCATAAAGAAGGAAAAATCAAGCCAGGTTTAACCACTCACTGGTATGTGTGTTTGTGTAATAAGAAAGGTGCAGGGCCCTTGATCTTCCTCTACAAGAAAACTCTGTTAAATTTCTCTCTCTCTCTCTCTAAGAGGCAAAATCAAGTTCTCAAGTCTGACCTGCTTACTAACTGGCATATTGTAGCTTAGTTATACTGTTAGGGTTTCTTTCACAAATTTCAACTTGCACTAAAAAAATCCTGTCATAAAACTGAACTTAAGTAATGGGAATGAATCTTTAAGGTGAATGGAGAAATAAGTTTTTCTTCCTCGTTCATCCAAAATGCTATCCTTTTAGATCTACTCTGAAAGAATCATACGTGGAGGAAGTCTTGAAAAAAAGGAGCTTGAACCACTGCATGGGGGTGTTCTTTTGACTCGTCCAATTGTAATGGGAAAAACTGAATATTTCGTGTGAGCTGGAATGGCTGCTTCCACCACTTATATTGATGATTCCAAATCAACACATGTTTACTTCTGGTGAATAGTGACAAAATTTGCTAATCAAATATGATTTGTTTATGTTTTGATGGGATTATGCTGGCACTTGAGTAGCTTGAAAGGATTAAATGTATTTGAAATTAATGTGTTGTAATCTAGTTGTGGGGTTTTCGCTTCTATTACTTTAAAACTATGCAGACCATATACTTACTATTGATTTGAATTTGACATGTAAGTGACCTTTATATTTTATGGCTTTTGTGATATGAATGCTCACTGTGAGTCTTGTGATGGAAGGATCACCTTTATCAACTCTGTATGATAATTGTTGCCAATCTAAATTGAATTCCGGGGGTTTGTTTGTGTGTGGTGGTGGTGTTTGTGTTGTTGTGGGTTAGAATTTCTCAAAGCACGGGTCATCAGGTCTCATGACCAACAATTATTTGCTTGGTCTTTCACCTTTTATATGTTCTCATACTCTTGTGTATGCTTTGTTTAGGTCTGTTGGTTGTTGTTGTTGATCTGATCTGCTGGTTGTGTTTTCTACCCCTGTTATGCATAAAAAACTCATTATGGAAATTGAAATTTAACTTACTTTTTAATATCATGTTAGCCTTCCAATCTGACAACCACACGATAATGTATTTTTGCAGTTGTCAGTGAGGAACTGTTTTATTAGGGGATCAGTCGTGAGATATGTGCAACTACCCCCAGAGGGAGTGGACGTTGAACTGCTGCATGACGCCACCAGAAGGGAAGCTCGTGGTGGCTGAAGAAAGGGGCTATTTGAGCACTGAAATGTTGTGTAATTGTTTTTGCTATGTCTAGTCTTTTCCCAGTTCATGAAGACGTCTCCAATTAGATCCCAGTGCAGCTCTATGATCACTATGGAACATTTTGAGCCAGTGGCAAGTAGTTTTTATATTTTTTTTAATCATCTATAGTGCACATTTTAGTTAACATCCATGAAAATGGGAACAGACAGGATGATCTATGTGATGCACACCTCTTATCCTAACGCATTTGTACGTTTATTTTCCCCGAGTTTTTAACAGAGTAATTGATTATTACGTTTTATTTTTTTGTTTTTTTCTTCTTCATGGTTGATGTATGGAGCCGGTAAAATTAAATTTTATTGAGATACAAAGCACAAAGGTGAAGAAAATAAAACAACAAACCAACCCAATTGCGCTCACTTGCAAGATGATTGCTTGTTTGTTGATACCCCGAGGGGAAGAACAAACTAGGTGAAAACAACATAATGCAGCAGGTCGGCTCTTCCTGCAATGACCAATGATCTGAATTTCATGTCTCTTTATTATCTTTGTAATTATTTGAAAAATTAGACTGTCATAAGGTCATTGTCAGCTGTTTAGCATGTCTAACCTCTCTTTGCCGATAACATTTTTGCCAACCATCCTTAATTGGTGGTGAGCAATACCACCATATTATCATCATTGGATGAGTTTAACTTTCTAAATTCTTGTAGCATGCAGGTAAATAATACTGATCAAACGAAGGTAATACTCACCTTCAATTAAGGGTGGTGAGCAAAAATATATCCGTCTAAATTCTTGTAGCCTGTAGGTAAATCACACTGATCAAACGTTAATTAATACAGTGATAATACTCACCTTCAATTAAAGGTGGTGAGCAAAAATGTTAGAGAGTGACATTATTCGTCATGAGGACGATTTGTAAATTGATGATCTACTAATGATTTAACAATATTGATGGTCTCAATAGTTATTAGTCTTACATTTTGAAAAATAGTTGAAACTAATCTAACAATCAAAACAAAATATATCCAAGATTATGCTGACCAGAAACACTAGCTATTTCGAAGAACATATGACATGCTGTGATGTTTCTCGATAGCATAGCCGCGCGGCTATATTGAGGTTTTTTTTTTTAAAATATCGTGATTTTAAAAAAAGCGTATAGCCGCACGGCTTTACTGGGGTTTTTTTCTTTAATTTTTTAACAAATAGTATATCCGTGCAGTTTTTTTTTTACAAATAGTATAGCCGGGCGGCTATACGCGGGATTTTTTTTTATATAAAAAGAGTATAGCCGTGCGCCTTTACAGGTTTTTTTGTTTTTTGTTTTAAATTAAAAATTTCGGATATACTCTTTACATAGATACTATGATCTATTTTTAAAAAAATTATTTTTCCCCAATTTTTGTTTATCGATAGTTTAGAGCATTATCCATTACTCTTAAGTCATTACCTGAGTCTCTATTTGTCCCCTTTTAAGTTTTTACTTTTCCAGAGTTATTACTCGTATAAAGAATTTAGCATTTTCACATTTAATACTTGTATTGTACACGTACATACATATTTTTCATGTTTAATACACTTGATTTTTTACAAAAATTTTCAATAATACATACAAAATTCACGTATTATACACATAATTTTCTCATACTATTGAATAAAACTAATATATATTTAAAAATTTAAATCCATAAAATGTATATATCGAAATTAACAAATTAATATCTATAAAGTATAAACTAATGCTAATAGAAGTGTCCATTTTTCAAAATTGTTTTTTAATAAAAGGTATAGCAGTGCGGCTATACTGTTTGACACGTGCATGGCAGGTCCTCTTTCTTTTTTGTTACAAATAGTATAGCCGCGCGGCTATACGTGGGATTGAATAAATAAACATATAGCCGTTCGGCTTTACTGGGGTTATTTATAAAGAGTATAGCCGCGTGGCTATACACTTTACATAGATACTGTGATCTTTTAAAATAAAATTGTTTTTCCCCGATTTTTGTTTTTCGATAGTTTAGAGCGTTATCCATTACTATTAGGCCATTATCCGAGTCGCTATTGTCTCTTTTTGAGTTTTACTTTTTCAGAGTTATTACCTGTATAAAGAATTTAACATTTTCACGTTTAATACTCGTATTGTACATGTACGTACATATTTTTCATGTTTAATACACTTGATTTCTTATAACATTTTCAATAATACATACAAAATTCACGTATTATATACATAATTTTTGCATACTATTGAATAAAACTAATATATATTTAAAAACTTAAATCGATAAAGTATATATATCGAAACTAATATATATTTAAAAACTTAAATCGATAAAGTATATATATCGAAACTAACATTTATAAAATATAAACTAATGCCAATAGAAGGGTTGATTTATTGTTGTCGTGAAAATTTGTTCACATATTCGCCAGCTGAGCCCATTTCTTCACCCTCGAAGCGGACACTAGCCCGGCCCATTTTACTGAACCCAAACCGCCGCCCCATTTCCCCTCCGTCGTTTCGGTTCTTCTTGTTCTTTAGACGGTCTCACTCTCAAGCCTCACCTCAGTCAGTCAGTTAGTCTGTCACTCACTCTTGAAGTTTCGGAAATTCCCACCAAAGAGAGTTAGACGGTATTCTTCAATTTTTAACCCTTTTTTTTTGGGTTTAGGTTTAGAATTAATTTATAGCTTATTGTTTAGGGTTTAGGGTGTACTTCCCATGTAAGCTTTTTGTTGAGTTGTTTGGTATTTACTGCATTGCTGACTAGCTGGTTCGGTTTTTTTTATTAAGAAGCTTTAAGACTGAATGAGAATTATCTAGTTGTGTTGAGATAAATTTTGTACAATTATCTGCTTGTGTTTCTGGTTAGTTTATAGAAAATATCTTGGTTGTGTTGCAGTTATAGTAGTGAATGATTTTTTAGTTAATTTTCGCGTAGGTTGCCGTAAGAGCTGTTGGTTTGTGTTGCTGGTGTTTTCTAGTAGCAGTTATATGGTTGTGTTGTAGCTATAATACTGAAAGTCTGAAAATTTTATTATTATTTATTTCTAGCTGTGAGAGAACTAAATATTTGCTGTCTGAAAAGAAAACATTATCTGGGTGTTATTCTTGTGGCATCTAGAGAACTGAAAGTCTGAAAATGTTCTCCGTAGTAATTTGTTCAGACCAAATTTAGTCAATGATGATAGAAAGAATATGCTTGTTTTGGAGATTTTGCTCATTTCATATTTTAATCCTGCCTTGCCCCTGATTCCTGACGCTAGGAGCAAAGACAACCGGACTAGTAGTATGGAGGAAATAGAAACATTGTGGAAAGAAGTTAGGGAGCTAAGTCTAGGGGATTCGGGCAGAGTGGATCGTTTGGAGTGCCCACCCACCCCACTCCAATTCCTGAGAGACTTTGTTTGCCAAAACAAGCCCTGCATCATATCCAATGCCACCCTCCATTGGCCAGCGCTCTCCTCCTGGACCCATGATTCTTACCTCACTGGAGCTCTCTCCTCTGCTGACGTCTCCCTTCACCTCACCCCACATGGCCAAGCCGATGCCCTCGCCCCCTTGGATGGTTCCCTCTGCTTCTCCTCCGCTCACGTGCAGCGCATGCCCTTCACTGAAGCTCTCGGCCTCATTACCAACAATGAGTCCCCATTGAAAACTGGTGGCCTATGCGCAGCAGCAGAACAACTGCTTTCTGTCGGAGTATTCTGCTTTAGCTGCAGATTGCGACCCCCATATCCCATGGGCCAGTGAGGCCCTTGGCTGCCTCCCTGATGCAGTCAACATGTGGATTGGCAACCATCTGTCGACCACATCATTTCATAAGGACCACTATGAAAATCTCTACGCTGTGGTGACAGGCCAGAAGCATTTCCTGCTCCTTCCTCCCACTGATGTGCATCGTATGTACATCCGCATGTACCCAGCTGCCCAATATTCATATTCTCATGCCACCGGTGAGTTCACATTGGAACTAGAGAAGCCAGATAGATATGTGCCGTGGTGCAGTGTCGATCCTTACCCTTCTCCTGAGGACAGAGATAAGCAGCTCTCCAACTTTCCTTTGTATTTTGATGGTCCTAAGCCTTTTAGCTGTACTCTCAACCCTGGAGATATTCTATACTTGTAAATTTCTGCCTTCCTTTTCCTGGTTTTTAATTCTTTTACTTTTTGGGTTTCTAAATCTCAATAGACTTCAGCCACTTCCAATTTTGTTGCAAATATGGGAATCGTAATTGCTTCCATTGATAACCTGGCCCTTTCCACAGACTAAGGATGTTTGCTTTGGATTGGTAAACAATGTATGAAATATGAAAAGAATTGACAGATCAAGATCCGCATATTGTTTTTGTTACTTTGACACTTCTATGATATGGAACTTTATGCTTAAGCTACACAGTATTTTTCAAATCTTGATATGTTTGAATTAATGCAGGCCAAGTATGTGGTTTCATCACGTTAGACAAAGTCCAGATAGCAGAGGACGCACTATTGCTGTGAACTACTGTAAGGGATCAAGAACTTAATATTTTTCTCACTTTTTATTTTCAGCTTTGTATATGGTTAGATACTGAGGTTCCAATATGTATGGCAGGGTATGATATGCAGTTTGATATCAAGTATGCTTACTTCAACTTCTTGCAATCAATTCATTGCCTATCAATTAAAACTCCAACACTACCCGTGACAGTGCATGAGGATTTAGATTCTGATGCTTAGGCATGTACTCTAAGGGATGAATTGGTTGCTGGTTGATCTCTATCACATGGACCGGTGAAGACTTAAGATGAATATTAGAAGGATCACCCTGTCATTAGTATGGGTATTAGATTCATCATTTGAGGACTTCTTAGACTGGGAAACAAAGAAAATCTCTGAAAGAAAACAATGCAGCATCCTTGAGGTAGGGAAATTAAATAAATATCAGTCAATGGAACCTGTTGCTACTGCATTCATCCAATTATTTTAAAAGAGACAAGTCATAAGATTTGTTTAAATTTTTATTTTTATTTTATGGTTAGATTGGGCACCTCTTTATTACTTTCTGTAGATTTAACCCATGAAGATCACCCACACATTATAAATTCTGACATTTATTTGCCTGAGATTATGCTGGGAAATACCAATTATTTATGTTTGTATTAAAGTTTTTCAGATCAAATACTAATTATTATTTAAGTTACATGTGAGTCAGTTTAATATGTCCTTGGCTTTTAAATGTATACTTACCATGAATATAGTTTCACCAGTTAATTAATCATTGGTGAGCAATCTAGAAATCTAATGATGGAAGGATCATCTATTTAACTCATATTGATGGAGATTGACTTCTCACTGTTAGATTGTGGATTAGTTAATCAATCATTGACACTGGATCAAATTTCAGTGTTTATAGTTTCTTTTGGGGCGGCGGTGTAAATTTTCTAAAAACATGGGTCATTAGGTTTCATGACTTCGACTCTGATTTTCTTGGTCTCATATAACCTTTTGTTCTGATACTATGGTGTTTGTTTTGTTGAAGTCTGTTGTTGATCTTATATCTATTGGTTGTGTTCTGGAGATGTCGGGCCCTATCCTGCTTACTAAACAGCTTGTGCATATTGACAATATGAAGTGATTATTTTTGCAGCTTTTGGTGAGGAACTGTTTTATTAGGGGAAGAGTTGTGAGATATGCTCAACTACCCCCCAGAGGGAGTCTGATGTTGAACTGCTGCCTGTTGTCACCACAAGGGGAGCTCAGGGTGGCTAAAAGTTTAGACACTAGTGAAAGAAAGGACTGTTTCAGCACTCAACCATTGTTCAATTGTTCATGCATAGTGCAGGCTCTATGATAACTGTGAAACATCTTGACCTAGTGCAAAGTAGTTTAGGTGATTTGCTGGTACATTGTATAGTATTTTTGATTTGCAGGATGTCGTGTACTATTGATTCTGTTGCTCCTTCCTAATGTTTAGCTATTTTGGCTGTAGAGCCACTATATTTAAACTAATGGCTCCTTATTTGCTTTATTGAATGAAACAAAAAATTACAGCAGTCACAATCTCCTCTCCTTGGAAGCTAAAAAAAATTTCCATGAGAAACAGTGAAAAATGCAAAACAACATAATGCAGTGGGTGAACAGTTGTTCCTCCCTGAAAATGAGCAATGACTTCAATTTCAAGGCTCTTTATTCTTCAAATCTCGGCGAAAATTATGAAAATGGTGGTTACAAGCTGCTTAGCAAGATTGACCAGCTCTGTAATCCTGGGTGAGATGGCAGGATGATGATTTGTAGATTGGGGACCGCAAGGTTTGATCAACCCCCAAATCATACTCTTCCTCCATAATTGTATCCAACATTTTTGTCAGTGGGCGTTTGCTCATTCTCACTGAGATGAACTGTGATACAGCAACTTCTGTATTCACTCTCTCTGTTTGGAACTTAACCATTCCTTCCATTGCTAGAAAAAGTGAAAATTGGGAAGCTAGAGAAAAAGAACCTTGAGCAGAAAAGCATGGAAGATTGGAAGAAGAAGATGCAGAGCTTGACACTGTACGATAATGAACACCATTCTGTAGATTTATATAGGGCTTTCTCGGATTGGAATTTTCTGTAGCTTTCGTATGGTCGGCAAGCATGTGAACTTGCCTACGTATATCTATTGTCATGCATTTTGGCATATACTTTAATGAAACGTTGATGCCTAGATATAAAGACATTCAATATCTTTTCCCACCATTAATATCAAATGTTCTTATAATATCTTAAAAAGTGAGCATTGTTAAAAACCACAGACGTGAATTCGGTTAGCTAATTAAGGCAATGTGACTCACTCCTTTGCACTCGAAAAGCATATCGTTTTGCATTAATTAATTACAACCGAAAAGTTAGAAAAGGAGAAAAGAACAAATCGAGTTGATGACAAAAAAGAAGATCAGTACGAAAATGTAAGGATTGTTTTAGGATGGGGGAAGGACCAGTGGGGGGGCCGTGTGTGACTGGAAATTGTACCTGCATGAGCACGGCATCTAGCAGCAGACGGATGCCAACTTTTTGAGTACATGTAGTTTTCCATTAAAAATTGTTCACTGTTATTTCCCCTTCAAAAGGATACATATGCATGTGGCCGAACAAGATGCCATCGCATGTGATAGGGTTACCAATCTACTTCTCTGACAATATAACAACGATGCATCATGCATAAGGAGAGCCAAGTTTTCTTCTCAATTTCAGTACATAAAATGGTGAAATTGCTTTATAAATGCATACTTCAATGGTGAAATCCCAACTCTGGCTTTGAGCAGGGGAGTTCACAACCCATGGTCCTAGAGTGCAATTTTATATGAAAATTAATTTGTAACTAACTATTCAAAAGAGATCTTGAGAGCATAACCACGTGTGTGTGCATGTCAAAGTCTTACTTATATAAAAATAAAGATAAATTATTGTATGTGACGGTAACACCAAATTGACATGATAAATTATTGTGTGTGACGGTAACACCACATGATATATCGATCGTCATGTTGTGACAAATCCAACAAAATTATATACTTGGACATGTCGACATGTAGTCAACTTGTCACACATTAATTTCTCATTTTCTGCTTATGTCGATGGAATGGAAAATGCATATGTATGCGATTGGGTGGAAGATATGTGGACTACCAAAGGAGAAGAACAGGAAGCAGCAAAGAAACAGTTGCTGCAAGAACTACCAAACTAGCTAACTAGCTAGAGAATCATATATCCTTTTGCACCAACTCCAGTTTACCAAAAGAATCCGAAACAGAATTTTTTAGAAAAAGTGGATCAGTATGAAATGATGAAAGGAGTGTTTTAGAGGGACCGGTGGAGTGTGGTTGGAAATCCTAGCTGAATCACCACGGCATCTAGCAGAAGACACAAGTCCCAACTTATGTAGCTTTTTATCAACTATAGCCTTTAGGCTCCGTTTAGTTCACGGAACGGATTCGAGGGGAAATCACTTCTTAGGTCATTTCTCAAGGGATGGGGAATAGAGATTCATTTCCCATGTTTGGTAATACCACTTTATTTCCTTTCATATGTTTAGTTTGTGTAGGAATGTAAAACAAAGTTTGTTTAATTTTTCAATTATACTCATATAAAATCAAATAAAAAAGGATGCATTTAATGCTATATTGTAATACTAAATTGTTAATAGGGATAACATGGTTATGAAAAATGTGTATTTAATGCTGACTTATTTTCCCGAACTTTCTCATGAGGAAGAAAACAAAACTCAAGGAGGGAGGAGGGCTTTACTTTCTCCCATACTTTCCCATGTGCAAGGCAACGATTTCCCATGTCTGTCCTTACCAAACATGGGAAAATAATTCATTTTCCATCCCCAGGCCTCATTTTCCATGAACCAACATTATTTTTCTTTTTTCATATTGAAAGATGTCTAGAGTTCAAATCTCATTCAACGTACACCACATAATTAGCACGGGAATCCCGAGCCTCTGCATTTAGAGTTTACGCATTTTCTCACATTTTGCTTAATCTTAGTCGTTGTAATAATCTAACGACATATAACATGTCACTTCAACTACCATTAATTTAAGTTTAATTTTAACACTCCAAAAGTTCAATTTTACCCTTCTAATATAATTAAGAAAAAAACCAAGAAACATAATTCACCCATTCACCCCATCCTGGTATGGCGTAGTCGCATTGCCACCCCACCAATAAGCCAACTTTGATGTGCTCCTAAGCTAGCTTTGCCATCGATGGGGTCATGGCTTCCCCCATCTTTAGACTTTGAAGGAAAAATCTCGTGGGTCGCACAAACTGAATATATATTTTTTTTTTGGTTCTAATAGACAAATCGATTTTAACTGCATCTCATTGATCAAAGATTAAAACTCACTTTTGGTCCCTATAATTTGTAGTTTCAATTCCGTCAATTTTGACTATGTAGTTTCATATTTGTAGCAATTTAAAGACAAGTTAGTATTCCTGTTAATTTCTTTGACGATGCAAGGGGCAATTTCGTAACCCAAAATCCTCGAGCATAAAAACTAGTCTGAAACTCCCCTAATTTCATATTAGGACTTGAAATTGGTCATTTGGGTTTAGGGTTCTTCAAAAATTGGGATTAGTGGTTGAATTTCGAGCCTTAATATGAAATGGAGAGAATTTCAAATAAGCTTTTACTCTAAAAGGTTTTGGGTTGATGAAATTGCCCCTTGCATCATTAAAGAAATTGACAAGAATACTAACATGTCCTTGAATTGCTACAAATACGAAACTACAATGGCAAAATTGACATAATTGAAACTACATGATCAAAAGTGGTTGAAGTGCCAAACTATAAGGATGAAAAGTGATTTTGGCCTTTATCAAATGAATTTTAGCCACTTAAATCTTGAGAGCTCTACACTCGGGAGAGCTTCAAAAGAGAGAGAAGTTGTGGGTATTGTGAAAACTAGCTTATTACCATTGGATTTAGGGGTGACATTTTAGACCCAAAAACAGCAAAAATCAACCGACAATTTACCGCAATGAAACCGTAATCGCGGGAAACCGAACCGCATTTGAGATATGAAGAACCGAACCGCATTTGCGATATTTGATTTTCAAAACTTGCGGTTACCACAAACCACGACTATATTTAAAAAATAAATAAATTGCATTTTGTAGATAGCATTGGTGCTCAAAAAACACAACGGGGTCTTTCAAATCCACTCACCACCACCAACACTTGAGTTTGTAACTTTAGTTTGTAACATTGGTGCATTGCATTTTCCTTTTAGTTTGTAACTTTAATTAACTTTGAATTGGATTTTTCCTTTGGGTTGTAACTTTAATTCATTTTGCATTGCATTTTCCTTTTGGTTTGTAACTTTAAAGGATTTGGAATTGGAATGCTTGAGAAGTTGAGGTTGTGAATGCTTGAGAAGTTGAACCTTAATTGGAATGCTTGGAATTGTAACTTTAATTTTTGTTAGGTTGTGAATGCTTGAGAAGTTGAGGTTGTGAATTTATATTTTTGGGTTAAAGTATGCTTGAACTCAAAAGTCTTCAAAAGAAGCATCAAAATTAGGCATAAAATGTGGAAGATTGGATTTTTATGACACAAAAAGAACTTGCGATTTTAAACCGCTAATTCACGGTAACCAACCACTTTTTGCGGTTTCAAAAATCATCATACCGTAAATAGTCGGTAGGTTTGCGGTTTGGGCAAAAATTCGGGATTATTGAACCGCAATCACCCCTAATTAGATTGTTATTTGGTTATGGTGGGGCTTTGTTTGATCTCATTAATCCATGAGGTAGCTTTTGATTTAGGTTTTCTATGGGAATCTAGTGTATACTTTAGCTTCAATATTCTGATTTGGGGTTTTGATTTCTTCACGAATTGGCTAATGAATTGGATCCTTGGAAACTTTTTATAGATTTTAATTCCTTTATGAGTTGGGTGTCGATTTGGTTATATTATGTGTTTTTGGGTATGTCAATTGGATTGTTTTACAGTGAAAATTTTCTGGGTATGGTTCTACAGAGGTGTGTTGATAGAGAATAAAAGGCCACCAGTGACCAATGCAGTGGTGGGAGGAGGTCGGGTAGTGGATCATCCATGGGAAAGTCTGAGCTGGGTTTGGTTTCTTTTTTTTAAAAGAAAAAAATTTAAATTTTCATTTTTAAGTTTTAAGTTTTCCATTTTTTAATTTTATTGGAAGGGTAAAATTGGAGTTTTAGAGTGTTAAAAGTAAACCTAAACTGATAGTAGTTGATGTGTCATGTTATAGGTTGTTAGATTATTACAACGACTAAGATTAAGCAAAATGCGGGAAAATACGTAAACTCTAAATGCAGAGACTTAGGATCCTTGGCACGATTCTTTTTTATGCAGATGTATGCCTTTGGGTTTTGGTCTGGCCCGATCCAAGCCTGCCAATGTGCTGAGCTTAAGTACCGGCCATTAGGCCCGTTCCTAAAGAGGTCATCGGCCCACATCCCTCAAATACCAATTTTCTCCCCTTTTTTCTCTCGTTCTCTCAATTTCTCTGGTTTCTTTCATTTTTCTATTTTGGATTTCTCTAAAAAATATTTGTTTCATAAATGTTTAAGTCTAAAAGGTATACATTTAATTTATTTTCCTGGTCGAACCTTAGAAAAAGGAAAAAGAAATTCAAGATTTGATATCGAAAGCAGTGACATCATGCTATCTGATAGAAAGAATCTGGAATACATACAAAAAGGAAGAAAAATATAATATTTGTCCATTTCTGACGTTTACTGCTTTGGACATTTGGTTTATTTGGCCCCGGTCTTATTTAAACCATTCAATTCAAGTATTGCCTACGAAAACATTATTTGTGGTGACTAAATTCAGCAACTCTGGTATTCATGTATCATTTCTGCCTAAAAGTCAATTAAAAAAGTATGTATTAATCTATTTTTCTTGTCTCGGGCTTTCGTTTTCGTGTTCAAGTTCATCTATTTAAAATTGATTAGGTATATTTTAAGTAACGCTATTCCCACATACCATAATCGAAAATTTTAGTGACAAAATTTACTCTTATGTAAAATGACTAAAATAACTTATTAGAAAAATATCTTACCCTCTATTCACCCTCCTCTTTAAACCCACCTAAACCATAAGTTAATCTTCTCTCTATATCTCCAACACTTTGATGCAGCAGCATATGATATATTTATTTTTTAAAGCTCTTAAACATGACTATTACCTACTCACTACCCTCCCTCCCTCCCTCGGGTGAGATGAGAGAACGATAATGGGAAGACTTTGCTGCATTCCACCTCAATTTTTTAAAACCATATAAAATAATCAACATCAATTAAAAATAAAAAAAGAAATTCAAGATTTTGATATCGAAAGCCGTGACATAATGCCATCTGATAGGAAGAATCTAGAATAAAAAGGATGAGAAATAGAATATCTCCATCTGCCCTGCCGTGCCTAGGAGTCTACATTTCCGGGTCGTTTGACTACTTCTTCTACCTAGATTTTTTGTCCATAAATACTCGCACTGGGACTCACTCTAACACCACAGCCACCCACAGCTTCATATCTAAGCTGAAGTTTTGTAACCCTCGAAAAAACTTTCCATCCACCAATTCAAAAGCTTCAATCTTTAATGGCGGATCAGGTGGTTTTGTTGGATTTCTGGCCCAGCCCTTTTGGGATGAGGGTGAGAATTGCTCTGGCTGAGAAGGGCGTTCAGTATGAGTACAAAGAAGAGGACTTGAGGAACAAGAGCCCACTCTTGCTCCAGTCGAACCCGGTTCACAAGAAGATCCCGGTGCTCATTCACAATGGCAAAGCGGTCTCTGAGTCCCTCATTGCGGTTCAGTACGTTGATGAGGTTTGGAAGGATAAGGCTCCTCTGCTGCCTTCTGATCCTCACCTCCGAGCCCAAGCCAGGTTCTGGGCTGACTACGCTGACAAGAAGGTAACTTTTTCTAATAGACTGATTTGCATTTGGAATGTGTTGGAAGTGAAACAATTTTTTGTTTTTGGGTTTTGGGTCGTGGGATTGAAACAATTGAAAAGATGGGATTAATGCAAACCAGAAGAAAGTTTGAAATTAGATTATCTGGTTTTGATTTTGACAATCCTATTAACCCTTTAAGCTTTCTGCAATTCTGGTGATGTGAAATGCAGATGTATGAGATTGGGAGGAAGGTGTGGACAACTAAAGGAGAAGAACAGGATGCAGCAAAGAAGGAGTTCCTTGAGTGCATTAGTGTGCTAGAAGGTGAGCTTGGAGACAAGCCTTACTTTGGGGGTAAGACTTTCGGATTCGTGGACGTGGCGCTCATTCCTTTTTATAGCTGGTTGTCTGTCTATGAGAAGTTTGGCAACTTCAGTGTGGAGTCAGAGCACCCAAAGTTTATTGCATGGGCTAAGAGGTCCCTGGAGAAGGAGAGCGTGTCCAAGTCTGTTCCTGACCAGCAAAAGGTCTATGACTTCGTTTTGGAAATGAGGAAAAAGCTTGGAGTAGAGTAAATGGGAGGAAGCAAGTTTGTTAGATCATGTGCTTGTTCTGTCTTTCAAGTTTGAACTTGTTTTCGTTACTTTAAGATTAGAATAAAAGGGCATTTGACCAAGCCCTCTACAGTATGAGGCACTTTGTCGTGCCTTTCTCTGGTCTTATGTTTCTTTGTCAATTGCTTTTGTAGTCAAATTATCATATTGTTGTTGACTTCTTGTTGTAGTAAGGAAATTTTACATGATCAAATTTCTTATTCAGTGAGTTAGTTTGCTTCTAGAAATTTCTTATTCATTTGCTGCAAACACTGCTCATGCAGCTGCTTGGCTCTTGCCATCAATCTCCCTTACAAATTCCACACCCAATCCCTGGAGCTACATTTATGATATGTCCTGTGCAGGCTCAAGAAGCTTTGACTGATTCACTTACTTCCTCCACATCCTTAACATGGTGACGTGTTAGGTTATGGGAGGAAAATAGCTTATTGATTCTCTGTGCTTTGTAGCTCAGTCGGTTAAGAGCATTCACTTCAATTCATCCTCTCCTAGTATCAGTTTTATGAAAAAGAGAACGTGTAAAACATTTAAGCAAAAATGTGTTACTAGTTATGTTAAGCAAAAATTCATATACTTCAATTAATTACTGAATTTGATTTAGTTTTTGTAAGAATGTGACAGTTTAAACTACTCTAGTTTACAGAAAGTTGTCGGGGAAAGATTATCTAGTCTAAACAGGATTGAGTAGGATCAATTCGGTTGCAAGGTGATGGACATACTGCAAATTAATTAGTATTGAGTACTAACAGGATTTAGCAAAAATGTGTTACACGTTGTGTCCTCAGTCCTTATCCTACAGTCATCATTTTTGTATATATGGGACCAGAGGTCCCCAGTTGTCATCAAGGAGAATAAAAGCTTTTACTATTTCAATCATTTTGCTCTTGTATTTCAATCATACTATTTGAAACCCCTGTATCTTTGTATCAAGCAATTCAAATCTGTCAATGGCGGATGAGGTGGTGTTGTTGGAATACAGGGCCAGTCCTTATGGGATGAGAGTGAGAATCGCTCTGGCTGAGAAGGGCATTCAGTAAGAGTCCAGGGAAGAGGACTAGTTGACCAACAAGAGCTCACTCTTGCTGCAGATGAACCCCATTCACAAGAAGATCCCGGTTCTCATTCACAATGGCAAACCGGTCTCCGAGTCTCTCATTGCGGTTCAATACATTGACGAGGTTTGGAAGTATAAGGCTCCTCTTTTGCCCTCTGATCCTTACCTTAGAGCCCAAGCCATGTTCTGGAATATGTTCCATCCCAAAATCAATTAGCAATGAGGGGAGTAGCCAAACTCCTTATAAACCCAGGCTAGATCCTTTAACTTTTCAATGTGAGACAAACATTCTCAACAACAATAAGCGCTAATTAGTTAGTAAGTTAATATTCTAATACCTTGATTCGGTGCCCCACACAATATATCCCACAATCTGAACTGTTCATTCTTTAGGTGTTCATTGAAAGATAATGTGTAAAAATCCACTCCAATTGAAAAACACCAAGTTATATAACTGTGACATTATAAATAATACATAGGTTTATAAGTTGTTGAGAATTCTTCTATTGCCTTTTGATGTTGAAAATCCATTGTTGTCGCAAAGAATTATATTTCTTTTGAGTTCGATTCAAATCTTGACACATTGCACGTGCAACACCATATAGAAAAATCTTGATAGTCAATTCTCATTAATGATACAGTAAGAATTACACTTTTTATCGCTTACATTACAAGAGAATTAGCTGAACTAATCGTGTACCTGTTCCAACAAAACTTGCCACTTGGACAGATTAGACTTAAGTAACAGATTGCTGACTAAGATGTTGACTCTGACTTGTATTTCCTTCATCACACCAAAACCAAACTCCAATGTAATGAATTTTTTTTCTGTACTAACCGGAAAAAATTTCATGTGAATGTCAATACATGGAGGGTTGAGGGCCCCATTTTTATGGTTCACCTCGGGCCTCTGGAATCTCATGACCGGCCCTGAGGTGTGAAATGAAGGTATATGAGAGTGGAAAGAGGACATGGAGAACCAAAGGAGAAGAACAGGAAGCAGCAAAGAGGGAATTCCTTGAGTGCATAAGGTTGTTAGAAGAAGAGCTTGGAGACAGGCCATACTTTGGGGTTGAGAACCTCGGATTCGTGGAAATGTCACTTATTCCTACCTATAGCTGGTTTTATGTGCGCGAGAAATTTGGAAACTTCAGTGTGGAGGCAAAGCACCCAAAGTCTATTGCATGGGCAAAGAGGTGCATGCAGAAGGAGAGTGTGTCCAAGTCTCTTCCTGAGCGGAAAAGGGTCTACGAATTCGCCCTGCGCCTTCGGAGTAAACTTGGAATGGAGAAGATGGGAAAAAGCATGGGCATAAATAAGATATCATCCATGTACTTGTTCTGTGTTTTTTAAGTTTCAACCTCTGTTTAGGGTTGTTCTGAAATTAGAATAAAAGGGCAGTTGGCCAAGTTGCCAAGCCCCCTCTACTTCGTGGAGGCACTTTGTTGTGTCTCTGATCATATGTGTTTTGTAGTCAAATTATCAAATTGTTGTGAAATTGTTATGACAAAGCTCAACAAGCAGCCAAAAAAATGTAACTCAAAAACACCCTTTCTACATATGAACACTTTATTCATAACAATAGGCAAACACATCAAACTGTCTGCATTACTATTGTCGACGGCAAATATCATTACTATTTCTACATATGACCACTTTATTCATAACAATAGGCAAACACATCAAAGTGTCTGCATTACTATTGTTGATAGTCTGCTGCTGGCTAGCAGCCTGTTCTATACCCAATTAACAAGAGACTCGTACACCTTTTTAGGGTCTGCAAGAGATTTCGACACGCTCTCCCGGTGCATGCACCTCTTGGCCCATTCAATCAGCTTGGGGCACTCTGCCTCTGTGCTGAAGTTTCCAAAGGTCTCATATGCATAGAACCAGCTGTAGAATGGGATAAGAGCAATGTCCAAGAACCCAAAGCTCTCACCCTCAAAATAAGGCCTGTCTCCAAGCTCTCCTTCCAACTGCTTAAGGGCTTCAATGAATTCCTTCTTGCCTGCCTCTTGTTCCTCTCCTTTTGTGCCCCATATTTTCCTCGAAGCAACGTATAGCTGCAATTTTTGCAAACATTACATCAAAATAAACTCCTAGAAATTATTCAATTGAATTAAACCGTTTTTTCTAGTCCCCATTCCAAAAGAAATTTCTGTTGCACCACTTGAAATTAAAACTCTGTTTTTGCCAAGGTTGTAGGCTTGTTGCTCCTCTAACACTAATCAGTTCTATTTTCAAAAAAATTCCACTCATTTATCCAGACACACAGAATTAATAAGATATTTTTAAAAAGTGGACTTGTTTTATTTTTTTTTATGCAATCTTCCCAGATAGCAAGCAAGATCATGTTGTAATTGAGCATACCACAGTTTCAAGGTCTGGTGTGGAACAGAGTGACCCATTGAAAAACCCATGACAAAACAGTTTCTCATTTGTGTAAATCCTTTCAATTTGGTCTAGTATAAGCAAATTTTAACCTGGGCAAACTTCAAATTTTCAAAATTTTCTATAATTTTTCTGGAGTTGAATTGCAACCAGTATATATATGTAGCAGCTTTATATATAGAAAAAAAGGCAAGAGACAACTTAGACAAGCTAATTACCTTCTTATCAATGAAGTCAGCCCAGAACCTTGACCGAGCTCTCTGGTAAGGATCAGAGGGAAGCAGAGGAGCGTTGTCCCTCCAAACCTCATCAACATACTGCACAATGATCAGAGACTCACAGATCGGTTTACCGTTGTGGATGAGAACAGGGATCATCTTGTGAACCGGGTTCATCTGCAGAAGCAATGAACTCTTGTTCTTCAAGTCCTCCTCTCTGTTCTCATACTTGACACCCTTCTCAGCCAGCGCCACTCTCGCCCTCATCGCAAACATGCTTGCACAGAAGTCCAAAAGAACAGCCTCATCCGCCATTGTTGACTGATACACAAAACAAGCTTCTTCTTCTTCTTCAAGCTCTGTCTAGCTTGACTGAAAGCTAATATAGAAAGGTGTTTTTTTTTTGATGACACGGGGGAAAAACCCCAAACAGAATATATAAAGGTGTTTGATTTGTTTGTTTGCATGTGCTAAAAAAATGTACTCGGCGGCTGAATTTGGGAAGGGGCGTCACGTGGCATGTTGTATGTGGTTTTGCTTAAGAGCACTTCCACCCCTTCCCTTCTATTAGGCTCCAAAAACAACACCTACAAAGGAAAAATTGTCATAGCAAGAAGTGAGCCCACAAAACTGAGCAAGCCTACGGCAAGACTTGCCTAAGTTAACGTCAAGCAGTCAATTTAAATACCAAAAAAATAAAAAAAATAAAAAAATCAGAATTTTTTTTTCTATAAATACCTA